GTTCCCTCATCAAAAACATGCCATGTTTTAGATGTCATCCATGCATGTTTGAGTAATTTAGCAATCTCTCCCGCCACTATTCTATGTCATTCATACTCCACACACCTATTCTCTGTAGATATACAAACGTGGGATACAAAACTGTACACAAAAACTTCACAGGCCAGATCTGATGTGTGCAGTAGTTTCATTAGCAGGATGTAGGCGGATTGGGTTGTGGAAGTGCTCTGTTGGGCGAGTGACTTATTGTGGAGAGCAAAGGGAGGGCAGATTCAGGGTGTCAAAAACTAAAGTAAATCTTATAAAACATATAAATACCTTGTTTTCTGTGAATTTTGCATTTTCAAAACAATAAAAGGTAACATGGTGATTTAAATGTTATGTGTTTGCAATTAATACCCCATAGAAGTAAAATACCCCCCTCTTTAAACTTTTAATGGGGATTATTTTATATCTTATTTTGGTAAATTATATCTGTGAATATAAGTGATTATAAATGAATTTACATTTTACGACAAGTATTTGTCATAAAATTTTACAGTTTTCTTTCACTGTGGTGTAAAGTTCTTTCTTTTCACAATAATAGTCAAATTTTACATTGTGCTAACACTTACTATATCATGTGAGATCATAATCCCATATATTGACCTCCTCTGAATACTTGCTTCATTTGAATGACAATACTCTGCACTGGTCCCAAGTGGACAGAACAGGAAAGGGTTAAAAACACTCATAAAAACAACTCCTTGTGTCTTGAACTTCTCCCCTTTAACCTTTCCTTTAGGGTCACGACCTCTAGACAGCAGAGTGTTGGAGGTCAGCCAGAAGCCACGAGGGAAAAATAAAGGGTCCCACCTCTTCCTCTTAACTTAATTGATTATTTATTGATGAGTTTTGAGGAAATTGTAAGTGTCAACATTGGAAAATGGAATGAGAGAGGTTCATATATTTTTAAACTTTTAATTTTAATAAATCTAATATAATCTGATAATATTGCTTTTTTTATTTTGAAGAATTAAAATACTGAGTAAATTATCTATAAACAAAAACTTAAAATAGGTAAGAAAAGTTGTACAAATTGAAAAAAATCTATACCAGATATCTATAGAGTGCCATTTTTGCCCTGTTTAGTTTGAAACTCTTGAACCTCAACGATGACATTTATAGGGACATAAAAGTTTTCCTCATTAACTTAAATACCGAATTACCAAATGTATTATTATAAAATACAGTATTATACCAATTTGAACACCATTAATGCTAGACAACTGTATCAGAAAGTATCTATTTTTATACAATCTAACTCTAGTGTGTGTACATTTGATTCTTTTACCAAAGACTATATATAATGAAAGTTGCTGTCAGTATCTATAGAATAATCATAAGAGGTGATAAAAATGTAATTCTAGGCATTCTTACTCCAGTGTCAATATCAAATACACATGTTTAGACCCCATCCTTTGCATCAGACAGATTAAACCCCTGTACTCAGTAGTATACACTCTACACTGCTTCTCCCTGTGTAGACTGACACAGGTGTAATCCAGGATTAAACCTCTCTACTGTCCTCACCCAGACCACACACAGCTCAGCCCATTACACCTCACACACAGGTGACCAGGGTTTACACGAGTTCAACTGGGACTCATTCAATTCTACACCACCAGTGATTAGTGGTGGTGCTCACACTGGTCAGAGGGGCCAATGGCACAGATTGGCAAATTGATCTTTACTCATTGTCAAGCCAGGGCACTTAATCCAATACTGTGTGTTCATGTCTCATGTATAGTCTTTTGATTAGGAATGCTCTGATCTGATATTGGTATTGGATATCGGTGTTTGCTGGACTGGATATAGGCTTCAAAATATCAGTTCAGCAGATATCTTGGTTGGACATATAAACTGAAGTACAGTAATAGGACTATTTACTGGTCATAGTCAGCTCAGTCATAGTGTTTTAATTTCTATTTATAAATTTGTTCTGTAGTTACTTGGGATACATTTTTAACTACATAACACATTTGTCTTATATTAATGCTGTTTCACTGTCACTGCACTCATACTGATTGATATTGGGTATTGATATGTAATCCATAATATTGGAATGGGAACTGAAAAAGACATATCAGTGCATCCCTACATCTGATTACACACTGTCCTTCAATATGTCTTTCAGTATGATGCTGAACAGAGCTGACCCTAACCTCTTCATATGGAAGCATCATCAGAGCTTGTGTGACAATGCACTGTGTTGCGTGTCCCGCTGGCCATCAACATTTGTAATAAACGACTTCTGTATAAACTATCCAGACTGTCTCCTCCATTTCATCAATATTCTGTGGACACCCCACATGAAGAAGGAGGGATGAGCTGAGTTGCTGAGCTGGTGGCTGAGCCTTGGGTACAAATTTTAAAAAGCCATTTTAAACTAAATTAGCAGCTTTGTAAAACGTGCCTGCAGCCACCTTTATATGAAACAGTATGACATTACATTATTAAAGCCTGTAAGGGCAAAAATCTAAAACATAGAATTGGATAAATAATTCCTAGTGTTTCCAGATCTGCCTCAACACCTTGCATTGCTGTTCCTGGCCCCTCTGGTGTGTGTGACTTGTGCTCTGTTTGTGCTAGGGGCCCCGTGCTAGTGTTATGCTAATGTGCTGTGTTGTGTGTTAGCGTGGCCCCGGGCCCCTGAGGGCAGCAGCTCCACTTCATTATAGAGACAGATGCCTGGACCGCAGCAGTGTTAATGCTGTCACCTCCTGACATCAGACACATACAGCAGGATTCTCACTATAAACATGAGTGACAGAGCTGTTAGAACACAATGAGATCTGATAGACCATATGTCTACAAAGGGAAACTGATACTAACAGACCTCAGTCAAAATATCCCATACTTCAATTTTATGTAGTACTTATATTGTGTAGTTCTATTTTCTTTTTTTCTTACTTTTATAGTATAGTGTTCCAGATATTGAGATTTGGATTAGGCTTAATCAGAGGTTTTGTCAGTCGTAGTAGTTTTTTCCAATAACCAAATATATTTATCTGAAATAGAAAAAATATTTGTTGTATGATTGTGCAAATATATATATATATATATATAAAAAAAAAAAATGTGTTTCTCACCTTCCACGGTGGTAGGTCTCTCTCACCCTCATTGAGCTCGGGTCCTCTACCAGAGGCCTGGGAGCTTGAGAGTTCTGCGCAGTATCTTTGCTGTTCCCAGTACTGCACTTTTCTGGACTGAGATGTCCGTCATATATATATGCATGTATGTATATACATTTGCACAGTCATGCAACAAATATTTGCTCAGTTGCTCTTAGTTTCCTTTTTTTCCATTACTTTTTATAAAAAGACAGATCTGCAACTTCCTTTACCATGGATACTGATATTCTCATCAATATTTCGACTATGTCCAAGTCAGACTCCAACAGAATTATTTGCCAAAACAATACTGAAGCAAACAGCTGTCAGTCCCTATTTGCTAGTATATATATAAACAGTGTCTATATCCAAGCATTTTCACTTCGTAGACCAAAATGAAGATGTATATGTGGGCTGAGGCCCTAAACCTATTACATTTTTCATGTGACCGGTTCATCTACAAAAATGTTTATATATGGGTATATGCAAAATTGACCTTTTTTATATATATAAATATACAAAAGTAAGATACAAAACAATACACTACAGCCTGACAAACCTGCTGCAATGTGCTGTAGTTTCATTAGCGAGATGCATGCTGTGTTGTGATAGCGCTCTGAACAGGGAGTGCAGAAACCAAAGGGAGGGAGGACTCAGAGAACCAAAAATAAAGATGAAACTTATAAAACATAATACGTTGTTTTTGGAGAATATAGGATTTTCAAAACAATAAAAGGTAACATGGTGATCTAAATATGTTTTGTGTTAGCCGTTAATACCTGTAATACCCCCTCTTTAATTATTGTGCCTGGAATGGAATGTCTTTTCAGAAAAAAATTTAACCAAAACAGACACTTGTTACAAACACTCCCAAGCAGGCCAAATTAGACTCTCTAGAAGGTTAAAGTAAACACTAATCTGAGCAGTTAGCATCTTCAATTCTATTATACCAACTGGAAATTCCTTGTGATGTGACAATTCAATCCCGAGCACTTTAGGAGTGTGGGAGTGAGACTGGATGGGCCATAGACACCAATTAGAAATTTCATTCTAAACAACAATAAAAAATATGTACTTTTTTTTTTTGTAATAATGTATTTTATAACTTTGCCTCCTGTGGCAGTTGTTTTTGGTCATTCTGTTCTTGAGCTGACCAGTGGTTCTCTTGGATGGAATTTACATGTAACTATACAATAGTGGTACAACACTAAAAATTAAGTTAAAAATTAAGTTGTGCAGGCCGGTTCCATAGTGGTCTATGGGTATGTGGCCTTAAACTTGTTCTGATGCAGCTCAAAATCTTTCTAAAGCTTTTCACAAAAGGTTAATTTCTGTCCTGTGAATGTGACTTTTTTAGTATCCTATACCTGCTCAAATGAGTATCTAGTGTCAATACTAGTTTTAGCATCGATTAGTATCTGATTTTCCTCCAACCCTGCAATAGAATCATTTCATTTGTACACTGTATTTGTTGAACTTTTGAACTTGTGCCAGTTTCGAATCCCACTTACAGTAACAAGCAGCTATTAGTGCTAACTCCAGTCTACCTCAGTGGTTTGTGGTTTGACCCAGGCCCCTCTGTACACCAGCACTATCCCTCATATTACGTAAACAGTAAGCAGAGTATATTGGTCCAAGTCATTTCAACGTGATTTAATGAGACTCATAATATCAACATCTTAATCAAACGCAGCCTCTGGTCTTTTCATTTCCATTTGATCTCACTTAAATATTTTAAAGTGTCTAGTAAACATTTGAAAGTTATTGCAGCAGTAAAAGTTTCTGGCATGAACAAAATATTTTTAACAATGTGAGTAAATGTGTTTTTTTTTTGTTTTTCTGTTACAGTTCATGGATATGTGTACAGGAACCAACGCAAGTTTTCAGAAGAGATTGACTGGTCCTATGCAGGTAAGATTAGAATAAAAGAACTGGTTTTAAGCCTTACAGGAATTCACCCCAATTATAGATCCAATTACCATTTTAGTGGTTTACCTCAAAATGATTATGGCGTGCAGTAATATGTAATTAACGACTTAAGATTAAATTAGAATAGTTTAAAGCACTGTTGTTGTTGTTGACATGCATTCAAATATTTGAGTTCGAATTGTAAGTGCTGTTTGAATTGAATTGGATTGAACACATACAGTAGTATGGTATTAAACTTATGAATCTTGCTTTATTCATGATAGGTGTTTTTATTACTTTAACAGCCACCTTCTTGTTTACAGAGATATACGGTTACTGTTATACTATGTAGCATTCCAGGCAAAGCAGTAACATCTCCATGGAGACAATCCAGACCTCCAGAAAAGTTAAACTTTTTTTTTTTTTTAAATATAACTAAGAGTAAATAGAATATCCTTAGCCTAAGCCTGCTTATTACAGTATATTTGGTCAGATTATTGAAATGCTGTTGTACCATTGTTATCTAAGTGTGTCACGATAATTACTATACCGACTTATTGTTTAATACAAAGGTCTTCAACACGGGGGTTGCGACCCTCCTAGGGGTCAGGGAGGTACTGCAGAGAGAGGAGAGGGGAGTCGTGTCTTTCCTCTAGCTCCTCATATCAGAATGACCGGAAAAGTTCTGTGTCCCAAGTCTGTTCATTATTATTTTTGTATGCACTCTCTCATTTTGTGAGATCATTAAAAAAGTTACACTTTGAGCCCATTTTCTGTGATGCCAGGCACACACAAAGTGCAGCTTAAACGTCAAGCCTGAATTAACTTTGGTGAGACTCAGGCTTATTTCTGTCATGGAACGAGTTGAGGCTTAAACTGGAAATGAAGCTAGTTTCAGATCAGGATTTCAGGATAAGCCTGCACTTATTAAGCGACTTCAATGGAATACCCCCCTAGTATTGAATGTAGAATAACAGAGTAGTTATGTTTATACACGACACTAGGCTCAATTTAATATTAAACACAACTGTATGCCATATTTATAGAAGGGGATCCCTGCCCCAGCTTTCCATAAGTTTGGGGGTCCCTGGCCTGAAAAACATTGAAGACCCCTATTTTAATATATAAAAGATGGATAGTTTTTGGAGAGTCAATATTTATCGTGAGTATGGTACTTTTCCTATGTACTAGACTGGAACTTGTTACTCTTATGCACTACAATATGATTTTAGGTATAAAGAGTTGAATAAATGGCTTCTAGTACTCACTCTATTACACAGGTGTCTCATTTACCTATTTATTTAATTATTTATTTATTAAACGTCATGTTTTTAACAATATTGTACATTTAGAATTTTGGGGGGAGATAATCCTGCTTTAGGGTTATTGTGTAAGTGGCTTAAATTAGTTTTAATATTGTACTCTATTTTCTTCACCAATTTATCATACTGAAAGGCCTTTTATTGTGAGCTTTTTGTCTACAATGTTGTTTTTGTCCTCAAAAACATACCCTGAACATGTTTGAGTAATGCTTTCATATTAGTCTGTCTATATCTTCAAAGTTCAAAATGTTCTGTTTCACCTTGTAATGTCATGAAGGTAGATGGTAGTTTTCAAGCTAACAGCTACTTTTTACTTTTTGTTCAGTACCAATTGGCAATTTCAGGCCTGAAATCATCCAAATGATTCTAGTAAAGCTGTATGGAGTGTAAAATCACAGTGGAGCACTTCCTTTATTACCACATGACAATACAACAGAGTTTTCATTTGAGAGTTTGTGTGTTAAACATGTATGAATGAAACAAAACAAACTCCAGACATGTTTGTGTTGAGGAAACAACATTATGACATAAATCAGAAAACAGCGTAGTACAGGATCTTTAAAAATGTGTTATCATGACAGGCCTATTGTTATGCATTTTAACTAGGAAGTGGGAGCATGGTTTTAAGACTGGTTCTAATAGTAAGTTCACAAAGTGCACGGGTGGGTTAAAATGGAGGAGTCATAGTTCACAATTATCTGTCGTTCAAAATGTGTGAAAGGAAAAGCTTGTCAGTTTCCAGGTCACAGCTCACTTTGCCATAATTGAACCCAGAGGGAAGGCTTATTACAGGTGGTTAAAGCAAAAACTGACTCTGGGAAGTTTTCATTGGTGACATTTTGACAAAGCTGTTCCCTTCAGGATTTTTATCATTACCATATTAGAAAAAATGGTCACAGCCATCTTTAAAGCTCAATGCTTAACCATAAGTTTTTACCCAGTGCAAAGTGAGATATTAAAGGAGAGAAATTATGCAAGTAGACCTGTTATGTTGGTTTTTTTTATCAACAAGACTAGGAGTTTTTTTTTTTCTTTCAACTACTGCTACTTCTACTGTGAACTACCACTTTTAAGAGTCAGTGGGGTTGAGGAAAAGGCAAAAATCAAATCCATGCTTTTATATTAGAAGTCAAAGGACAGGGTGCTATTACTGCTACTATAACTTTTCCCATGGAGGATCTGCTGCCTTTTTGTCACCATGGAAATGTTCTTATTTTGCCTGGAATGTTCCACGATATGGCACTAAATCTTTCTCCATAGAGACAAAGAGGTGGCACAACCAGTTCTAAATTACACATTATATCTATGGGATGGCGAGCTCACTCACAGTAAGAATGTATGTTTTTTAATGTATACTTTTTAGCCACAGAACATCTGTATTTAATGGATTAGATAGTAGGTAAGTTTAATGTCACACTTGAGAGCATTTCAGGCAAAGCAAAAACATTTCCATAGAGTCGAGCATACAGTGGACCCTTCCCTAAAAAAGTTACACAGAGCACCTTTATGCTGTTTGGAATCCGTCCTGCTGTTTACAGTGAACAAATTTCAAAAATGATTATATGTATAACAAATGGTCATTAAATACTGGGCAAATATATGTTCTCTAAATTAGGTGTCTATTATCTATACTTTGTGACTAAAACAGGTCAAAATGACACAGCAAAGATTATGTTTGTCCTGTGGGTGTGTCTCTCAAACCACATGGGTGACATTGTTTGGTGCTATTGAATTTAAAGCCCGTTTTTGTGATAGCAGCTCTTACTGTGCAGGTCTTCTATCAAATTACAAAGGAACCGCTGAACAAATATGTGGTTCATTATTCAAACTACAAAATGGCATCAAAAATATCAACAGGTTTTATAATTAGATTGCAGATTGGTTGACCTGGTTTATGGTTAATATCATTTTGATTACTTAGTCTATCCACATGAAATAAAAACTGGCTCAAAGTTCAATACCAGCATAAATGACCGTTGGTGATAGTTACATGTTGATATGTTGTTTTTGGTGAAAATAGCATTTTCAAAACAGTTAAATGTAACATGATGATCTAAGTATGTTATGTGTTGGCAGTTAATACCCCATAGAAGTAAAATACCCCCACTTAAAAAGGGTGCATTTACGCTCTTTTCTGATCTGTTATAATGTTGTGTCCTCATCATAAACATACCTGGAGTTGTGTTTTAGGTACAAACCCTGCATATTTAGGCTGAGTTTTTCTCTCAACCAGAAAACATCCTGTTCCACCTTGTGATGTCATGTGGTAATGTACCACATGTGGTAAGATACTGTCCCTTCCATTCCATCTGAAATTACAGCTTTAAATTCTACAACGTTTTGATGTAACTCTTGGTGTAATTTTCAAGTCATCAAAGCCAGACGTTGTTTATCACCAAAAGTTTCCAATTTTATATTCGCTTAAAGAGAATTTAAATGTAAATATTTGGCCTTGGTTCCTTTGACAAGATGGTAAAACTAGTTAGAGTCTGGGAAAGAGCTCATAAAAATGTCATTATTTTAAAATAAATACCTGTACATCACTGCTCTGCCTTTTATCCTGATGTGAACTGTGTGTTACTTCATAGACACACACTTCACAGTACTGCTATGATGAAGATGAGTTAGAGCACTATTACCCAATAACTCAAGTCGTTCATTATATTATATTACACACTGTATTATGTTCCATTGTTCATTGCTTGAAATAGGTAAATTACACCTTGACATGTCACGACTGCTAACTTCCTGTAGGCTGCCTGTTCTATCCCCAGAGTCCTTTGAATTGTCTGGTCTCTAAAGTTATGAGGGAGTTTTAGTCTTTGGTCCATGTGAAGTCTCAGAGATTCCCATTCCCATGTTTCCAAATATTTGCACTAACAGTGTAGTTTTCTTCTGTTTTTTTGTTAATAATGAATTTGAAGGTGCACTGCATAACTTCTGGTGAGGGGTTTGCCATCTGCTTGTCTCCATGGAGATATTATTTTGCCAGGTATATTCACAGTATGGAATTACGGAATGAAAAACATGCATTTTTACTGTGAGTGGTATTGTCACACCACAGATCTGACCTGTAACTTGGTTTAGTGGTACTATCTGCTTGCCTCAAATCAATAACATTTCCTTGGAGATAATATTACAGTGAACCTTTATCAAACTTAGTTACAGTGTAATAGTTTCTTAATAATACTGGCCAATACAATACAATACAGGCACTGAAAAAAAAAATAAAAAAAAAATAAAAATAACAGGTATATTGCACAAACAGTTTTCACATGTGTAAAAAATCCATAGCTTTTGTCAAAAACACTGTCTCCAGCAATATTAAAAGGATCTGCTGTAACCATACAATTATCTTTTTCTACAACAACTTGATTGCTACATTCAGAACAATACAGGCCGATCCTGAAATTACAGGTTGTGTTTTGAACTACGTCATGGATCATAACAAACAAATATGATAAGCCTACCTATAATCATTGTATACATTCATTCTAGCATTAAACATGTTGCCTTGTGTTGTACTTTCGGAGAATAAACTGAATCTGAAATGTGTTACTATGCACCTGAAAGAATGAGAAATAACATTAATATTTTGTAATTTCATTTTATAAATTTGTAATACATAGGGGTTTGGTCACAGCACATATGCAGGGTTCTGTGCCATCTGCAGTGTTGTGATATCAATTCAAATATCAGCTCTGATAATTTACTGATTGTCTCTCTGTGCTCTTCATCCCCATTTCACACAGCAAATGGTAAAATAAAACATCCAATGATGCCAATAGAGCACTGTAGACCTGTATTAGTGGGTGGTTATGTGAATTACAGTAGACACATTGAAACACAATCAGGACAGTGAACTAATCAGGTCAGTAGACTTGTGGTCTGTGAGTCAGCAGAGACTGGATTACACTACAACTATGAGACCAAGAAACTTCAAATGACTACTGAACACTGCATAAATAAATAAATACATTCATAAATAAATACACAATTGAATAATTTAAATTAAATCAATTAAATAGGACTGTTGCCATAGGGACTGTCTATTTAAAATAAAATATTTGACTTTTTAATCGGAAAACTAAATATGTTGCATAAATGGAAACTGAAATCTATGTGAAGTTGATATGGAATGTCCCATTTACAGTGTGGTTTTCTAACTGGCATGAATTTTGATTGCTTTAATTGGATTGTTCACATTTATCTGCCAAACAACTTTTTTTTTTTCACAGAATTTAGTAAAAATGTGAAAATATGTTGTTTAAACTTGTGGGGAGGCATTTAAAAAATCTTGCAAGAAAGAACATTTACAAACCAACAATGACGTCTTTAGATAATTACGTCAACATGAACAAAATGGGACCAAACTACCAACTTCTTCTTTGCAAAGCCTGTAATCAATTTAGCACTTTGTACATGGGAAAACTGCCTTAATCGTTATGGGTCAGTAACACACCTAATGTTTGGACCAATCAGAGCACAGCACAGACAAAAGCCAGATGGTGAAAACAGAGCATATTATAGAGCATGTGTTGAGGTGTAGTAGTAAGAGTATTTGTAAAAGTAGTAGTAATAGCAAGTAGTAGTAGTTAAAGTAATAATAAAAGCAATTCTTATAGAGAAAATGTGTCCTGCATTGGACTGTCTCTATGCCTGTCCTGACATAGAATCGCTTTACACAACATTTTAAAAAAAATAAAAAAAAAAGTTTGCCTATATTTTTATAAAATAAGCCATAACATTAAATAACTGTGATAAGTCAAAGTCACTGGTAGTAGTAGACATGTTGGTCCCTGTATGTGGATAGCATGGACCAGTGTGTTCACATGCTGCTTGAATTAGGGTCTTTACTTTAAACTAGAGCTGCTGTAGATCAGTGGGCAGGTAGACCGGGGGTCACTGGGTTGACATGATTGACTGTCCTGTTACCTGCATATAGTCCAAGATAACCAGTAAGAAACATAAGACTTACCACATATTACCCAGAACTTTTGCATTATTTGTACATTTGCCAGTTTCACTTAGTCTGTGAAACATTTCTTTTCATTTTTATAATTATGTAACAAAGTAGATCTAACTCTTACACTTTTTGTTACTGGTAAAAGTGTGTAAATATCATGTGTCGAGAGCCTATTATTTGGTGTTAGAAAGTTAAACTCCGACCTCTGTACATGATAAATAAACGTGTGCTAGCTGCAGCGCACTGTTAGCAGCTGGACTTGGTTAGCGCATTAGCCTTTAGCTCGCCTGTTTCTGCCTCTCACTTAAATGGCCCAGCTGTGAGCACTCAGGTCTGGAGTCTGTGTTTCATCAGTTTGACCACATAGTAATAATTTACTGTGGTGAGCGTCAGTGGCATTTTAGAGAGCTGTGTCTTATTTATTTGCTCATAAGTTGTATTTTAGTCTTAGTATAGAATCCTTATTTCAGTGATTCCCAAAGGTTCTTCTGGGGGGCCTCAGAAGCACTGCAGGGGGCCCTCAAAGACTCTCCACACAACAAGCATAAAAGAAAATTGAGATTAAAATAAACTTTCCATCATTTATTTGCTTCATTTACTCATTTAAACCAGTATTAAGCCTTTAGAGATTATAATGTGGACTGTTAGCGTGTACACTGAGACGAAAACATTACATTGTTTTGAAGTGAGCGTGCATTATTACAGTCTGTACAGTCTTTGAATAAATGGGGGGGTGTGGCTCTACAGACTTTGGGAACGACTGCCCAAGTCAATACCAAATAAGCAATACTTTGTTCTGTCTTAAAGGCTTCATTACGGTGGCTAGCTGTGTTTAGCTGTGTTGACACCTGGGCGCCCTCCTCTGCTCCTCCACAACGGCCACTCCATTTGGGCAGCTGGATTGCTGTGACCTTTGAACTTCAGCAGACACAGCTCCTCTCCTGCTGAGAAGAGTTTAGAGGACAGCTCCAGCACATTCCTGGACAGTTTCTCATTTTCTTGGTTGGTCAGATATAAACTCAAGTGCAAGTGGCTTGAATGTGCAAGTGGCTTGAGTGTCCATTATAGTTACTTTATGTTTTTCTTTTATTTTCTCATGGACTTTACAGGTGCTGGCTAGCTCTTGTTTGAGCTGAACATTGTCTCTTACTATAATGTTATACAAATATCTTATCTCCTTATACACACTTACTTGGTTTTCCAGCTTTTTCTTTTTCTTCTGAAGAGTAGCTTCGAGCTCTTTCAACTCCAAGTCTTTTTTGTTAGTCTTTTGCTGTGTTTCGTATGTGACTGGAGTTGGCAAGCTTGTTTTAGTTGCACATTTTCCTGTACTGTAGAATGATTCAGATTCAGGTACCGGATCTCTTTATGTGCATTAACTTGGTCTTGTATTTGCTTGTCCTTCTTCTGAAGAGTATCAGTCCTTTTCTTTTGGTCCAAAGAATTGCTTATTTGGACCTGATCTGCAGACTTGGCCCTTGTCTTCTCCAACTCTTCATGCAGCAACTAACTATTAATAATGCAATACTACTATATTATTGATTTATTTTAAATCAGTTCCACATCAAACAGATCAGCATTTATGATCTTCATCTGTGTTGAAAATATGTGTGTTTTAGCTGCATAGACAATACATATTACTAAGCATACATATTGCTAAAGATTTTATTAATTATACTTGTGATTTGTTAGTTGCTCATACTGTTATTGGTTTTAAAATAACTACATTTTAGTGACTGACGCTGTAGTGGCTTATTCACTTTTCAATAACATAAATATCTGTCCCAAATGTAGACCAACCATGGATTTAAAAATGGTGAAATAGGAGTGTAACAATTTTCAACTAAATATGCTATCTTTTGAATTATTAAAGTTTTCAAAATGTTTCCCATAATAGCAAGTTGAAACCCATGAATTAGGATTGTTAGCTTTGCATATAAATGAGATTTGCCAGTATAAGCTACTATCTTTATTACATTAAAACAGACATCGCATAGCAACCAGAACTATTTTACATTTTTATCTTAAGTAAAGTTTCAACATTTTGGTTATGTCTTACAGGAACTTTAAACCAAAAGAACTGGGCTAAGAAGTTCCCTTCATGCAGTAATGCCCGGCAGTCCCCCATCAACATCGAGGAGAGCTTGGCCCAGGTGAAGCTGCAGTTCCAGGCTCTGCGCTTTGAAGGTTGGGACGCCCTGACCTCTGACACCACCACCATCAAGAACGACGGCAAGACTGGTGAGAATTTTTAAATATAAGAATATAGATGCCTAAATATCTAAGAAATGACCTTACTTTTTTATTCTTGTCATGGGGATTGTCAGTTCAGTGTCATTCTCTGCTTTATTTACATTTTATTTTGAAGTTCTCTTTCGCTCTAACTGCCAATGTTTTTCATAATACTAAAATTCCAACTTGATTTTGATACTAAGGAATAGGCTTGATACACGATACTGATTGTGATACATCAATGATAATGAAAATTTTTTATTTTTTTATTAGTAAACTTTGCTTTTCATTACATTTTCAGTGCAAAATCATTTTAAACATTTTACAATTTTGGACTGATACAAGTTAGGATAAAGCTCAAGACCATTCTAACAGTATTCAGGGAGCTTTTGGAATTATGTGATTTTTTTCTTGTATCAATACTTGTTCAAAGTAGCAAATTTTGATACTAGTTTTAGTTTGAAGAAGTATGATTTTCTACACTTTTGACAACCCTAATCACCTGTGCTACCAGTTGTACAATACTTATCTACCAATACTACTTTGTACAAGTTATTGTCATTGCAAAGCACATGCACACTACTTAAAACCTTATCTTAAAAATCAAAAGTACCTTTATATTAAAAAAATATCCCAAGACCTATTTTCCTTTGAGAATGTAGTGGGGTAAACTACAATTCATTATTTTCCATATTTCAGTTCAGAGTAGCATATTCTTTGTCTTTCCTTGTCTTGTCTTTTCTGAGTAAAACATGAGGTCTTCTGCTGCACTGCCCTGCTCTACTAAACCAGATACAGTTACAGGCCTGACAGAAAGAAGCGCTTTTTGCTATATTTCCTTGGAGTGGTGTGACACAGTGAACTACAGTGTGCATTGAAGACTATTCTTAGTGAAACTGTAGACAAGAATCCAGTGCTTTTCTCCGGAACGCTCCGCTCTTCCACGTTTTGGCACCAGGAATAAGAGGAGCAGTGTTGTACTAGTTGTCTGAATGCCAGAAGCTTCCAATGCTTTTATTGATAGAGACATTCGGTGGACAATTTGAAGTCAATTTAAACTGACAAGACGTAGAAACCTGTTACTGTTATAGAACAAATGGGGTGAGTCGAGAGGTTCTCAAACTGTGGGAAGAGTACATCGTTTTTTTGAGTAACTCTTTATAATAACTACAGTATTTACAGCTTTAATAAACCATGAAGAAATTCTAATGAAGAAATTGCTTTTATTAGGAATGATTCAGGCTGGTATAGACAGTTAAAACCATACTTTGGAACATTCTCCATGGAGATTGATATGATACTATAGCCAAAGGAACAACATCTCCTTAGAAACAAACAGGAAGAGGCCCTCCTCCAGGCCAAATAAGTCTTGTTGTGGAGATGCAAGCCTGCTCAATGTAATAGCACATGTTTTTTTAGTATAATAAACAACCATATTGAAAAAAACAAACCAACATGCTTTTACTTTCTTTTTTTAAAAACTAAAAATGAGCTTTTATGTATCCATACTCTGAGCAGGCTTACATCTCCGCAAACCTGACTCCTGCTTATCTCCATGGAAATTATTGTAATTATAATATCCTTTGGCTATAATATATATATACAATAGGACATAAAATGTATTCAACTATTCCAACGTATGGTTCAAGCTTACTATTTCCATGGAACCATGCCGGTGACTTTCCACTTCCAGAAGGCTTTATTGTGTTACTTTAAGTAGTTATTAAGCCTGAATCATTCTTAATAAAAGCATATGTTCATTATGAATTAACTCTTTGTCATGCTTTATTAAGGCCAATTAAGATGTAGTTATCAAGTGGTACTGTTTGTTTTGTTTTTATAATTTTTTTTTCTCTTTAGATTCTGTTGATTGTTTTATACTGCTAGAATAGATGTAGTTTCATAGACCTGATTCAGACCTGAGTTGGTACTACTTTAGACCTGCAAGTCCTGGTTAAGACCTAGTTTGATACTGAATAAGAAGCACTGGCTTGGTCTTTTTGGTTTAGTCCAGTTATAGTTTTCTGTAACAGTTTTCTGTTTGAGCGAAGAACTTGGCCTAAATATGCAGGGTCTGTGTGTTACACATATGAAACAAAACACAGCACAACTTTGTTTTTGATGAGGAAACAACATTATAACATAGATCAGAGAATGGCATAACACGGGCCTTTTAAGTCATGATTCAGTCCATGGAGTAGTCAAGAGTGTATTTCTGTGGAAAAAGTATGTGATGGATGCACTGTTTGAAAAGGTGCAAACAAACCTGTCAGCACGACTCAATTAAGGGCATGTCTAGTCATGGTTTGTCATCCATCAGGAAATGAGACCTCAACAATGCTTTCAAAACCAGGGTGTTGAAATGACACTGTGAGTTATTTTACTGCAAATGTTATGTAATTGTTTAGATTTCGTTTGTTCATACTCAAACTATACATGCACACCTAAATAATATGTACTGCCAGATTTAGCTTGTAAAAACAAACACATGAAAGTTGAACCTAAACCTTCTGGCATACCCTATAGTGAGACAGACCTAGATGGATTGATAATACATCCAACTACATTTTGACTGAAAATGGAAAGCCACATTATATTATAAAATGGCATTGTCTTAAATTGGTGATCACAGGTACTTATTTATTATCTGTGAAATTTGTTTGGAGTTAGACTATTTTCTTACTACCAAACATATGCAAAATGATCAGACAGAAAAGTAAATATATAACTATGTAATCTTAAAATAAATGTATATATTTTCATGTTAATATATGGCTGCAAGACTAAATGTTTTTTGTTTAAAGTAAAATGTTTAAAAATGTGAATTTTGAACACAATCTTATTAAATCATAAATCACAAATCTAGTCGCAATCGCAATACTAATAATAGAAAAATCACAATTGGATATTTTTTTCACCTAGCATCCATACTCCTTACCTTTTTGAACCAGTGGGCGTACACAGAGCATATAGTGAAGATGAAAGCCCTGAATGTCGCTCCGCCTGAAACGAACCATCAAAGCAGGTCCAGAGGCGGAGGAGCTTTTGTTGAGACCGTAACACAAAGATGGCCCCTCACACACAGGATGGTGGTTCTGACTGGTCCATTGTCCCTGGCCCATAAGAGCATTTGTGGAGAGTATTGTTCACTATGTTACACCTCATGTGGCATCGTCTATCTTCTTTGTCACTCACCTTTCATGTGGCTTCAAAGCTCCACAATACACAGGTTTAATATAGGATTAGGTTATACTGTGTGACGAATAGGGAAGTGTACATGATCATTGGAGGGTCATTAGAGTGCATACTAACCTTTATTTTATCTGAATATTTATCTGAAAAACTGAAGGAAATAAACTGTGAATGTCTATTTTCAAAGATATTGTTTATACCTGCAAGTTCTGGTTTAGACCTGGTTCCCTACTGCATAAGTGTTTTTGGTTTGGTTCTCTAATATATTGTTTCCCAAACACTGGGTCGCAACCCTCAGGTGAGTCGCAAGAATTATTTATTTTGGGTCGCCTTTGTAAGTCTGCAATATAAAGTTTTGACATGTTGAAATGTTAAAACATGTTTTGTATAATTTCTAATCTTTTTGTAATTATTTTATTGACTATTTTGTTCCAATATTGCTGGTTCAGTTGAATGTTGAAAAGAAAAATAAATGGGCTACATTTAATGTCCAAATAGATAACTAATGGATCCCTTTCATTGCTGGTTTAATTACTGTTTTGCATTGTATAAAACTAATTGTTCAGAGAGACATGATCACTCAGTCAACAATAAAATGTTCAATAATGGTCAAATCCACCTTTATTTTGTGATTTACGAATAATGTCTATTGACTTGGGTCGTGAAGGTTTGACTTATAAAAGATGGGTCCCCAGAAAAGAGGTTTGGGAAACATTGCTCTAATAGTTGTAGTAGGTCAGTCAAACCTTATTTACATACTGAAAAAAGTGCCTCTCCACAAACCTGACTCTTACATAGTCAGTAGGACCAGGGCCACCTCCTGCTTGTTTCTGTGGAAATACCGTTCCTTTAACTATAATATCGCACTGTATAAAAGATAAAACATATCTTATCTCCATGGATAATGTTCTGAACTATAGTTTTACCTTTTTATTTCTGTGGCATCATGCAGGTGACCTTCTCCAGAAAGTTACATATTGTAACTTTAACCTATCTCATCTGTAAAGGACTGCTTTTTAGGCACAGAGATAACATGAGCACTTCCCACATAGAAATATAGTAAATACAAATTCACTTAATCAATTACTTGTTGATTTCTTTTGCTTATATATAATTATTAAGTCGCAATTTTTAACTTGATTCTTTTCATTCTTATGTTTCTCTCTCTTCTGTTTTGGACACATATTCCAATTTTTAATACATTTTCAATGTGCATTTGTTACAGTGGCTGTGAACATAGACGGGGACTTTCACTTGAGTGGTGGCGGTCTTCAGTCGACCTTCAAAGTGGGGCGCATCACTTTCCACTGGGGGCGCTGTAATGCTACATCAGACGGCTCCGAACACAGCCTGAACGGGGTCAAATATCCTTTAGAGGTACTGTACTTAATATTTCCTCCTAATTTAAACATTTTTAGCAATTACTTAAAGATGTACCTGAGTTTTACTGTTCTAAAATGTAATAACAGAAGTACTTCATTTTATACTAACTGTAGTTGTAAAAACATATTCCTCACAGTCCTAACAATTCCTAAGCATTGAGATTTTCATTGCTTTTCACAATAGACTATTATCACACTGATACGTAGTACTTCTGTATTCAGTGACCTTTGTGCACGCCTACTTCCGGTGAATTGTCACTCTGTTGATTGAACTCATGATGGACGAACCAAAGTTGTTTACATAGACTACTAATTTTGAAATGAGGCTAAGTAAATTCACCCATGTCATTTGTATTCTCAGTGGAAGAACGTTCCCCTCTCAGTTTCAGACAGCTAACGTCGGCATACGAGTGTCTCTTTTGCTAGCACATAAAGGAGAAAAAAGTCCGCTTTAACCAGGCTTTCTCGGTGCTTTGAGAAAACAAAGCACCGAGACGTTTCAGACTTCAATGAACTTCACGATGCTATGAGAAAATAAAAAAGATAGAGTGAGAACACCTGTTTGAAGCTGACTTTTTGCTCCTTTTTGTGTCTGATAAATTTGTCCTGCTCCCGCTGTGGAGCTTTAACTGGTCCCAGTAACTTCTTTTGCCCATTATAAAGCTATTACAAAGTATTTACAAAGAATATGCATTGATCGTGTTGATTAATTCATAATTTGAAAAGAGCAGTGACATCTAGCCGTCGTTTGAGTCATTGTTGTTGTTGCACCGGAAGTGGAAGTGCACAAACTCGACAAACCCCGCCCACAAAACCTGGAAGCGTGATAATGGCCCATTTTCAGAAGCTAGAGTGGAGTTTTGCCATCACAGTAATGCTAACAACAACTAGCATGCTACTAGCAAACCTGCCTTATTCCTGGTTTCTCAGACAATAGAGATGCTTTAAAATGAGTTGCAGACAGATCACAGCCGTCACATTTTGACTCCAATAGCTGTTTTTACAGTATATTTGTATTTTGACAAGACAAAAATCAGGTGCAGCCCCTTTCCATTTCACGTGAAATACAATTCTTTCATTTTCGGTGTTTGTGGTTTTGTTCTGGTTTTTTTGTATGTTTTATTCAACATCTCATCCAAACATGAACTACAATTAGCATTTTGATTGCGAATAATCTCTCAAGTCTAGTCTTAATAAATATTTCATTTTAAACAGAGAGTATTATCCAAAATCGACTATTCAATGATTTCTGCCATGTTATAACATTGATGAAGAGGTTTTCCATGCCATCTATGCATATTTGGGTTATCTAGCTCTGAAGGGGGAGTAATATAATGTGTTGTTTTTGGTGAATATAGTATTTTCCAAACAATAAAAAGTAACTTGGGAATCTAAATATGTTATGTGTTAGCAGTTAATACCTAACAGAAGGGTATATGTTCAACTACCAACCCTTCTGCAACCTTATCAAAACTATACCACAAATTTCCAATACCTCTCCCATGTAACTTCATAACATATAGTACAGATAATACCCACACTCTATCTTTGTGCAGTCTGGATCAGATAACATTAATTTGTTCCTGTGTTCTGTCTCTCTCTCTCAGATGCAGATTTACTGTTTTGACCCGACTCGCTTTGACTCCCTGGACGAGGCCATTAAAGCGGGAGGCCGGATCACCGCTCTGGCCGTGCTGTTCGAGGTGTGTGTGTTAGGCCTGGCAAAATAATTATTATATTAACTTATCCTTCACTTTGTGGCAGATGAAATCATTTTTGGGGAGAAATATTTTAACTTATTTCTACTTCTGGTTATGCTTTTGTCATACAAAAAGATTTGAGCTGTAGAGGGTTGAATTTGTAACTTCTATGACTTACTATTAGAAATTAAAGTGTAGTTTTATTGTATTAATTCATTAACATGATTTTGATATTAAGGACTAGACACAATACTCAATACATATTCTGATACCATATACTCGTCTATGTGGCCTTACACTTGTTAATTGCAGCTTGAGATCATTTTAAAGCTATTCAGGAAAGGTAATTTCTGTCCTGTGAATGTGACATGTTTTCTAATATCGATGCCTGCTCAAATTAGTATCTATTATCTATTTTGAGACTGTGTACAATTGGTTATTGTGTCAGTTGCAGTAAGTAGGTTTCATTATTGTGGCTTATTTTCTATATTTACTTACCGTGACAGGCCTAGTGCGTGTGTTGCTAATGTGTGTTTATGTACATGTGGCGTCTAGTATCGCTCTATATCTCAGTTTGAGTGTTTTACAGGCAGACGATCATGTTTCCTGATAAGGCCTGGATCACTTACGGCCCGTTGAGAGTCCTGGAAACTCGAGCGTGTTTATAACGTGGAGAGATAGTTCACAGTGCAGTGCAGTGGGCGGAGCTAGGATTAGTTACAGTTGTCTGATGGTTTTAGATGGCTCAAGACATGGGTTGTATAATTTGATTTAGGTTTATGATCACATTTAAACAATGGTTAGCAAATACTGGAAGGGGTCATATAGGGGTCATTGCAGATTTTATTTTCTTTATTGTTAAATGAAAGGCAATAAGCTCTTCTGATATTAATAATCAACATTTATCAGGCAGTGAAGATTAACTATATTACATGTTTAGCCAAGTTTCTTTATAGGGCACATTTACACATATGTATTTCAATCTAACTAGTTCCTTTCTAGCTCTTTCTAAACATTAATATTCACATGCATGTATTTTTGGGCACCTACACAGGTTAAAACTGCTTTCATCTTATAGAGAATGAATACAGGATCACCAAAGTCAACAATATAAGATGAGATAAGAGAACCTTTATTTGTCACACAATGGGGAAATGGGGAAAGTTGCAACGCACAGTTCCAAAACAGAAAGAGTATAGAAATAGGCACTCAAAAAGCAACATGAATAAATATTTGGAATCTGAGTGGAGTCAACTTGTGTCTATATGACCAGCCTTTAATAAGAATATTAAAGAACAAAAAGTTGGAAAATAAGAGTGATATTAGCGGGAGTGTTGCAACCAGCACCAGTAATAGTGCTCACTTAAGCATTAAATGCAGGCAGTAACCAGTGGTCTGATTTTATCTGAAAATACTGCTTTTACAATATATTCTTTGGGGGAAAATGCTAAATGGCTTAGTAAGGGCAGGGTTGTCAGAAGTATAGAAAATTAGATACTAATCGATACTGAGAGAATTCATTTGAGCAGGTATCGATACTGAAAAAGTCACGTTCACAGGACAGCAATGAACCTTTCCGGAATAATTTAGAATGAGTTTAGTAGTAGAGTAGAGTAGAATGAGCTGTGCCAGAACAAGTATAAGACCACATAGACTAGTATACGCTCATGGACCTCTATGGCACCTAACTGGACTATTGAGGCACAGGTATAAGGCCACAATGGTGATATAAAAGGAAGTATTATTTAATGTTGAAAATCATATTATGCTGTGTTAAATGTGTTCTTTAGAGCTCTTTAGTGTTTTTATTATCATTGTTAGTGTGGGTATTTAGTCTAATCCATAGTACAGTATAAAAATCAAGTTTACTATAAACATTTTTGTATCGTGACAACACGAAAATGGAAAATAATCGATTAAAGCTTACTCTTGTTGATAACTTAAGAATATACTTTCTAATACAAATGTAAAAAAAAGTTTTATCCTTAACTTAATTGTGCATCATAAATACCTGAAACACTGAACACTGTCAAATAAACTCCAAGTGTGAAAGAAAGACTTCCATGACCCATATTCTGATTCAACAAATTCTCATTTTAGAAACATAGCGTGGAGATTTTAATGATAGATTTTTGCCAAGATGAGAAACCCAACCTCCAACCAAAACAGTCCGCTTCTTTCTGACTGTAGCTCTATTTGTGATACATTCGAATTGACTGACATGACTAAGTTTCAGAGTTTTCACGCTTGGTGTCAGGGTTCAAACATCTGTGCATATTTCATCTTTTGTTTTCTACTAAGTTTAGTCATGTCGCCTTTGGGTGCAGTGCAGAGGCCATGTTGGAACAGACTCCAACATGTGAGGGGCTGCAGGCTGTGGGAGCTTTATGGGTGGAGAGCTGGGTGTGATATGAGCCTAGTGAAATTATATTGGTATGTTTTTAATAGATTGAAGTCATTTTAGATTTTGGAGTCAATAAGGGGTAGAAATTCTCCCTAGAGACCACACAAGATGAAGATGTAGGGGAAATTTTATAAGGGTCAAAATAGGTTTGAATCCTGAAATGCCTTCATTATATAAAAAGTTTTCTGTCTTTAATTTTACATGACATGAAATTTATGCTTTTTTGGAAACAAAAATTGGATTAGAAAAATGTTGGAGGCCCTGTACCCAAAGTCTCCCATTCTCAAACAGTGACAAAGGGAGGTACATTTACATTTACAGTGTTAGCTGTGGTCACAACTACTTTCTAGAAATCACAATCCTTACGCACATCCGTTGTTACTGTACAAAGCAACTTGACAAACTTGATGCAATGTGAAGTAGTTTCATTAGCGTGGTGCATGTTGATTGAGTTGTGAGAGGTCTCTGAAGGGGGAGTGACTGTGGAAAGCAAATGGAAAGGAGACTCACAGCATTAAAAACAAAAGTGAAAGTTAGAAAAATGTTACATTGTTTTCACCAAATATAGCATTTTTAAAACAATAAAAGGTAAAACAGTAATCTATGTTACGTGTTAGCAGTTAGTACCCCATAGAAGTTATATGTAATACAATACTTTTGCATGAATGCCAAAAAATGCTAACTCTGTTATTTAGTATCTTAAAATCTTTATTGGTCTAATGGTAGTCTAACTGAAAATCTATGACGTGTTACATAACACAATCCCAAGTATTTGATTAAAGAAAGTTCATATTACAATTCAGATATATGATGCCACACTTAATTTCCTTACAACAAATTACAGATTTTACAATGCTTTTTTTTTTTTAGTAATAAAGTCCTTTTTAACGGACAAATAAACAAGAGCACTAAAGTCCCGTCTTCCTTTGAAATATTTTTGCAGGGTTTTAAGGTCAGTTTTTGTCAAAATTGATTTGGGCCTAAATCAATTTCTGGTCTAGTTTTCTTGTGTCCATCTTTGTAAACAGCGTGAAAAAGTCAAGGAGACAAAGTCAAATGTCAAAATACATGTTGTAGATGTTCAATCGCTGAATTTGAAGTATTTTTTTCTCCAACTTGCAAACACAGTATTTTTAGGTTTAAAGCTGTGCAGTTGTATGTGTACTTTTTCTTATTTTTACTCTTTTATTTTGTGATTTTTCATTTTGTTGAGGTTATTTGGTCAAGGACACCTCCTCCTTGTTGGTGAAGTGAGTCTGTATTTGTAAAAGGCAGGGGTTATGCAACTTCATCAAAAAGTACAACTACAAAGATCTTTGAGTTTATAGCCTTCATCCAGTTACAAATAACCTCAAAGACAGCTTGTACAGTGAAGCAGTCTGTGAAATACAACATTTTAGAGTAAAAATAAATTGTGCTGTGATTTATTAAATTGATTTGAATGCAAAGACTGATAATTAGCATGAGAGATGGTAGGTTATAACTGCTAACGAGATCAGGCTTTGACATGGAGGTTTGGCCACAAAACTTTTTAAGCACTGTTATAATATTACTGCATCAAACACATACCTGGAGTTCTATTTTGTTTCATTCACACATGTTTGAGTAAGCCTTCACTATTAGTCTGTCTACATCCATCAAGATTAAAATGCTCTGTTCCACCGTGGGATGTCATGTAGTGGTAGTTTTCAAATGAACAGCTACTTTTTACATTTTGTTCAGTAGAGATTGGCAATTCCTTGGCTGAAATTGATTAAATGATTCTAGTGAAGGTGTTTGAAGTTTAAAAACACAGTGGAAAGTAGCACTTGTATTACCATGTGACATCACAAGGTGGAACAGAGTGTTTTCTGCTTGAGTGACGAACTCAGCCTAAATATGCAGGGTTTGTGTGTGAATGAAACACAACTCCAGGTATGTTTGTGATGAGAAAAGACCATTATGACATAGATCAGAAAATAGCGTAATATGGACCCTTTAACTTGGCCATTTTCATTTTAGAAAGATGCAAGTTTGATCAATTTTAGGGTTAGTAGGTCCATGATTATTCAGCACAATGAAAAGTGATGTCCTTTTTTTTTTAAACAGCAAAAGCTCTCAAAACTATTATATATGTATATGTATCTGTATCTGCATAGACTGATTAAACCAACTAAAGCTCTACAGACCTAGTAATCATTAAAGCAAAGTCCATCATCCAGTTTTACTTTATTTTGTCCAACATTGTAGTTCACTTGGTGCACTACTAGAATACAGCTGGGATTTTACACTCTTTCTGGGATTTCTTAGCATGACTTACATCATTTTAGCTAATGTAACCAAGTCGTATTTATACTGTCAAAACAAATTCTGAATATCCATCATGAGTGTTTACTATCTGCATCTACTTTAACTTTCAATTGACTGATTACGGGTTTCACTGCCAGTGCGACCACATGACAACACTGTCTGTTTTTGTTCTTCTCAAAGTGAGACTTGTACTCCATTTTGTGGTTTTATAATGATTCAAAATGGCATGCATTACACATTTACAGCAAGCCAGGACCAAACCTAACACAACACATTTTGAATGTTTGTGTTGTTTGTGACAGTAAATTGCTGACAGTGATACAGAGATGAGCTCACTGATGGTAAAATGTTGCAAGACATAAGTTGTAGAAGTAATGAATTTTTGTGGGAATTGGCATCTTAAATGCTTTTTTGTTCTGTATTGCATAACCCAAAGTGAAATACCTGGAGCCAATTTGCTTTTTCACAGGTTTAAAGCTGCAACATGCAACCTTTCTGGAAGGGGCCATGGGAGCTGTTGTACATCTTAGATTTATTAAAATATATATGTTTTTTGCTACAACAGCACCTGAAAAAATATGCATTCTTACTATGACTTGTTGTGACCTGTAGCTTGGACTGGTGTGGGTCTTTTGCTCATGTGCTAGTGTGGAACATTTCAGACATTTATTCATTATTCATTCAGCTATTTTTGTTTTAGTGGCAAGAGACATGAAACATTTTTGTATCAGTGAGACCAAATTCAACAATATGCAATTATAGAGGTGCACTTGAAGTATTTTAATGACACATTTTTACCAAATACAAAACATTCAGGATCAGAGTCATGAAAACAATTTGCCAATTCTTCTAAAACAAGCGTTTCTGGGTAGTGAAACACAGCTGCTAATACACAACCTAATTTATTTGATAATGATTTTGAATAAATTTTATTGTTACTACCAGACAAATAAACTAGTTCTTAGCTATCACTAAGATTTTTGCTTTTTTTTAAACAAACTCACTCAAAATTCTTTTTTCTCTGTTGACAGACCAGTCCTGAAGACAACATCAACTTTGTCCCCATCATTGATGCCATCAACAGTGTCAGCAGATATGGTACTCTACTGCTACTGCTACTACGTCTACTACAATAGGACTGCAACAATTGCTACTGCTACTACTTCTACTTCTATGGGACTGGAACAATTACAACTGCTACTGCAACTACAGCTACTATGGCTACTGTAACGATTAGTTTACCACAACTACTTCTACTGCCTCTAGTACTATTGCTGCTACTGCTACTGCTACTGCTAGACATACTGATGTTGCTATATGACTACTGCTACTACTACTGCTCCTTCAGCTAAGGCTTTCAACCAAACACCACATCAAAATTTTGGACTAAACCAGGACTAGAACAGGACAAACGAAGTCTACATCAGAACTAACATGGGTTCTAAATCAGGACAAATGTAAATGGACCTGTACCACTATCATTATACCACTAGCAGAATTATGACTATCACTATTGTTACTCCCCATCACAGATACTATTACTGCTGCTTCTAGTGCTACTGCTAACACTATCTCAACTACTACTACTACTTATCATTCATCGCAGTATCTGATCCTATGTCTCCCCCACATAGGTAAAACCAGTGAAGTGTCTCCTTTTACTCTGCGCGGCCTACTGCCAAACTCCACAGAGAAGTACTTCCTGTATAATGGATCTCTGACCACGCCCCCCTGCAGTGAGACAGTCGAGTGGATCATCTTCAAAAACACAGTGTCCATCTCTGACGAACAGGTGAGGCCAGAAAAAAAAGATATAAAACAGAGCATTTTATGGCATTTGAATTGAACAATATTGAGTTATGGATGACTGGGCGATAAACACAAAAATGAATATCTCAACAATATTTTAGGTTTGTTTCTGGAATGTGCTGAAATGTGTCTGTAAATGTCTTGGTTTAGGTAAGGTAAAATATCGCACAAAATTTATATAGGCCATAAAATTAACCATGAATATGAAAAAAATATATTTACACTAAAAAAGTCTCTTGTTGAGGTAATAAATTATGTTTTTTTAATAGACTGCTACTAATAGAATACCACTACTACTAGATATACTCAATTATTACTGCTAGATATGCACAATATTCTCATTTTGTATATCTCCTGAACAACAATTCCAGTGTTATAAATTTTTTATATATCTCTCACCTCTACATTGACTTTTTACATCAATTAAACAGGGGTGTCAAACTCAAATTCACAGAGGACCAAAATTAAAAACTGGGACTAAGCCGTGGGAAAACTGAATATTTATTGAAAAATTTCAACAACATGTGCATGTTTTCTCTTCTTTCAAGATATGTAATGTTAAACTTTTTCTTATTACAATAAATGTTTAATAATAGTTTTGCTTAAACACTGAATCTAGAACAAACATAATATAAAATAATAACAACATTTTAAATAAATAATGTCTCTATAACCTATCTGTAGCCAATGGGCCAGCTCTAATACATATTTGATATGATCTCGTGGGCCAAATATCACGGGCCAGATATAGCCCCTGGGCCTGAGTTTGACATGTCTGAATTAAAGCATCTGTGTGTAACATCCCTGGTGGCATGAAGTTAATTATTGTCTTGAATGTTATACAGAACATTTAATAATATTCTATAACAATTGTTTTACTGCATCTGCATACACATTTCAGTGCAGTTTGCATACTGGTGAGGGTTACCATCAATCAGTGAAATGACAAATCAGATTATGTTGTTTCTAGGGATGCAATGATACAGTTTTCCCAAGTTTTGATACATATGACAATACATGGGTCACAATATCGATTCGATTTCGATACGTTTTAAGACATTATGGTATTAATGAAACAGTGCACACCTTACATTACAGTACAACTACTGTACAGCTGTAGTTTATATGTGAAGTGTTTCATTTCATTTGGTTCAGTGATTTACAGCATTTTTATTCAGTGAAAATAAGAACAGTGCTTACTCAGGCTATTTTTTATTTCATAATATAGGGGAGTTACTTTTCCTTTGTTGATGATGATTTAATGATTTCTTTTCTTTTTCACCTGAGTCTGTTTCTCCTGTCACTGCATTCACACAGGATCCTATATCTGTGTTACTCTGTTTTGTCTAGAGCAGTAGCAGAGACAGACAGTAGCACCTCTCACACTGCCCTGCTCTTTTTATGCACACTGTGCTCTACCATTTTTTTTCTGAACACTAAAACTATGTTATATTATATAGAAATGTCTGAGGAAAACTTATGAGATAGAGTCTATGAAAAAGATTGCGTATATCACAAGCACAATTGATTAAAGCTAATGTAAAGCCAAAGACGTTTTCTTTCTGCATCTGAGGAGGACACCACAATAACTGTGTTCCCTTCAGACCAAAATAAATGACACAACGGCGCATGGAGGAACACATGCATATTGATCGAACACCTGTATGGAATCATGAAACCAATACTGAACTATTCAATATTATATCAAATATCATTGCATCCCTCGTTGTTTCCATCTGTAATTACCATGTACTACCATAATTATACTTTTACTTACCAGGCTACTTTCATCCTATTACTAGGTATTCTGTTACCAAGAAACATTCAAGATTCATTTAGTTATTGATCCTTAAACCCTTGAACAAAGTTATATGCATATCACCTCTGTGAAAATTTTTATAAAATGTTATTTAATAAATTAGATATTACATCCAAACATTTTTTCCAGACATTCTAGTACTTTTGCTTGCATTATTCAAGTAGTAGTAAATGAAAATTACGTAATTATTCAAGCAATAATATTATTTTGAAGTTACAAAACTCCTCTGTCACCACTGTAGCCACTTCAACAGCAGAACATCTCCCTCTGCGCCTTTGTTCCACATGAAAAGATCCAGAGAACACAATTATCAAAAACGGTCCGTAAACAACCTTTTAGAGCTGTATTCACCGTGTGCTGAAAGGGTGAATTATCATACCAGGACTGGAGCAAAAGGAGAGGGAGGGGCAAGCTTCGGGCTGTCTGTCTATTATTGTCTATCTAGCCTTTGTGATTGACACCCATATACTCGCAGTCATTTCACCACCCAAATATTTCCTATACAAAGAGCCTTCACGCCACTTAAACAGGAACACACGGACATTTAAAAGGTTTCACAGGGGAAAAACAGCACAGCACCCGTAGAATCCTATCTCCAAAAAGCATGGGGTATGGCTGACATTCAAACATGCCTCAGATGTGGTTAGGGAGGTTTCATTTGAGACTATTACAGTCACTCATACGGCAACAACAGGTGAAAGCACGTCCCGATAGCACTAAAAACATATCTCTGCGAAGATCTAGGCCCCGAGGTGTTTACTCAAAACAATTACCAAGCTCCCGATAGGAAATAAACTTTGACGTGTAACTGAAATGATCATTAACAGTGATGCAAAGGTGTAGCCAAAAAAGCACTCAAGTAAGAGTTTAAATCATCCACTTGTACTTACTCACTGTGGGAAGCATAGCAGACATTTTACTCAAGTATAAGTGCTATTACACTACAAAATATTTACTTAAGTAAGACAAAAAGTATATATTCCAAAAAGTTTAATTTTATTAAAAAGTTACTCAAGTTAAGTGTAATGTAATGTTACTTTGAATAAAAGCACAAAGTTGGTCATTTGGCATGGGATTTTTGTATGTCAGATGCCCACCCAGACCATGCTGAAGTGTTGAGGAAAAACTAAATTTGGGCTAAACCTAGACAAGACCATGACCAGGATTACAGGACTAAACTAAGTCTACATAGGGACTAAAATGGGTTCAAACCAGGATCAGGGTGTAGCACACTTATATAAGCCTTCTTTTTTAAACTAAGGGGTTGTAAAAGAACAATCCAATGGAAAAACCCATGTAACATAGCTATTCCTAGTGTGAATTATTTTTTTCTGAGTCAAGGCATGTTTTCTCGATCTAAACCAAATTCCTCTAGCATGAAAAGCATTACCCACATCCCTAATTATTTAACCGACTGCGTGCATGCAGTTCCCAATCACTCCAATTATTATTTCATATTCTTTTTCCATAAGACAGGCCCAAGCTGGTCCACACACATACTGTATCTCCATCTCTGCTTCTGTCAGATTGTAACAGTTTAATAGTTCATGACATATACCCCCCACTACCACAATTGTTTTCCTCTTTGTTTTCCCTGGCTCTGAGCTGGAGGTAGTCAGACGCCGCAGGGCCCTGACTCACCTGAGCTCAGAGCAGGTACAGAGAGGACAGGCTATGATTAGTGCTGCTTTTACACCCCATTCACTCAAAATGACTGAGGAGTACAACACCTACTTTGGGTTGTTATGTTTTATGTTGCTGCTAAACTAACAGACGACGAGCTCACTCACATTTTGATCATATGTGGACTATGGTTTATACTCTATACATTTATTCAAAAGATGATTAATGGACTGCATTTTTTTCTTTTTTTGGTGTAGAATGAATATTAGTAGTCTGAGGGTTGAAGAAAAGTAGCATAATGCAGGAGAAGTTTATTTACCTCAGTACAGGAGCCAGCACCTGGAGACACAAACCCTCAAGACATTGTGATAGTGTCCATTCCAGTCTAGTCGAGTCGAGTCCAGTCTGGCTGTGCTTCCATTGTAGAAAGTATTATACCTATTTCTCTATAATTTTGTATTCAGCTTTAAAAAAAAAAATTCTAAATGACTCAGTGAATCAATCCTCTGATATTTGGGTTGGTGGATCACAGAAATACAGTCTTTCACCCACAGACCAATCCAGTAACTATTGTTGTGGGTTTTTTTTTTGTTTTAGCTGGAGATGTTCTGTGAGGTGATGACCATGCAGCAGGCCGGGTATGTGATGCTCATGGACTATCTCCAGAACAACTACAGAGACCAGCAGGAGCAGTTCATGGGACAGGTCTTCTCCTCCTACACTGGCACTGAGGAGGTCCACATACCAGGCAAGTCTACAAACACACACCTCCTCACGCTGTTACTACTGCTGTGCCAAGTAATTTTGATGTTTTGCTTTTAAATTTATAAATAGAAAAATAAAATGGTGGACTCTAGCCAAGTGCCATCCCCTACAATGCAGATTACCTTCACAAAAGACGGTATGACATACATAAAACAGGAAAAGAATTAGTTAACATTTTGTCCCAGGAAGACAGCTTAAATACACTATGTCATGTTATTTTGTTATTTTATTTTTAGTTATTTTTTTGATAAATTTCAATTTTGTATTCCCCATTTGAATATACATCAATATACTGTATTTGTTCTCATTATTTTAACACATTTTAAAGCTGTTCTTTGCTAATACAGCAGAAAGCAGCTCAAATTGACCTGTTAGAATAGTAGATACAGACTAATTAAACTCCAAATGAACAAGTGGGTCACAAATGATGTTAGATTGACTCCAGAGTAATAATAGCTGCGCGCTGACCTGGATGTACTGTGTTTCATTGATTTGGGTAAATGTCAATTTTCACTGTGACTGGTATGAACTGGTACTAATCAATTATTAGTATAGGGCACAAAAGTGGCACAAATCAAAGTATGGATTTTTGACAAGAATATAATATAATATAATGATCACTAGCACAGCTCTTCTGCAAGGCTATGGATACAGCTATGTTAATGCCTGTAGGGAATAAAGCGCTGGTGCATCTGTATGATCTTTGTCTTAGGTTGCTCTGCCCTCTGATGGTAAAGCAGTCAATTGTGCATAAAACAACAAAATCTAACTTTAACAGGTTTTAACTTGCAAAGTATGGTTTGATTTCTATTAAACTCTTGAGATCTAAAGCTCAGTTTTGTCACCACATACTAATTATTTATAATTATTTACATAAAGTTAGGTAGACTGTCCTGTATTTATCTTGCATTACTCTGCCCTCTGGTGGTTAACATGTGCATAATGCGATGTTTCACAATGTGCACCTGTTGATACACACAGCTACAGTCACTTTAACCACCAGCATCCACATAGAGATTAGATTCAAGCTTTTTAGAGCTAGAGAAATAATTAAAATATACAAATATTGCTAAGCACATTATTAGTAAATTAAGGGTATATTTTGTGGAATTTTTTGTCAGTCTCCAGTTTTATACTAGGATGGTGCAATGAATGAAATTGCAACTGTAATTTTAATTATTTGTCCAGTCAGTTTCTAAAATGATGTAATGCTGATGATGTCACCACTTTTTGCAAGTTCATGTCTCACTTCAGAAGTTACTGTGGATAAACCTACAGTAAAAACAGTGAATGAAAAGAATTAAAGAATTAAAATACAAGCAAACAAAGCTTTAAAAATATTGTTCTTGTTTTTGTAGTGTGCAGTTCGGAGCCGGAGAACATTCAGACCATGCCGTACAATCTGAGCAGTCTGCTGGTGATGTGGGAGAGACCGCGGGCTGTGTATGACGCCGGCATCGAGAAGTACTCAGTCAAATACTGGCTTGCAAACACAAAGTACCCCACCCCCACGGAGTACCTCACTGATGGTGACCAAGATGTGGTAAGAAAAAAACTGCTATGACTACACAACATGAGAGGAGTAAATAATAAAAATACAAATAAATATGACATATGCAACACACTTATATATAAAAATATTTAGTAAGTACATAAAGTACATAATAGTACATAAATTATAGTGAGCTCAAAATATTTGTGGAATTCTGTTCTTAGTTGAAAAAAAAAAAAGTTATGTCTCTTTGGTACCAAATCACTAAAATGCCTGATGGGTCCAGAAACAGCAAAATTGAAAGTTACTAGTGCAGTCTCAACATAAATAAAAAAAATTTTTTTTTTTTTTTTATTTTGCGCAGAAAAATATGTCTTTTGTGGCATTTACAAGCATATTCTGTTCAAGGTTCTAAATATTGATTAATGCAGAAAATGTCATTCAAGTACTGGTGTGGTAAACCTTCACTTCTTTTAGTAACAAAATATTCTTTTATTGCACTATTTTTGATTATATATATACTTTAATACAACTCTGTCCCCGCAGGGAGCCATCTTGGATAACCTATCCTCCAACACGAGCTACATGATCCAGGTGGTGGCAGTGTGCACAAACGGTCAGTACGGGCGAAGGAGTGACCCGCTCAAGGCTGACATGCCCATCGAGGACCCGGGTAAGAAACGCCAGAGAGGAGTTTAAGAGAACAGTTAAAAGATAGAATACACAAAGACAACTTAATACAAATAACATATTTTAGATTAAGTAACAAAGACACATTATACATACACCAAAAATCTGATCATTATCTGATTACTGAGGTCCATTTTTTGCTGAACTACTGTAGTTGTCATTCCTGCCCTTTCCTCCATTGTCCTACCCCATTCTTCTCACTTTCTTCCTGTTCATCTGGATATGTGCTCGCTTGTGATTTAACATTGTCTGTTTTGTACTATTTACACTTTTCTTATGATCCTGTCTGTATTTCTATAAAATGAAACTCATGTCAGGGTCATTTCCATTGTCAAAGTTGTTATCTTCGTATTGTGAAGTTCATTTCTTCTGCTTCTCCTTCTGTCACTGTAAAACATGTGTAGAGATTTTGTGGAGGTATATAATTATTCAAAATTTGAATAATGATATACCATTTGAATATCAAATGACACATTTTGTTAAATAAACTCAATAAAGTACCACACCATATTCATACTTTTTCTTCAACATTTTTCCCAATACCAGTAATAATTATTATATTACACTTTATAATAACTACACTTTTAAAAGCTTTAATAAAGCATGAACAAAGATCTCATAATCCATAATGAACGCATAGTTTATTAAGAAAGATTTAGGCTGAGTAACTACTTAATTAATGCCCTTAAATGAAGTAGTTACTAAGTGTGAATCATTTCTCCCGAGAGAATAGGTTTTGACAAGGGGGCCACAAAAACTATTTGTTCATGATGAATTAAGTCTATATTCCTGCTTTATTTAGGTGTAGTTCTTATAAAGCTGTACCTAATCTGTCTTTTGACCTGCATGAGACCATAGCTAGCTTTAGTTTTGCACTTCTCTAATGGTTAGTTCCTATACAGTTTATTTAAATGTGTATTTTCATCTTATCTCAAATAAATAAAATTGAATCAACTAAACTGTCTTAACCATCCGTGTTTCACCATCTTCTCATAAATGAATTTCATTTTCATTATTTATTTACACTAAACCTCACCTCATGCTTCATACCCTTCTCCATGACTGAGTCTTAGGTAAGAGCGCCATCTCTGGCCGTGTGACCCCAGACACCTGTGTGCTGTCATCTTACACTACGCATTTGCAAATAACTGACTCCAATATAAAACATTTGGGTTTGAAAATTTGATTACTTTAAATGATTAATTGCAAATGCTATTTTTAGAATTAATGTGATTGTTTGAGATTTACATGCATGAAAATATCTATATTATTGCATGTGAGTGTTTGGAATTTATACATAGATTTTCCTCGTTGTCATTCTGTTCCACCATCAAATTTATTCTTAATTCATAGGATCAATTTTGATATAATATTTAAAAATTCCCTTCAACCTGGTATTGTGAGTTCTAAAAGCATTTTTTTCCTATTGTTTTTACCTTGTGTGTAGATTTGCCTCCAAAATATTTATACATGTTTTAACTTGTTGCTAATTATAATTTAATTTTTTTCTTTATTTCAGAAAATTCACTCATTTCCAAATCAAATGAATTTGATGAAGACGTAAGTAAAGTTGATAAATAAACTTCATTTTAGCATAACTTTACCATATTAACTAATATACATAATAATTCTATCTTCTACCTTTTACCAATAGGATGAATATGGCCCTGACTTATCCTGGAATGAACCAGTCGAAAAGGACGATTACGAAGTTGTTTTTGTTCCCACAAAATCTCCGAGCACAACAACTACAGAATTTCCACGATTACCTCCGCCAGGCCTTAAAACTACAACCGCAGAACCAAGATGGAGAAGCATTACCACAGAATCTCCAAGCAAAATTACTCATTCCATTCAGAGTGCTTCCAAAAAGACTCCACATCACAGTACCACCACACAGCCACCAGAGGGAACTGTAGCATCAGAAAACAGGGGAAGGCTGCATTTGAATGTACCTGTATACACCACTACTACTACTGCAAGAGCACACACTACCACAAGGCCTTGGTACTCCACAAGTGCGAAAGCAGATAGCAGCCTTCAAAGCCCTAAGCATGTTACAGACAAAGACAGTAGTATTTTTAGTACTACCACTACTGCGTCATCACTTTTTACCAGTCCAAAGACTAAAACCGGAAAAGGTTTATTCCCGGTTAGTTCAAACAAGACTTCTAATGACTTCAGCACGACACCTCCCAGCCCCAAACTAAAAGATGAAAAATCATATAGTCCTACTACTACTACAGAGACAATTAAATCAAGCTCACACAATGCTAGCATGACAACTAGCAAGACGACAACACCTCCTCCATTCGTCAAACTTGCGAGTGACCGAGGTCTGCTACACCCTGCAAAAGTCGGACCCAAGCGCAATGCAAGTATGTTCACGACAACCGAAGCCCCTCCTGTCTTCCACCAAGAAAACTACACTACCTATAATGCACCGTCCCTCCAAGAAAACTCCACCACCCTTAATACCTCTTCGACCCAAGTCCTCCCTATCCAACCCACATCTTCTAGCCCAAGTTTGTCCACCTCCACAGCTCCTTTTGGCACGTTCACTGACTTGCCGACTTCTCTACCAAACGGTGAGACTTTTTCCGCCCCGTCCCCCACCTCTTCCCCCTGTCCTAGCGATCCGCACCCCTCCGCTTGCCTGCATGACCCCGCAACAACTGCCGCTGCACACTCCCTCTCTTCTTCCTCCAGTTTTTGGCCTGTTTTGTCCTCCACCATCTTGGATTCCCAGCCTGCACTGCTCCCGAGCCAAGAACTAGCTCAAGCTTCTGCCACCACCTTACCCCACCCTGCTTACTCCCCTTCGCATTCAGAAACCGCGCTATCCCCTCTTGATGTTTCTATATCTATGGGTGATCAATCAGTATTTAGTCAAACTCCTCCTTTACGAGATGTTTCAGACACTATCGAACCATCCGAATCCAGTTGGTTGTTTTCTTCTGTTTCTGTTAGCCCTACTTTGCAACCCTCCGTCCTCCTGTCTAGTGATTTCACTCTTTTCAGTAGCACTCCCGGCTTGTCCCGTTCTCATGATGATTCGAGATACGCAACGGGAAGTAACATTGACTCTTTCTTTCACGAAATCAGCGGTGATGGTATTCTTTCGGTCAACGATGCCGAAACTTTGTGTGCTTGTTCATTGGAGCCATCTACTTCCTGGTTGCATGCCTCCTCCCATTCCCCGCTCCCGTTCTCAGCTTGGGATAGTGAACAGGTGTATTCTAGTGGTAGTGTTTTGGCGACCCCAAGTGTTGGTCTTAACAATTTTATGGGTTCTGTATCTGTAGGGGTTTCTTTAGAGCGATCTTTCACCTCTTTTGGTGCTATCATTCCAACAGTATCTTCCAGTTTTATCCTTGCTAGCAAAAGTGACCTACCGATTTTTGTTACAGCCACAAAATCTAGCCCTAGCATTTCTTCGTTTTCCGACGGGACAGCTACCCAGAATTACACCTCTACGAACACCTCCTTTACCCCCACCACTAATGTGACCATTTTAGACACTAGCAGTGCATCGGGTTCTGCCATTTTTCCTGATTCTCCAGAAGGCGTAGACCAAGAATGGGACAAGATCCAAAACTCCGGCTCCGGGGACGACATTCTCCTGTTGTCAACAAATTCTAGTGTCACGGTTCCACCGACATTGACCCCCTCTTCCGGATCGGGTTCTTTGGACGATTCAGAAGACCACTCCTCTGCGTTTTACTTTGAAACCGAAAGTGGAAGCACAATCGGATCACAGGATACAGGAAGTGCGGCCAATCCTACTGTCTCCATGGTGACGACTGTCGATCTACCCCAAACACTGAACAGTGGAGATGGAGAGAGCGGTTCGGGGCAAGGGGAGGGCCTGTATGACAATGAGACGTCTTCGGACTTCAGCCTGGTAGACCGGAGCGAGAGAGAGTCAGAGGATGAGGAACCAGTAGCAGGTAAAACATATATAAATCCATGTAATTTCTTCATCTTCAGTTGAGGAGTCATCATCAACAGTCTGGGGGCCGGTGTACAGACCAGACGACTAATCCAACCATCTACAATAACGTCTCATTTTTCTTCTTACTTTGGGGACCTTCTACAATTTTACTTTTAACAGAATCATCATACAAACTGTGTAGTAATTCTTTTTAGTTTGTGGCTTTTTCTCGCTTTCCTTACTAACCAATTCTTATACATTTTGTTTTGTAATGCCTTGCATGAATGGATCTTAGCATGTAACATAGTAGTTTCTTTTCTTTTTCTATGGTGGGTGATTTATTCCACTGCATATCATATCATTACATTAATTATAACTGTTGTTGAATCATGTCAAAACATCAAATCAAACAAATGTTAGAAGTACATACAGAATTCAAACTCTTAAAAATACAAATTGAAACTCATGCTGTTTTATAGTGCTATTCCTTTTTAATGTCCAGAAGCAAATAATACTAGAGCCCAACCGATATGGATTTTGTTGTGGCCAATATGATACCAATATAATGGGAGTTGGAGCTGCTGGTAGCTGATATAATCACCGATATATTTAGTGATGTAAAAATTCACTGTAAGTCTTGAATTATTAAAAAAAAACTTAGGTTTGGCTCTAGTGGATTTTAAACTTGGTTTATTTAAGCAACATTTATTGTTATTCTGCCTCTTTACATGATATGTCATAGGACTAAAGCAGGTCTAAAGCAGGACTAAACCAGAACTGAACCAGGACTGAAAAAGGATTAAACCAGGACTAAAACAGATCTAAACCATGTGTAAAACAGGACTAAACCAGAACTGAACCAGGACTGAATGTCGGGACTCGGTCTCTATCTCTCTCCCTCTCTCGATCCCAAGATTAGTCCTGGTTTATTTATTTTATGATGAACATATATATGCACATTTTTTTACCCTATGCACACGCATATTTTTGAAAGTTTCGTTTTTTGCCGCTGTCAAACTACCAAGAGTCTGCACGCGACGTGAAGAGAAAAAAAGTGAGAGAAAGAGAAAACACCGCTCCCAATCCCAATAAGGATCAGGCTCCCGTCGTTCGCTTCAAAGAGCCGGCTCTAAGAGCCGCTTCGTTCGTGACCGACCCATCACTACGAGCTAGTAAAAAAACAATCGCTATTAACCTTTAGCCGTAAATGCTGCGCGATGCTGTAATTATTATATGCACAAATTTCATCATTCACACGTCTATTCACAGCTCATTTACATATCAATCCAGGTCCAGTAACAAATATACGGCCAATATAGTCACTATACAATAGACTAATAGAAAACAGCCTGTTTATGTGTGGGAGCTACAGCAGCTAATCGCTAACCTATCAGAACAAACCAAAACTAGTTTCAAAGTCGACACATTTCCAACACTCACCGCTCACACAGTCTCCTCGTCACATCACAAGTCTACACTAATAAATGTCCTTTTAATCCAGACTCAAACCGATTGTCCGTAAAAAGAATATGATCTCAGTGTTGCGCACATGGATCTATGTCTGCGGCTGTAAACAAACGCACGTCACTCTGGGGGTGTGTTCAGGGACAGTAGGACACACACAGACAAATGACTCCGCGGATAAATACTGCTGCAGAGCCACATATTAGGACATTTATCTGTCTGTAAATTGGATTAAATGAATATAATGTAGAAAGTCTAAGCTTTATAATGAGGTATAAAATGCCCACGTGAAATATCGGCCCCTATCAGCAAACATATCGGCCGATAGCCTTCCAGGTGCTCATATTGTCCAACCGGTCGGGCTCTAAATAATACATAATAATACAGTGCAGTACAGGTAAACTTGTAGATCTGAGATTATTCATATATTATTTGCATTGGCTATGTAGAGCCTGTAGCAGTATGTCACTTCCTGTTGCAGCCAGTAGAGGGCAGCAGAGACCATTATAAACAGTACCGCCACTTTCTTAATGCACAGTCCTGTTTCTAGCCTAGTTTAAACTGTTAATTTTGACATTTTTTGTGTATTTTTCAAGTTTTATTAATTTTTTACGAAATCTATAAACCTTTTAGTCTAACAGAATATATATAGATCATGGGGACATGTACGGATACATTCTTGGAAGTTGAGGTTGTTATTAACTAGAGATTCTTAATATTCTTTACTTCTAATCATAGTTTTAATCATTATGGTAACTTTTTTATTTTGTTAAGTCAGCAAAAATATGACATTGATAAAAAAAATATGAAGAAATGTTTTTGTTGAAGTTAGAATGACTTGCCACCATTGAGTGCGGGGATTGAATGTATGGAATTAAGTATCTTTGAGTGTCTAAAAGCAATACATATGACTTATTATTATTAACTTATAATGTACAAATACCTATATACACCTTTCTTTTCATTTTGATCCTTTTAACAACATGTCAGCTTATTCTCCAATTAGGTGAAAACATATTTTTCTAAATGAAGCCAGCATTTCTTCCATTTTCTTTTTGACGTAAACACTTGATTCATTCTAAAAGCTCTGGCAAAGTTTGAAGTGAAAATAACGTGTTGATACATAAACCGTAAAAAGGAGAAGGTCGTTTGAAAGGATGCTCTCACTTTTGGCAGTGGAGTTGCGTGGGTCCCAATAAGTATATTTTTCTGTTTACTGTGACTTTTTAACAGCTTCAAATTGACTTTTAATCACTCTATTTCAGACTTCTAAACTACTCAGCCGCGCTTGATGATCTCGAGGTGTAGCCATTCACACATATGGCTGTGCAGTGGAAACAAATTAATTACAGGTTAAAAAATGTTTTTAGTCGTGTCAAAAATAGAGAATACTTATTTATCAAACATTCTGAAAATATTTGAAAACTAATTTTAGTGTTTTAAGATGACAGGGTGAGAGGAGACAGTTTTGACCAATCGGATTTCATACAAGGGGATTTGTTTTTTCTCATTGCTTGGTCTTAACAAATTTAGTGGCTCAATTTATTTATTTTTTCTTCCTTTTACTATTCTATTTTCTATTGTGATTTTCTACACTGATGCAAAAATATGGGCTTTGGTATGTATCCTAAACGAACTAATATTTATTTTTTGTTTAGGTTTTGTTTTTTGTTTTGTTAACTAATCTTATCTTGTATCTAAACTTATTTGACAAAAAAGTGTTGCTGCCTTACACACTACTTTAATGTTTCTATATTTAAAGGCCCTAGATTGGTTCAATTTAAGGCCCTGTGTCTGATTTTTTTCCAATGTTTTTGAGCAGAATTTGTCTTGCCCTAGTACAGATGTGTTGTATACGCAGATCTTGCATGCTGATTGCATCTGATTATGAAGCATTTTATTGTCTGATAATCAGGAAGTGTGCAGTTAGCATGCTAGTTGTCATTAGCAAAACTGTGCTCTGGTCTCCGAGAGTTATAAAATGCATTTATAAGATGATCACAGTGAATATTAGAATGCTCAGAAGTCAGAACATGTAAGGTAAACAACAAATCACTTTGGACCACTGTTTTAAAATGATCTAGTTCTTTTTTTTTTTTGTATGTTTTTAAGACCATAAAAATCAGATGCAGCATCTTTAAACCCCAAGTTAAAGTTACCTAATGTTCCTAATCCACCATAAAAACAAAAAAAACACATAAACCTTCTAATAGTAAAATAAATTCAAATTCTGTGTTAGTATCTGCAAACATGCTTTTCCACTTTCTATTTTTTTTGAGGCCTTTAGCAAAAGTTAAGTGCTGCTTTATGCTTGCGTGCATTACTTCCTACTTTACTACCTTCATAAAAAAATTTCCTCTTGGGATTTTCACTCTTTTTCTCATCAGTCGTTCTTTTCAGGCCGCATATAAAGACTTACCTGAGCTGAGATTGAATGCTAGCAGAAAGCGCAGAATGACTCTTTTATGAGCTAAACATGGCTGACCCAGCTATTGAAAAAAGATATGTTTTTGACAAGCAGCGATCGACAGCCAAGGTTAATCTATACTACTGTTTTCCATACTGGTTGCCGATTTATATAAAGGAATGGATTGAGTAGTCCCGGGGTCACATATGACAGGTTTTCGTATCTTCTCATTCATAGCGACATCTATGGCAAAGCTTGACACCGTCTATGTATGGTCTGTATGCAGTTTGATGAGTTTGACCCTACCTGATTCGCGTCAGAATTGTGATTAAAAGATATTGTCACAGCGCAGTGCTTTGAAGAGGATCAGTGCAGGTTTGAATAGGTTTGTGGTAGGAAGTAACAGCAGAGCATTAGGATATCAGGATGTTAATGACCTTTTTACATCTAAATGCAGGAAAAATTATGAATATTTATATAAAATGAAATAGGCGGGTCCCACTTTAGTTATTATAGGTCATGTTTTGGGTTGGCTATTGGTTAGAAGGAGCTATTTGGTGAATGTTTTCTTATTGACATTTCTACAAAGCTTTTCAACCACTACATGTTGAAAAATGCGCTAATTACTAGAAGATATAATAATACAACAAGTCATAAGAGTCACAAGTAATGTTAAAGGTGCACTCTTTTCTAATGGAGGGTCTGTCACTTGCTAGTTGCCACGAAGATTTTATTGCTTTGTGTAGAATGTTCCACAGAATAGTATTAAAATTAAACCTGCAGACAAGAAGGTTTCACCCCTAGGTCAAGAAGAGGGGAGTTTCAGTGGAAGAACACCAGTAATTTATTAAATGCAAGACAGATAAGTTTAATACCATAGTGTGGAAAGTTATTGTCAAAGCAATAACATGTCCATGGAAAGAGGCAGGAGGCAGAAAAGTTACATAGTGCACCTTTAAAAGCCTTGCACTTAGTTTTAAACAATGAGGAACATGGTTAAGTTCCTGCTCTCATGTTGCACCATGACAGAGAAACAACCATCCATGATTGCCCCAAGGAGTTGCTTCCAAATATGACTTTCATCCAACTGCATGCTTAAATGGACAAAATGGAATTGGTTGATGCACACAGTCCTCATCAAACGAATAGAGTATGGTTAGACTTTTTGTTTCCTTATAAATGTTGTCTTCTGCGTTTGAGCTGAGCTGGAGTTTGATATGCTTCTGGAGTGACATTTAAAGAGTCATAGATAGAATATTGCTTAGGAGTGCCCATAGACTGTATAAAGAAGTGGACTAAGTGAGTGTGGTGTCACCCAGTGTTCAGATGCAGTCAAATGAAGCTCACAGGGCTAGCAATTATAGGAGTGAATATGGAGGCAAGTTCAATCCTAGGAATAGGAATTCATGCACGTACAAAATAGCGAAATAAAAACACCAGAATCATGTAGAGCTGATTAAAAAGAACATTTTAGGACCAAAATGACGGAGCTCACAGCAGTAGTTACTGAGAGGGGCAACAATTTTTCAATGTAAAATCAGTTGCAAAGTGGAGCTAGAAGCACCCCCATAAACACTTCCTATTTGGAATGTGGAAGCTTGCTTGTTTGCTATGTCCATTTATATATCCAGTCTATGGGAGCGCCTAGAAGCATTAACTTATTATGCATGTTCAGCCTCATGTGGGAAATGAAACCACCCAAATGCAAAAGGAACATGCACAAAAGTCCCCTTGCTGTGAGGTGAAAGTACTAACAGCCTGTTGTAGTCCTGCTAATAACAGTATTTGAAATGTCTTATATGCATTTTCTCAGACAAATTAACTTCTACCACCATTCCCCTAACAGCAAACAAAACAATGTATTTTCTTTCTAAATTAATTGTTTATGAGTGCCTATAAACCCTTCCAACATGACAAACAAAACCACTGTAATTAAGAGCATGATAATGTGTTTCCTGTCAGATTTAAGTACTATTGTAAACACCTTAAATCCTTCTGTTTTCTTGTGTCATTTGTTTAATTGCATAGATGCCTTCACTGGACATCTTATTAAAAAATACAAGTGTAAGTGTTAAGGGAAAAGCCTTTCTGTGGAGTTGTTTTGACATCGCCTGCTGAGTTCTTTATCCCACTTAATTTGGACCCGTTTTCAGTGCTTAACTATTAGAACAGACAGAAAACAGATTTGCACTTTTAATTAGAAAGAAAATCCTATAAAAACAAGTTAGACTATCAAAAGCTACTAACAACGCAACTATTTTTAAACTATTTTGAATGTAGGATAGCTAAGGTTAGAATTAGAATAGTTTCTAAAGTAACTAATGATACATATTTAATGATTTATTTCCATGTTTTGTTTATTTTCTGAGTACATTGGTAGTAGTAAGAGCAGTAGTAGTAGGTCTAGTAGTTTCAGAACTTCTTGTATTGTAGTAACTTTTGTGGTGGTAGCACGTAAGATTCAAACTAACCCTTATGTAATACTACACCACATTTTCACGTGTACATCAGTGAGAGAGTTTTGCCATTGACATTTTTTAAAGCCATACTACATAACATTTCTGGTGACATGCCTGCTTGTCTCTGTGGAGATGAATAACTTCGGAATTTTTGAGCATCAGTCTTATTATTCTGTTACACAGTGGGGCCTTAATATACCAGATTTTATTCTTCTCCTCTCCTAGTGCCATAAAGCTTTTCTGCCTCATTTCTTATTTTGTTGATCCTTTCTTAACTAAATGTAGAGATATAAAATAGACAAAAAAGCTGGTGAACCTAAAAATAAACTTAACTTAATTAATAACTAATTTATACATACCTGTGTAGCTTTTTGTGGTATTACTAACTTGTGTAACTGTATTGTGTAGATGCAAGTAACAGCAGTCATGAGTCTCGCGTGGGCTCCATCAGAGACAGAGAGAAGAAGGCTGTGGTCCCTCTGGCTGTCATCTCCACCCTCACCGTGTTCGGCCTCATCGTGCTCATCAGCATCTTCATCTATTGGAGGTCAGTCACACACATACACACACACACACACACACGTATTTACAGAATTCATTTGATGTTGAAACAATATAACTAAAACACATTTTGGTTTTTGTAATTGTTGTTTGTGGTGAGAAAGTCCATTAGTTCAGAATGTGACCAACACATCTAAATAAGGATAATGCCATACTGTAGAATATTCCAGGTTAAAGCAATAACATCTCCATGGAGACGGGAAGGTGGTACAAACCTCCATCAGAAAAGTTACATAATGCACTTTTAACATTTAAAGTAACACAGTGCAACTTTCTGGAGGTGGCACCTCACCTGTATGATTCCATGGAAATAAAACCCGTTTTTCAGAACATTCTCCACAGAGATACATTTTATGTCATACTGTGGAATATACAGCCAAAGGAAATACATCTCCATGGAAACAAGCAGGAGCAGACCTCCTCCAGGCCAAATAAGAGTCAGGTTTGTGGAGATGCAAGCCTGCTCACAGTAAGGATGCATGATTTTTATTTTATTTTAATTTTTTTCGGTGCAATTTAAAAAAAAAAACATGCTTTTATTTTATTAACTTCTTGGGTTCTTTTTAAAGACAATAGAGTAGGAGTTGTAATTACCTTGTTGACATGTTTTGACTTCTAGTTCAGCAGCTCTGAAGATGGCTTGCAGCTAGCAGCCAAAACACGTCAACAAGGTAAATACAACTCCTACTCTATTGTCTTTAAAAAGAACCCAAGTTAATGTACAAGACAAAATGAACGTTATGAAGTTACATGCTGGGGGTTGTATCTGGAGTAATTTGTGCATTTTCAAGATGCCATATTGCCAATCAACCCTAGTGTTTACCGTCCCCGGTAGACGCCCACCCAGATATCTATATATCTGTGAATGAAAAGAATTCTCCTACTTGCTAACATGATGTGCGGCTATCCATCAGAGGTGCCGACTCTTTGATGTGATGATGTTTACGGCAACGTCAGCTCCCATTGAGCATCACAGTTTTCTGACGCAGAAGTCAGAGTTAGTTGTTTTAGATAAATATTGCAAATTAAATGTGCAAATTATAACATAACGATCCAGTGGTATCATAAATTATAATTATATTGCAGATTGAAGCACAATATATCTTCTTTAAAACTCACACACAAAAAGTTTGATTAGTTTGAAAGTATCCTGTATATCAGATTGAACTTGTCTCAGCCTCCCGTCCTCCAGCCAAATCTTCTCCTTTAACCTCTTAAGCAGGGACAAGGGGGGTCTTTTCCACACCCCCTGTAACAGCCTCTTGGTTTTGTTCTGGGCTCTAATCTTCCTCCGCTCCGTCTTGGGCTGATCTCCCATTGTATTCTGTGTTTGTGTATTTTTGACGCGTGTCCCAAACAAGACGCTGCGCTCTTTGACAATGTCCTCCCTGTCTGCGCATCTGCCACGCTCTGAAAGAAAAACTCAAGTGTTTTTTCATTCGCCGTTTCCGTAGCGACCTTGGGTGCTGTTGCAGTCTTTCCCGCTTTGAATGAGCACATAGTGGTTCGCCACAAACAAAAGTTGAAAGAGGGAACGGTGGAAAGTTAATTTTTGTTCAGGAAGCAAGTGAGGCCAGATAATAATAGGGAAAAATATGTGTGTTGAATTGTATGTAGTGGTAACAATAGGAAATGTGATGTGTAAATAAACAAAATGTGTTGTATAAAAGAAATTAAAGTGGATTTGGGCAATGGATTATCTGTACCCAGTGGTCAAACTGGTCGTGTTCCCTCAGTGGTTCACCTTCGTATTATCCCTGTAGGGTAGCAACCTATGGAAATGTTGTTTTTTTTTTGTTTTTTTTTTACATTTTGTTAAAAAAACAACATATATAAGTTTTATGTGAAAAAAGTCTGACATTTGGGACACTGCATCCTGCCTTTTCCTCACTGTTTGCCTACACTGGTGTATGAATGTGTGTGAATGGGTGAGTGATTCCTAGAACATGTCGCTCATCTGTAAATGTGGATCTGACCATTCCCTTTAAACGTTCTGTGATGGGACATTCGGCTTTCTCATACACAGCAGTAAAAAACTGGAACACGCTTAAAACCTGCACTAACTCCCACACTTTCTCTCATGCACTAGAACAGTGGCTTCTGAGCAGCCGTGTGTCAACATTAGGCTTCTTCAAACATTTAAACATTCTGACTGATTGTACTATAGGTGTATTGTGTAGATTTAAATGTATTGTGTTTGACTAATTGACTAATGATGGTAATGTTGTTGATGAGCTGTATTTTAGAGGATGATAATAATGATGAAGTTGGTAAATGTGCATTTTAGAGAATACTGATGACAATGAATTTGAGCGTTTTTAGAAAATAATGATGAATTTGAAATCTTGTATTCATGGAATTAGAATGAATTATTTTTGATTATTTTAAATGTTTAATGATGAATTGGATAGTGGTTATTTTAAGGAGACATTGTTACTGATGAAATGTTGTTGTTAAAACTGGTCTAATGTACCGTAAATAGTTTCTTGAATGTATTTTATATCTGCCCAAGGACTGCAGATGGAAAGTAGCTTGTAGCTAAATCTGGCACAAAGCATCTTTTCTCTCTGAAATTAATGTTTTCTTGTGCACTGTCCTTGTTTTAAATAAATAAATGGAATTTGCTTGAGAGCCTATTGAGGAAGAAACACACTATATAAATATGACCATAATGTTAGTTACTGTTGACAGACTGGTTTACACCATAATGTTTCTATATTAAAATTACAACACCAAAACTGATGATTACCAAGCATTCATCACAGTTAAATTAATACTTTTTGTTGTCCACAAACAACCAAAAATCTCTTGTTTCATTAAGGTTAAAGTATACTGTATTATTGGCGTCTGATTCTGTATAAAACCTGCTAACACAGAGGCTTTTTAGACTGCTATAAACATGTTGTCAAAAGCCTTTGATTCTGGTATTTGAGTGTCAGTTGCATCATGATTCTAATCACATCATAGCTCAATCGTTTTGACGATATGAGGATCACTAACAATTAAATATACATTATAATAGCTCCCTTAGATTTATTTTCCTGAAAACATCTTTTAAAACCTGCTCTCCGCTTATGCACTCTCAGACTGTGAAATAAGCAACTTGAGAAATCCCATCAAGGCCACACTGTAAACACTTGTGCTGATGTGACTGTACTTTTCTCATCTGATGCACTGACATGCTCTCCTTGTTTGGGGTTTGTTGCGTTGTTGTCATGGGCAGATTGAGCAGTGCTAAGCCTGTAATCGTCTCCCAGGAGAGGGGAGGGGGCTTAGGGGCCGCCCTGTTGGTGGATGGGCCTCTCTACCTCTCTGTGTCCGCTCAGGAAAGGACATTAGAGATGATGGTCATTGGACACTAATCCAAACTTGTGTAACAGATGTCTGTGCTGTTTTGGACTTTTACTACTGCTGCTGCTCAGTTTGAAACTCGATTTTGAGAATTTAGAACAATTGTTGTTGATTGTTGTTGATTGTTGTTACTGGGGTTTTGATCATTAGGATTATGGGATTTAAGACTAGCCAAGACATCAGTTTCAGTTCTATGAGGAAGTGACTATTCATTAGGTCTGTCAGGATAACACGTTATGAACTGCTTAAGAAAAGAAAAAAAATAAAAAATAGACCATAAACAATAATATGTCTCTGACACAATCACCCTAAAAGAATTATCCCCAAAATTATTCTAAATAGCAGTATTAACAGAGCTAGAAAAGTTGAATTTGTATTTTGAGTTGTCATTTGCCGATAGATTAATTTGATAATTTATTTCAAGTGGAATATGATTCATCGAAAATGATCTTATTTTGAAGTTATTTTAAACAGAAAACCAACACAAATTACCAAATGCTAATAATTATTATATTATTATGTTTTATTCCTTTTACATTATTAAAGTTAAAATTTTTTGAATTTGAAGAATGTAACAACATATATTTACATGGTGGTAGGTGTAAGGTTAGGAATATTTATTTTGATTAGGGTAGATTTTAATTATTGTGCATGTCATTTATATTATACTTTTACTCTTATACAAGATGGTAATTTTACTGATAGTGTATCTAAGAACAGCCATATACTTTTGGTTTAACTTATTTTTAAATAGAGAAAATGTTACTACTTTACGAAACTGATTTGTAACCTTCCATCTTTTAGAAATCACACATCATACATTCATTCGTAATTCATTGTTATTTTGTCTGGGATTACCACCAGGAGTAGATTTCTGTCTGAGACAACACAGAGGCGATCTGATCTGGTTAAAAACGTGTCCGGGATTAACTCAACATCTTTTTCCTTGTGTTTGGAGGAGGATTACAGCATCATCTTAAATCTGGGCTAACGGCACGTCCCATTCAAGACAGCCCAAATATTCCAGCATTTTTTTTTTTCATTTTGATTTCATTTGTACACAGTGATTAGAAATTACAGTCCGATCTATTGTTCATTCTCTGTTACTTGTGAATGACTAAAACCTTGTGTATATTATAATATTTTAAGCATTGGGATAAAACCGCTTGTATTATTATTTTATATGATTTTGTATTATATTATATTAAATTCTATATTGTTGTTTTTGTACAGGACCTGCTTCCAGACCGCTCATTTCTACATTGACGACAGCTCCTCACCCAGAGTCATTTCACCGAACCATGCTGGCCTCGCAGATGGTAACACAATACAAACACAAATAAGACATGTTGGGTTTCCACGCTTTTGGGGGATTTTACATTGACTTATATTCATTTCTTAGAGACTGGTCCTAACCTTTATAAGGCCCTATATAACGCAAACATTACTCTTTTGAGCTTTAAACCATGTTATAATGCTGTAACCTCATCTAAAACATACCTGGATTTGTGTTTTATTTCATTCACATGTTTCAACAACCTTTAATTATTATTGTCTACATCTTCAAAGCTCAAAATGCTCTACCTTGTGATGTCATGAAACAGTAGTTTTCCAGTTAACTGCTACCTTTTACCTTTTGTTCCGTAGGGAGTGGCAATGTCAGGGCTGAAATTATCCAAATGATTTTAGTGAAGGTGTGCGGAGTTTAAAAACACAATGGAGCACTTCCTGTATTACCACATGACATCACAAGGTCCAACAGAGTGTTTTCTGGTTGAGAGAAGAACTCAGCCTAAATAATGCAGGGTTTGGGTGTTAAATATGTGCGAATGAAATAAAACACAACTCCAGGCGTGTTTGCGATGAGGATTATGACATAGATCAGAAAACTGAGTGGGCCCTTTAACCGTAGTCACTACTTGTCAAACTCTAACTTTTGATGTAGAATTTATGTCCTAAGGTGATTTGTGTCCCCATAAGTAAAGCAGGTTCCCATTTAGTGAGAGTGTATAGTTCCCACAATGTTAAAACTATCCATCCAGTGTAATTAGCTGATGTACACAGCAATGGAGTACACTGCAGTGGTTAGTCAATGCACCTGTCTCTGAGCAAGGAGGTTGTGGGTTAAATCCTGACCCTACATATGTACATATACAATTCAGTATATTGGTGCCTTGTACTTGTACTTCTGTTTGTCTCCTTGTCCATCTTTAACATGCGTCTCCAAAGTTATTCATGTTTCGATGCTTAACTACAAAGGCTGCAATAGCATCCAGCCGTAGACAGAAGTTGAAATTTCATATTGAGTGTAACTGGAAATTGTGTGATACTTTTAAATCTGATCTTTTTTTTGTTTGTCAGATGAACAGACAGTATTTCCTGTGAAGGATTTTGTGAAACATGTGGCTGATCTTCACGACACTCAAGGTTTCCAGAGGGAATTTGAGGTACGACACAATATCCAACAAATCCAGTATTGTTGATAGACAGCAGGACCAATGGTAAGTTTTGAATAAATAGCATCTATATAGTAAGAAATGGCTAGAATAGGAGGATGGGTGGAGACCTTGATCTAGGATTAGGGTGGGATTACCTGGATTGGCCTGCATGTTTTGTGTTGTTGGAAAGCCTTGAGGAGAATATACATACATGGATGCCGTAAAAGAGTAGGAGAATGCAGTTGTTTGTAGTGCACTCTGAGTGTAACTTATTGTCTTGGTCTGTTTGTAGAGTATGTTAGCTCCTTGGAAGGAACAGTTTTGGTAAAGTGTTTTGTCCTGCTCTAAAAACACTTCACTTAATTGGCAATCACTTCAGGACATTCTTTACCCAAACTTCTCCACTGCTGTTTTGCACTGTACTTGTGTGTCTAAAGTCTTGTGTGTAATTTGTGTGTTTCCGCATCTTTGTTTTGTGTTGTCATGGAAACTTCTGGCTGACCGTTGGCTGCTTCCTCACTTCCTGTTTGTAGATCCTGAAGGAGAGCTATGAGGTAAGACTCTGCCTGCACTGGCTCAGCGCTCTCTGCATGGCCCCTTCTCATAATATAATGTGTCTGTCAGTTTAATTTACACAGAAGGTACTTTGTGGTTAGCAGGCAGCCTTGACTACGGTTTTACATTAACCAAAACATTATAAACATCTGCAGGGTCACATTATACATACTATATCAAATAAATACACCAGTGTGCATAAGAACTTGCATATTTTGTATATTTCACCGTTATCGGAAAATTACATTATAAGCCAGTATTACCAGAATCCTTTGCAGTTTTTACAACACTTCCTCAATCTTTATACATGGTTGTTATTGTAGATTATCTCTTTTAATATTCTATCTAGGTTCTGTGGATGTAGAGGGCAAACAAAAATGATGTTACAAAAAAGGTTCTCAATCCTAAAAGCTGAATTTATCTAAAACATCCAAAAATTCACTTTGGTACTCTCAAGAGGGCATGTTACGACCCAGCTCGTTTGGGGTGAGGGAAGTAACAAAAATAAAACCAAGATGTAAAATGGAATAAATTAAGTAATGTTTAATTAACAGGAATGTAAAGGTAAATTAACAAAACACTACAAATATACAGAAAACAACCTAAACTAAGAAACAGAACAACAGAATAAACAGAGTTTTGTGCCAGAAAAGGGGTCACGCAGGCTTACACAAAAACAAGTGGTAAAACTTAAGGACATACACTAAACCAAAACACAAGTTCCCCAAAATAAACCACATAAACAAACAAACAGAATCGAGTGACCAAATCAAAAAAAACACAAAACTAAACTAAACTACACACACAAACACAAAACAAAATGGCATACTGGCCACCAAGGCCAGCAGCCCCGAACAGGTGCTGGTAATCTCCTTAAATAGGGGGCGGTGGCTGCAGGTGAGGTGGGGGTCGACCTGCCCCACCAATCACAGACCAGGACTCCTGCAGCAGGAATTAGGAGAACTTCCCAAAAATCACACAGCAAATTAAACCTAAGGCCTGGGGCCGTAACAGGGCATGTAACATAAACACTTGGTCATAATAGCAAAGTACACATGCAAATCATTTGTAGTATTGATCCTGTGCCACCTTTCTTTTCCAGATTTGGCACTTTGTTAATATAACCCATTTCACTCTTTTAAATGGAGCACACAATACATTTATTGTGTGTTCTGTCTGCTGTATCCACAAACATTGCTAATCTTAAATGTATTCGTACGAGTTTAGCCTTGGAAATAGAAACAAAAGCAATTGTATTTATCATATCATAAGTATTTATCAATTTGTTCAAAGTACGGTTACTATAGCAACTTCAGAGCTTGTACCAAAGTATCTGGGAGTGTACAATTAGATAAATTGTGCCAAATCGAGTAAGGTTCCAAATTGGAAAATTATATCCCTACATGTAATGAAATATAAAATAATCAATATATATATTTAAATGTACCTCTATAATTAATAAGTCCTGTATTTGGCACAGATATTAGATTTTTTGTGGTTTTGCAGGAGGTGCAGACGTGCACGGTGGACATGGGTCTGACCACAGACATCTCCAATCACCCTGATAACAAAAACAAGAACAGATACAGCAACATTCTGGCCTGTGAGTACTACAATCAACTACTACTATCAGAAAAATACACAAATGAATTAGTTGACTTCAAAACAAAAATCTAAATACTTTTGATTAGCAGTATAATTTACCTGAAAAGTTAGATGATTTTCTATTGAATAGGGTTGAAACGTAACTGATTTTCCTGCACAGTTCATTTACTATTAAGTGTTTGCAATTAATTTATGTTACAGTATTTCTAAAAGCTGCTGCTATTTCTTTCTATAGGTTTTAAAATTCCCTTCTTCTTCATGACCTTTAGCAACTCTATATTTTGTATTCTATATACAGTATATATTATTTCTACACCTCTATTGAACTCTGTGTAAACTCTGTGAATAGATTCTTCTGAGCGTACAGAGTTTAAGCACACCATTTTGAGTATAGATAGTGTGCAGAGGTGGGGAGTGTTGAGTTACCTTTACTAGAGAATATAAGATTTACATTTTTATTTGGACTTGAATAATAATATAATAGTATTTTAAGTAACAGTACTCTTACTTGAATTAATCTAGTAGCATTAATTGAATTAATCTAGTAGGTTTACTCTTCTGAGTTTTCACATGTTTCTTCAGTTTGTATTCTTACTGAAGTAGTTGATACATATCTGATCTCTTTTCCCCTTCCACAGATGACCACAGTCGTGTCCGCCTCGCTCCTCTTGCTGACAAAGAAGGAAGGACCAGTGATTACATAAACGCAAACTTTGTCAATGTATGTTTACTTTTTATCGTCCATCTATTAATTCAACTTTGAATTGTATGTTCAAAATGTCATTTCGGCTTATATTTTGATCCAAATGGTTTGTCGCATATTTGTGACAGTCGGTATTAAGAGGTTAATTACAAATACATTACATGTACATACACATTTCTTGCCTACATTTCACTGGTTTGATGATTTTGATGAAGTTAATAATTTTACTTCCTGTTTGGACAAGGGCAACAGATGTGACATATCTGTTACCTAGCAACCATACTGTAAACAAGCCCCAGACTATTTAACAAAAAATATTAATTGTTTTATATTAAATATATTTGAACTATAAAATGTTCTGATGTCATCTACACCTAGAAATACATACTCCTTTTTAGAACTCAGCTCCACTCCAGGTAGTTTTAGTCTATTTTTCAACTTTTCTTCACAAACTGATGTAACACTACGATAAATATGATTAACCACACGTACTACCCCATCAAACATATTCATAATTGAATAAACATGAAAACCTTATGCATTAAATTATTGTACCTGACTTATCGCTTCTACTCAAAGAATTATCCAGGTCTATTACACCTATGACACACAACTTTAAATGGACTATTTCTTGTGAACTGTGTGAAAAGGACAAGCGACAAAAGCAGCGAGTGGCAGTCAAGTTCGCGAGAGTGTTTTGGAGGAGCTCTCCAGCTATGTGTGGCACAAGGCTCTTCATTCCTCAGCCTCTGAAGGTCGAGGCTCTATTAGTGCTCTGATTGGCTGCTGCCCTACTCTCACCTCACTTCACCAATTTGTTGTATCTGAAATCACTTGGCAGATTTCAACCCACTCTTAACTTTTCACAAAACGTTATCCTTGATTAGTTTTATATTTTTTTTTGTTTTATAAGAGGTGCACCGAAGTGTATTTTGGGTGTAATAACCTTGGGGTTTGCTTAAAATGTGTGACAAAGAAATATTGTCTAAGATTTTGGCCTCTCAGAAAGAATTTCAAATCTAGATGATCTTGGAAATATGTGCATGTGAAGAAGCTAATGTATTGATGAACTTCATAAGTATCGATGAAGTTTTAGTATAAATCTCACTAAGGTTGGCATTTTGATCTCCTGTATCCTTAATAATAAGCATAGCTGTGCTGTGTCATTGAGAACGCCACCTAAGTCACGATTAAGGGTTGACCAAAAAGAACTGATACCCAGATTAGAATCAATACCAAAGCTATGCAGCACTAGAAGTGCTAATCTTTAATGAATGAAACGAAACTTAAAAATTACCACATCACAAGGTAGAACAAAGCATTTTGAGCTTTGGAGATGTAGACAGACTAATAATAAGGGGTTTACTCAAACATGTGTGAATGAAACAAAACACAACTGCAGATATGTTTTTGTGGCAGTAACAACACTATAACATGGAATCAAATTGACAGAATTATAGTTCTTGATTTATTTAAGAATCAGTACCACATTGACATATAAAAAATATTATTTTGTGTAATTAAATTGTAAAAATTGTTGTATCTAAATCAGTGAATATTGAGCTTTCCCTTTGTATCAAAATCAAGTTGGAAAATGGAAATGTTAGTATCATGACTCTGATTTGTGATGGATGGAGGTATAAAAAAAAAACTGCAGGCTTTTGTCACCAAGTATGTTAAGTCCAGTCCAATGCAAAAAAAAAAAAAATGTAGAGACACTTTTATTTTATTTTTGTCCAGGGTTTTAAGCAGCCAAAGCTGTACATCGCAGCCCAAGGTCCACTCAGGTCTAGCATGGAGGACTTCTGGAGGATGATCTGGGAACAAAACGTTGGGGTTATCGTCATGATCACAAACCTGGTGGAGAATGGACGAGTGAGTCAGATGTCTTAATACAATCTAAAAATATACATTAGTAATAGAAATGCTGTCTGAATAGTTATTCCTTATTATTATTTACTCAGACTAATAGGCATACATTTTCTGAAGTGTTATCTAATATGCTTTTCTATTGCTGTGTTTGTCTGTGGTGCGTTCACTGCCCCTCAGAGAAAGTGTGACCAGTACTGGCCAGCTGAGGTGCAGGAGGAGTTCGGCAGTTTCCTGGTGACACTGAAGAGCTCCAAACCACTGGCCTATTACACCGTCAGGACATTTAGCATGAGGAACACCAACGCCAAGAAGGTCACATGGCATTTATTTTCGTATATGATATTTACTTCATTGATCTCTACTGTGGGGGTCCACTACAGTTAAAATGTTGGTGCTTTGTCTGAAATGTTCCACAGTATGGCATTATAATATTTATCGAAACATACATATTCAGTGGTATCAGCGCTCCACATACCTGACCTGTAACTCTTCTTCTGCTTGTCTATATGGAAATAGATATGTTAAATGCCATACTGTGGGACATTCCAGGCAAAACTATAACAAGCAGGTGGCGAACCAGAAAATTTACTCAGTGCACCTTTACATTTACTGTTATATATTTATTTATTCTACTTAAAATCGGCAGTTATTGAGTTAGTAACTTTTCTGAAACAACTTTGAATCTAAAAATAATGATCGTTACTTCTCAAACACACACTGTACACTAATGTATGAATTATAAATAAAATATGAATTCATTATTTGAACTTGCGTGTCTCTCACAGGGCTCTCAGAAAGGTCGCAGCAGGGAGCGCACAGTGACCCAGTTTCACTACACCCAGTGGCCTGACATGGGGGTGCCCGAGCTGGCCCTGCCTCTGCTCAGCTTCATCAGAAAGTCCTCCAGGGCCCGCACCGAGGACATGGGCCCCCTGGTGGTGCACTGCAGGTGGAACAGACAGACAGACAGACAGTACTAACACTACCACGAAAGGCTGTTGATGAGTACATAAAAGGCACTGTACCTGATTTTTAAAAACGTGAAAAACAGATCTAGTTTATTTCAAATAACACTTTTCAGAACTTGAGAAACCAGAGCAGAGTTTTGCCGTCGGGTTAGGCTAACGAGAACTATCATGCTGACAATGCACTTCCTCATTATTAGACATATAAACTCTATAATCAGATGCAGACAGTACATAGTTTATTTTGACCTTAAGAGCTGCTTATACAATATATCTGATCTGGGGCAAGTTTTGCTCAAATACTAGTACATGGAAAAAATTGGTTACAAGGCCTTTACTAGTAGTTCATGTATGTTATTAATCTGTCTGTGGCAACATTTACAATTTATTTGTTTCAATCTCTTGAAATATAGGAACCATTGTCCTATTCTCAAATGCACATTAGAAAAAAGGCAATAAAATGGCATAACACTGAGATCCATGTATGGCAGTACTAGGGAACCATCAAGATCTGGCTCTTAAATAAATCGTATTCCAGCACACAGGATTGAACTATGATCAAATTGAGTCTAAACCAGGACTATACTAGACTAGTCTGTTATAAATGAAGATAATGTGGCACTATAGACCATTAGTGCTGGTCAGGCGAGACTATAACTGTTAGCATGTTGCCAGATTGTTATTGTTGTTATTGTTTATTATGACTGCTATACCTGATGTTTCTTCTTGTTGCCTAGCGCCGGAGTGGGTCGGACGGGGACCTACATCGTCCTGGACAGTATGCTGAAGCAGATCACAGATGAGGGAACGGTCAATATTACAGGGTTCCTCAAACACATCAGGACTCAGAGGAACTACTTGGTCCAAACTGAAGTGAGTGGCACATAGCACCCTCAGAATGCACAATCACATCTGTGTCAAGCGCCATGGTACTAGAGGATACTGTTGTGTGTTCAGTTTTTTTTTTTTTTTTTATCCAAATACAAATTTTAACCCAAAAATTTCATATCTGGGGAGACTGACAGATAATGATTAGGAATAAAAAAAAATCCAGTGCTTTTGAATATTTCTGCAACTGTAAATTAAATGATTATATATTTTCTCCTTGTATTTTCCTTGGACAAGGCAAGTTTATTTGTATAGCACAATTCATACACAAAGTAATTCAAAGTGCTTTACAGAATAAGAAATACCTTAAAATCATAATAAAAACAAATCAAAACATAAATAACCATGAAGATTAAAATTAAAAAAGAGAGACATAAATTGGAGAGAAGAGTGCGGAATGAAAACCTTTCAGTTATATGCACAGTTAAACAGAAATGTTTTGAGCCTGGATTTAAACAGCGTCACAGAAGAGTCTGTCTCACATGTTCAGGAAGACTGTTCCAGGTTTTAGCTGCATGAACCTGAAACGCTGACTCCCCTTGTTTAGTCCTGACTCTGGGCACCAGCAGGAGGCCGGTCCCTGAGGTCCTCACAGTGCGAGATGGTTCATATGACACTAACATGTCACAGATGTACTTTGGTGCTCGGCCATGGAGAGACTTGTACACAAGCAGAGCTGCTTTAAAGTCTATTCTCTGAGGCACAGGAAGCCAGTGCAGAGACCTGAGCACAGGACTTATGTGCTCGTACTTAATAGTTCGAGTAAGGACCCGAGCTGCAGCGTTCTGGATGTTCTGCAGCGTCTCACAGCTCGTTTGGAGAGACCAGTGAGCAGACCATTACAGTAGTCTAACCTGCTGGAGACAAACGAATGGATAATTTCTCCAAGTCTGATTTAGACAGTAAACCTTTGATTTTTGCTATGTTTTTTAGATGGTAAACGGCTGCAGATGTTATTGACTTGATGTGGCTGTTAAAGTTCAAGTCCGAGTCCATTATTACCCCTAGATTTCTTGCCTGATTTGAAGGTTTTAGAGAGAGAGACTGGAGGTGACTGCTGACACTGTCCCTTTGTTTCTGTGGACCAAACACTATGACTTCAATCTTGTCAGAGTTTAGCTGGAGAAAGTTGTTTTGCATCCACACACTGACCTGTTGGATGCAGTGACCAAGTGAGTCCACTGGTCCATAGTCTCCTGCTGCCAGAGAGACGTAGATCTGAGTGTCATCTGCATAATTGTGGTAGGACACATTATTGCTGCTTATTAACTGGCCTAATGGCAGCATGTAGAGATTGAACAACAGGGGGCCCAGGATTGACCCCTGAGGCACCCCACAGGTCAGGGCCATGTGATCTGAGACACAGTTTCCAATTTCAACAAAATACTTCCTGTCTTCTAGATAGGACTTGAACCAGTTTAGTACAGTACCAGAGATGCCCACCCAGTGGACAATAGCGCTATAAAAAGTAGCACAGACCACAATTCAACAGAGCTATGTTATGTGGAGGTTCATTGTAAACACGTTCAGTAGAAGGAGCTGTTTACATTGTGTCTGCCCTTAAGGATAATCCTAACCACGCTTTCACTTACTTCAAGCATAGAAAAGCGTAGTAAAAATGTTATTCACAATCATCTTTACTACTGTATATTTTTAAAGCAGTCACCGGACATGCTAAGGCATTTATCATTTCTCACAAATTATGTAGTAGTAGCAGTCATAGTAGTAGTAGTAACAGGACCTGAAAGTGAGGGCCTCTAATGTTGCATCAAAACAGTGAATGCATTATAAGACATTAATAAAGTAAATACAGATTAAATACTAATTAACATCAAATTCACCACTTAAAGGTATGCAAATTTGTTAGTAAATGAGAAGCTAAACAAGTTGGTGCATGTTACTTATCCTCTCTTTTTCCCAGTTGTGGTCAGTAAAATAAATAATTTTTTGAGCAGTTACAATATTCAGTATTTGGTCTGCTGCCGTGACTATAATATTTGTCGCTATTGCTTAATCAATATTGGCCAGTGCCAATACTGGGACCAATCACCATCTTTACCCCTCTTATTATTATTCAGAGAGATATAATAAACGATATATTTTTGCCTCATGGTAAAACTCTTAACTTAAATTAAACTAAAAATTTATACTGATTTATACTAGACTGAATCCATGGCTGAGCTGACAGACCGTACTTATACCATATTGACTATAACATTTACAAGGTGTGTCCATTTAGACATCTAGTTACAACAATGGTACGGCAAGGTCTCTTCATCAAACGTCAATACACTGCGAGTTGGTCAAAAGAATTCATTTCAATAACAAAGGCCTTTGTTCTAGATGGAGATTTTTTACACCTAAAATTAGTGTTCAATGATTATTGAGTTCAGAGTGCTGAGGTGAACCCGGTCACACAGACTGCATTGTGACTATTGTCTTTCTTTCAGGAACAGTACGTGTTCATTCACGACGCTCTGGTGGAGGCTGTCCTGTGCGGGGACACTGAAGTAGCCGCGTCACATTTGCACAGATACGTGGACGAACTGTTGACCCCAGGGCAAGCTGGGAAAACGCGCCTCGACAAACAATTTAAGGTCAGATGATTGTGATGGTGCTATGATATTATAATGTTTATCAGTTTAGTGCTTTTATTAGTAGCGTATAGTAAAGTGTAGGTATGGGTGTACTTAAATATACTGTATGTATCTTAGTGTGTATGTCAAGGGCAACTCAGTTTAATTAAAAGTGAATGATTACTGCCAAAAATTTTCTAAAAATATGATCATTATTATAGTGTAGTAATTATCATTTTAGAGTTATTGACAAAGTGCTTTTACTGAAAGCAAACAAAAATAAAAACTGTTAACGGAGACCACTTGAAAAAAGCAAATTTTCACAAAAACACAAAAATAATGTTCAGAATGCCATCGGTGAAACCGTCTCTGCTTCAGCTTTTCTGGTGGTGGGGGACTTGTTTGTCTTCATGGAGATTTGAATCCCTAAAAACCTGACTAAAAATAATGCATTGTTACTGAGTGGGGTCACATCTCCACAAATCTGATCTGTCAGTTGGCCTGATGCCATCACCTGTCTCCAAGGAGATGGATGCATTTAATGCTGTGGAGCATTATATCCACCAATGTTCTGTTTTTTAATATGTATTTCTCCATCTTAAATCTTTATTTTTCTTATCTTAGCTGCTTAAATCATACACCTTTCAAAATGATTTTGAACTTTACTGTGCATGTCCTCCTGACCTGTGATATTGAATGTTACATTTTCTTACATTTAATTTAAAAAGAGTTGTATTAACACTATTTAACAGAGCTCTGAAATGTATTGATTTGAAAATAAATCAGATAGACACAGAGGACAATATCCTTCTACTCCAGACTAGTGTGAGGTGCTTGACTTCTGCTAGTGATGGAGATACAAAAGCAATAGACATAGAAATAGAAATAGACTGTTTAAAAGAGTCTGTTTGGAGCTTCAGTGACTGGTGGTGGTGGTTCACTGGTTTATTTTTACATTGACCTTTGTCCCTGCAGCTGCTCTGTCATTCTTCACCAAAGCAGTGCGACTTCACCACAGCCTCAAAGGAAAGCAACGCAGCCAAGAACAGGAGCGCCGCTATCTTACCAAGTGGGTCCCCAAAACACTTATCCAATGTTAGCATTGTCACCCAACAATACCAACAAAATTTGACTTTTCCTGAATCAGTATATTTATTATATGTATATATTATATAGGCTAAGAAAACAGTGTTAAAGAATCAAATCAAATCAAACTTTATTTATAAAGCGCTTTTCATACAAAATGTAACACAAAGTGCTTTACAGTGATTAAAAACAATCCCACATTTCCATCCACCCGCCCACCAACCCAATCCCCACACCTGCCCTTCCCCACACAACCAAACAACCCAAACACACACACGCACACACACTCACACACACACAAACACACACACACAAAACATGGTAAAATACAAAAAACTACACCAAATAGAATATGAGGCTGAATACAGGCGAACCAGTTGAGAAAGCACCATCAGAGGAGCCGTCTACACCAGGAGCAGAGAGACGTCCACCGCCACCAGGAACCACCACAGGAGCCAGGGGAGAGATGAAGCCTAAGCACCAACTCTCCACCAGGAGCCCACGGGACAGACCCAGCAGCCACAGCCAGCCCCTGCTCCTGATGCAGAGGCTCTTACAGAGGAAACACTGGAAATCCTATCCTAATCCTGGAATTGCCTAAAATAAATAAATATAATAAAATGTGTAAACAAGTAAAAGTATAAGATTTCAATCAATAGCTAAGCTAAAAAGGTGGGTCTTGAGCCTAGTCTTAAAAACATGAATGTTCTCTGCAGCCCTGAGCTCCTCCGGCAGACAGTTCCATAGACAAGGGCCGTAGTGTTGGAGAGAGATGCCTCTCCGTGAGTGTGTGTCCTGACTTTGGGAATGACCAGGAGCCTGCTGCCAGAGGAGCGCAGGGTTCATGAGGGTTCATAGGGTAAAAGCAGTTCTGAAAGATAAGAAGGCCCAAGACCATTAAGACATTTAAAAAACAGTAAAAGAACTTTAAAATCGATCCTGAAACTCACAGGGAGCCAATGCAGTGATTTTAAAACCGGTGTAATGTGGTCCCGCCCTCTGGTCCTGGTCAGGACACGTGCTGCAGAATTTTGTAATAATTGCAAACCTGAAATACTCTTTTTGGGAAGACCAGAGAGCAGGGCATTACAGTAGTCTATTCGACTGGTGATAAAAGCATACATGACACATACATGACATGCAGCTTCAATCCATCAGAAGGGGGCGCTGTACTCATAACATGTGACTGTACTCTTGGGTTTCAGTTTCCTTTTTATAGGTGCCACTTTCAATAATATTCACCATTCAAAATATGTCATTTTTTAAAATCTTTTAATTGTTCATTACTATGGCAACGATGCTCATTTTTCATCATTCTGAAACCCCTTGAATACACAGTAACTGAGATTATAGTCGTTTGGATGGATAATAGTGATATTTTGAATATTATATGAATAATATATGAATAATATATGAATATTGTCGTCTCTCTCTCTCTTTATAACTGCTGCTGTGAGCTTCGTCATTTTGGTCTTAAAATGTTCGTATTAACCTGGTCTACATGATCCTGGTGTTTTTTGTTTTTTTTTGTTTTTGTCAAAAAAAAAAAAAAAAAAAAATCCTATTCATAACATAGATACTGTCTCCAAATTTGCCCCTGCAGTCATTAGCATTGTGAACTTCATTTGAGTGACGCTGAGTTCTATGGGCGACGTCACACTCATTTAGTCAATTTTTTTTATACACTCTATGATGTTCCCAAATATCAGTGTCAGTCCAATTTTGCTGATATTTAGCTCAAATATTTTGTTTTAAGCTCCCCCAATCTGTGTGTGCCCTTGTCTCATAAGTTAATAGAACTAGAAGTGAAAAGTGATTTTGTGAATTACTTCATATATTTCAACATAGATGAGGTACCTTGACATGTATTTAAAAATTGTAATATTGGTGTCAGAAAATATCAGTTAGTCCATAGCAGGAAGGCAAATATCGAATATTGGCAGTATTTTATAAAGTAGTGTGCGAAGTCCAGTGTCCATGACTAGAATTGCTTGTAACTCCCTTGTTTGTGTGTCTCTTAAGCTGAAAGATCTCGTGTACGGTTGTTGACATCAGCTGGAGAAACGTCAGACTACATAAACGCATCTTACATCGCTGTAAGTAACAATATCCCTGCTCACTATATTTTTATAATCACAATACTGAATTTTTTATATTCAAAGGGTTACAGAAACAGCAGTGAATTCATCATTACCCAGAATCCTTTGCCTGGTACTGTCAAGGATTTTTGGAGGATGATATGGGACCACAACACTCAGGTCATTGTTTCGCTGCCAGGGTCGACCACCAATGGGGTAACAGGATTTGTACATTGTTGTCACATGTTTAATTCCAAATGGTTTAATATTATCGCTGTATGTGTGTTGTTAAAGGAGGAGGAGGCGGAGTCTTGTGTCTTCTGGCCGCGTAAGGGAGAGCCAATCAGCTATGAGACGTTCACAGTCACACAGAAATCAGAGAACCACATCTGCTTGGCCAATGAGGACATGGTGGTGCTGCAGGAGTACGCACTGGAGGCCACACAAGTGAGACCATCTACAGTTATAGTTGGGACAATCTATCTATTTTTAAAGAGTTATCTTTCCATCTTCAGTTATAATCATATAGTTATTATATGTTAGTTTGTGATAAATACTAGCAATAAACTAAGGGAATGTTTCTAAAATCTAAAATTGTAATTGCTATTGTAGTGCTGTGAAAGTAAAAAGTAAAATAAGATAAATAAGCTTATTTGATATAAATACTTATTTGATTAATAATTCCTTTATATTATCGCTTCATTGTAACGTTATATCAAGGTTATTTTAAGAATGTGAGACACAAGGACTTACGGGAACAGAGGCACGTTGATTTGTGTTTGGTTTGGTGCAAAAATAAAAGTACTAATAAAAGTAGATCATCTACAAAAGGATATAAAACTGGATTGAATTTTAAATGCTAAATATTAAACTGTTTCTATGAAACATGAGTAACTAAATATGTAACATACTTTAGTCTGAACTGTTAGTCCTGCACATCGTGTCCCTTCTCTGATGTTGAACCATGACCACTGTCTGTGAGGACATGCAGTTATTCATGTTGATGTATAACCCTGAACTTGAATCTCCACCAGGACGACTATGTGCTGGAGGTGAGACACTACCGCGCCCCCCGCTGGCCAAACCCAGACAGTCCCATAAGTAACACATTTGAGCTGCTCAGCCTGGTGAAGGAGGAGACGCACTCAAGGGAAGGGCCCACTGTCGTCCATGATGAGTATGTTTATATTCAGATACATGCACTAGTAAAGTTACATACACAAGGGCCACATATCTAAACGCAGACGAAGCAGAGGGCCAATCGAGGGCCATAGACTGGAGCTCAGCAGTGAATAACTGAAATATGTGCATGTTTAACACATTAGAATGAGCCATCAGTCTTTATTCACGCTATTCAAGATCCTTAAAACCACACACTAAATATTAAATATGAGCTTTATCAAGGTAGATATTCAAAAAACTTGCAGTAAAAAAAATATTTTCAATTGATGCAAAGTAATTTGGGCCAATTCACCTGGAACTCTGAGGACCAAGAAAAATTTGTCTGAGGGCCGCATTTGGCCCCCGGGCTGTAGTTTGAACATGCCTGCTTTAAATACTCACATAAGGATTGTAACATTTGACAATAAAGGCTTACGTTATTTGATCTTAATAGTGTATGTTGATTACTGTATATATAATGTTGTGTTTGTCAGTGTGGGCGGAGCCACAGCGGGGACCTTCTGCGCTCTGCTGTCTCTGAGCCGACAGCTGGAGGCGGAGCAAACAGTTGACGTGTTTCAAGTGGCCAAACTCACAAACCTGATGAGGCCAGGAGTCTTCACAGATGTGGTAAAGTGTTGTTGACCTTCAGATTATTACTTGGAACTTGGAACTTGAAAATACATATAGTGTTTTCTTTATTTTATGTGTACCTTTATGTACAATATTGCATATTCAGCATTGTCCAAATTAAAACTTGTGTGGTGTGCAGACCACTGGTCAAAGCTTTGTTAAACAGTGTCCCAGACCAAGGTCCAAAACATCTCCCCATCTCCTTCTGGTTCCTGTTACAATATATCAAATTACAAGTCTCTACATTTATATTCATTGTTTTGGTGTTGCATTATTTGATGCAGAAAAAAAAATCAGAAGGAAACGCATAGACCATGATCCTTTGCTTTTTCAGGACAGACTAGATAAAGAAATAACTGTTAGTAAGCACTATCAGAACCAAAGGTTTGTCAAGGAATTTTAAAAGGAAAAAACTGCTAAATCACAATTCTGTTTGCCTCCACAAAATATTGCAATAAATGTTATACCATGAACTGTATTTCGTGAACGTATCATACTGAGAGATTTGGATATCGTTACATCCCTCCCTAAAACACACGTTAGACTTTTGCTGTCTCTTGTTGAATGGAGTTGCTCTGTCCCCACAGGAGCAGTACCAGTTCCTGTACAGGGCCCTGCTGAGTGTGGTGGGACAGCAGGAGGACCAGAGAGTGCTCCAGTCCACAGACAACAACGGGACCATCGTTGTGGGAACGGCCAGCACCGCCGAGAGCCTGGAGTCCTTAGTTTAACACACACCATTCTACTTTGTGGACTCTTAACTGAGCGTCATACTCTGTCTTAAAACACACCAACCAATGTAAAACAATCAGGCAGAACATTAGCAACCAACAGCCCATTACAACCTCATAGGCAACAACTGTTTGATCTTTAAAGTACTTTTATACTGAGTACTACAGATCTATGTCCAACCTCCTCAAATCTATTTCTATTTTTAACACGTGCCAATGTTGCTGATGTTAACTGTCAGCAGAGGTGGTTACAAAACTGCACTTAGGTAAGAGTACTGTTACTTTTTTGAAAATCTTGATATTAATTGCTCAACATCTGATCTATAGATAGAAAAAAGTACAGTTAATTAAGTAAGTTAAAAGTACTGACCAGCCAGAAAACGTCAAATGATTTAATACTGCCAAGATTTTGTCACTAATACTACAGTGGCAAAAGTACAGACAGAAACTTTATCTCTTATTACTCAACTGGTAAAACTACTCACTCAAGTATATTTCTTTATAATAACTACATCCTTATTATTGTTGTTAAATCATGAACAAAGACTATTTATAAGAATTATTGAGACTTAGTAACTACTTAATTATGAGTTAGTAGAGTAAAATCAAGCGGTTACTAAGCCTGAATCATTCTTAATAAACTATTTTGTTGATTAATTAGTCTTTTGTCATGCAGTATTAAGGTTATTTAAAGTGGGACTAAACCCCTAAACTCCGCCCACAACCACATTTAAAGTTTATCATAAACATAGTTCTGCGTGATATTACCAACTACTGGGAACTGCAGAGGACACTGAAATCAGCACATTTAGGCGTTTTTGACCAGAATGTACAGAGTTTACACAAAAATTGCAACAGTAATGCTATTAAAACACCATATAGACATTTTAATAACTGGAAAAGGTGTTTTTTTGTTTTTGTTTTTTAGTCTTTAGTTCCACTTTACGATTTAGTTATTATAAAGTTTAAACACACACACACGTTTAAAAAGTTTCTTGAGTGTATATATTCCTAACCAGCTGTGCCTATCAGTGGTAATAATGTTTTGCCTGAACAATAACCAGACCATTAGTACTGCCATAGCTCTACTGCCATACCTGCTGGACTTCGTATTGTGTGCCTTTTTGTACCTTCATCGTCTCCTCCTAACACATTTGATACCCACTGTAGAGTAACATCGCAATTTGATTTGAAATGTGGACTAACCATTTCTTTTTAAACCTTTGTATTTATTGGCACTGAGCCTAAAGCAAACAAAAAGGGAAAATTTGCATCTTTTTACATCAAATGGATATTTTGTTAGCATCTTTTATAGAAACTCACGCACTGAATCTCTCTGTAAATACCACTGCAGCCGTAGCAACCGTGAGCTATTGAAGGCGACTGTTTGACAAGGGCCTGGAATAATTATTAAGAATATTAATCTAATGTAAATAATATTATAGTAATCAACTTGATGGACCAAATTTCTATTTATACCTTTAGATTTTTATATTTGAGCGTTGTTAGTGCGTTTGGAAGTTTTGTTTCATTTTAATTGCTTAGCCTGAAGGACGTCATTTGATTTTATACTTTTGTAACAGACTAAATGTAATGCATGGGTACTGACTAAACACTGCTGGACTGTTAGCTGTAGGACATTAAACATGGAAAAGTATTGGAAAAAAACATCACGCTGTTTCGAATTTTTTTTTGCTGTGTTTTATAACAAGTTGACTGGATGGAAGTGCAGAAGACAGATTTTTCTAAGTATGACTTTGGTTTGGTGGGATATGTGGGTTGAAAAGAAAAGATGAAAAATACAGGTGAGGGCTGAAAGTCAATATCTTTAACTATGTTGTCAGCACCAAAACCATTCAAAAGTGATCTATTTTTTGTTAGTCGAATCATAGCTAGTGACAAGCTTTGGCTGTTATTAATTATTAACATTATGCTTGGTATAAGTTACCAAAACATGTGTCAGTTCTGCTCCTCATGTCCAACCAGGAAGTAAAATTATCACATCAAAATGATAAAACTCTTAATTTAAAAACTGTATTTTTAGTCAAATTTTGTATGTAATGATACTAACCTTGTTTTAGTGAAGTTTATAGTCTAAACCTTTCATGTGCACGTTGACAGTTTTTTCAAGTGTTTATCAAAATTGACACATTTTGAGTGATTCTGTATTGTCCTGCATTTGAGGCTTGAGTGCTCAAAAAATTTTAGTTTTCACCTTCCCCCTATCACCGCCCTCTGTACTTACTATATGACTCAGGGTCACACATATTTGGGTTCATAAATGTTATCTAGACTAGAATTTTTTAAAAAGTAATCATTTTAGATCAGTTTTGTGATTTACAATGAAGAAAATTTTAAAGAATGACCTCTGATGTTTATTGCAAAATATTAGAAGAAAGCCTTGTATATCGACTTGGTAAAATCTATAAAAGTGACAATAACAACACTTATAAGAACTCAGAAAAACATTGACATCGGGTTGGATAATTGAACCTAATGAAAAATATCCGGCAATGTGAAGAACTGATAAACAGTTACCAGCGTTAGAATGATTGAACTTAAGATGTTAGACTATGTACTTTGTATCTGCACTTTAATATCCCATTTGAATTAGTCATAACACTATCAAAATAAAGAAATGTCTTAATGTTGTAACCTTCAGCCTGATTGCACAAACAGAAACAACTTTGTATCTGTTTATTTAAGTTAGCAGCCAAACTAACCCAAGTGGAATGAAGCTGGACTTTAACGCGGTGGCCATCTTGATTTTATGCAGATTTTGGGGCCCTCACCGCTTTGTTTTCTGCTTCATTTGTTTCAACAATTACACTTAAGTCTGGCTGGAAAAAGCCTAACGAAGCATTGGACGTGTAAAAAAGACTATTGTACCAGCAGCTTTCACAGTGCTCTCATGACCTCTGTCTCACTGCTAACTGAGGAGTTGCACTACTTTTTTTTTTTTCCAAACAAGCTGTATTGTTGTTAGGCTACTGTATTCTAGTCTAGTGGATTAATAAATTAGTGTATTTTTTTTTATTCTACAAAAAGGTTAATTTTTGTTATGTATTCTAGTTTAGTGGATTTGATTCAGAATAAATTAGTGTTTGTTTTTTATTCTGTTAAAAAAAATAAAAATCTAATTCTAGGTCAAAATATAGACAAGCAGGCCAATAAAAAGGGCTGTAATTGAATAAATGCAATTAGCTAAATTTAATGCTATACTGCGGAACATTGCACATGCAAATGACCAACCACAGTTTAGGGAAGTGAAGTGCTCAGCTGGTACGAGCCTAAACAACACTTGCTCAGACAGAGAGGGCACAGGTCAGGACGCACAGACAATAGACGTGTGACTAAAGTGAACAGAGAAAAGACAAGCGTGGGGCATTTCAACCTGCGCACGAGTCACTGATAATCCCACCACTCTCAGTCCTCTAGTCCCGCATATTTCTCATGTGTTAATCCGCGCTAAAACTGTGGAGAAGTGCGTCTTTTCAGACACTAAACTAGGCCAAGTGTCCAGACATCGTCTTGACCTGCTGCCGGATCCATACGTCATTTGCATTTTTGACTTTTCATAATTATGTGCCCAATTAGGCCCCGCGCGGTGGCCTCATTTGCTTGGCTGCGCCGGAGGAGAGAGGAGGGGGAAGGGAAGAGGGGTCAGCGCCAGTATGACATATGCGGCAAAAGTGTGCGCAAAGTGTCAAGAACCATTGTGATTGCGCTGTGATGAGACAGAGATTAACTGTGGTCTGCCTTTGGAGATGGCGCAGTAAAATATAATGAAGTGTTGTTTCAAATAAGAAAAAAAGGACCATGTTTATTGCCAGAATGAAATCTGTACATTGTAAACAGATTTTTATAAACAACTGAAGTGAGGATTGTGGATCCTTCCCAGGCAACCATTGTTTAGTCATAGTCTAGAGCCTACCTGGTGTAGTTCTGACAAACTGAAAACAAATGACTGACAGAAATTCAAATTTAACTTTAATGTTTAATAAAAATCTATAAGACAAACCGTTTGCATGACATAGTTCACACGTCACACACAGATGGTTTGATGAGTGAATGATGACCATTTCCTTTCAGACTGCGTAGAACTTGACTTGTCCATTGATCTATATCCATGTACATGTATAAAATATTTTACACTATATGTATATAAAAATACATGGAAAATAAGTGTTCTTTAAAAAGCCTTTAAAACATGGGACAAACCATTTATAATGCAATTTCAGTCTCAAAATGTACAGCAAGTATCATTTGGTGAAGGAAATAAATACTTAATATTTTAAATAAAACAAAAAGTAAAACTACCGAATAAGCAGTTAGTCACATAGCCTCATTATGCGGGACTGAAGATCAGTGTGCAGGGGCTTCTGTGGGAAGAGTGTCATTTCAAAGTGTTTAACATTTTACAATAATGAAATAATACTGTTACAATTACCAAGACTAGTTTAAGGCCTTGCTTATGAGGTTTTTAGTGAAAATAGGGCAAGCAGAAATAAACTTTCTTACCACAAATGTAAACAATATGATCATTAATCAACAGAAAGATTTGGTGTCTTAGTTACAAGATATACAGAAAAAGTCCACTGTGTGTACATTTACAAATCCTTTACAGAGATATCCTGTAAGTACATCAAAACAGATCAGATTTACTCTTAATGATCTTCATGCACTACTGCGAGACAGTGGGACAGTGCTTTACCTTATGAACCGTTTATAAAATTGTAATACATAATATGTAGTATTAGGTACTAGAATCACAAAACTGGTGACTCAGGAGGTTTCCTTTGCTCATTATTTTTCAGTGTCTATATTTCAAGTTGTGCAAAATGGTATGTGATATTTAGTAACCAAAATCACATTTACTGTACAGTTAAACAAAATGTGTTTTAGATTTGATCTCTGTGGAGTGAAATAAAAGACAACACATGTGCAGTCAGTTTAAAATGTGCCTTTGAAAATAAGATAGTAAATGTTTAAAGTAAATGTTTAAAATCAGCAGCAGTATTTTCCCATTGATCCTTTGCAAACATCATGACCTACTCCTGGAGCGTGGACTTTGTGACGATGTGGATTCCTTCTTCTTTGAGTCGGGCCAGAGCTGGACCATAGACCTCCTTTGTCATGGGGATCACCAGCCCTTTGGTACGGATCTCACCTAAATCCACAGAAAATGTATATTAGTCTTATTATACTTTTACGCTGCGAGTATATTTGTTTGTTACTATATTTTAAAAAAGAAAATGTGGTGAATCAAACAAAACAAGAATACTAGCCTGTCTCTTCCAACTGTTTAAAACAAATGTGTACATGTTTGAGTGTTTATATCTGTAGATATGAGGCACCAGTGTTCACCAGCAATCTGACCAGAACTGAAGAAGCAGTTCTGGTTTTGTCCAGTTGACAGAATAAAACGATTGAGGGATTACAGACATAGTACACAAAATACATGTATATCCGATAAATGTAAACAGGCATAGTACCATCGAGTAGCATGCGTGCAGCTATGGCGGCAGGGTAGCCCACAGTCTTGGCCATGGCGGAGAAGCCGCTGGGGTCTCCGTACACCACCAGACTGATGTGTTTAGTCTCCAGCTCTCCTGTGGGGTGTCTCAGGCCCAGGTCGTTCCTCATCACAATCATGTCTCGCTCACCCTTGGCTGGAAACACATTCAAATTAGACTTTTTCAGAAGTGAGACAATGAAGTTTTATACTAGTTTCAAGTCAAATGTTTGGATGAGATGATGGGGAGACATTGCAAACATCTCTCATTTGCAGCGGGGGAGGTTCTGATCAGAGTTGGTAGATATAATTTGATAATTTGAAGCCTTGATCATTTTTGGGGGCTTTTAGAATTAAACTAAAACATATCGTAAATCATTATACAGTTCATTTTAAACCACAATATTGATCTAAAACAGCTTTATAATACATACGGATCCACTGAACATTGTTCTTTTATTAAGGCTATTTTGAACCTTACACGTATGACCCACAGTTTGAATTTTTTGAGTAATCTCAAATAAGTACAGAGATTTGACATATGTCCCTTTTAAATGTGTGTTTATTTTGTTTGTGGCTGTATTATGACACCACAGACCTAAACAGCCTTACCAAAGGAGAGCTTGGCTTCCAGATGTTTGGTCAGAGCTCCAAGCACACTGTCTGCGTGAGGCACCACTTCGTCGCTCAGCATCCCAAACCTGTGTACAGAAAAGCAGCACAGAAAAGTGCGTTCACAAAAGAGTAACGTTCAAAAACGTCCATTCAAACGCTCTGCAGGGAAACGAGTGCTTTAACCCCACATCGCCGCGGCGACCCACACATCCTTGGCTTCGTCTGACAGAGATGAGCAGTTTCTCTTTGTCACTGCTTTGCTGGCGCATTGAATAAATGAACAACAATCCATTCAATTTCTGCTTGAAACGTGTTGGCTTTCTACCCTCTTAGCGGCGTTGATGGAATACTGCCAACAGTTCACTTTTACATTTTCACTCGTCAATGCCAGAGCTCCCCTCCCCTCCGCCTCCCACCAAACAATGGTCGCTCAGGGCCTTGGGCTGAAGAGACTCTTGGAAAAGTTGATTTAAAATGGAGAGTGAGCGCGCTACACCACTTGAGCGGGCGTGATTATGGAGGGGGCGCTGTGGAGCACTCGGCCTTGCTCCCATCCCTGGGCGCGGACCAAACGGTGACTTTGGAGAGCGCCAAATATCAGGGTGTATGGAGCGGAGGGCATACGGAGCGGAGGGTGTGGGGAGGCGGAAGAAGAAAGTGTCACAGATGGACTTTAATAGCTGTAGCTCTTATCGTTATACTGGATAGAGAAAAAGGAGGAATGTTTGGTCATTTGAGACTTTTTCTAAAAATAGAAATTTCATATTTTTGCAATCTGATTCTTGAAAAAAAACCCTGGGGATTCTATTCTTGTGACTATTACTGTAGTTTAAAAACATAAACACAATAAAGGTTAATGCCCTATAATTAAATATTAGAACTTTGAATCTTTGGGATACATTTCTGAACTGGCAGTGCTTGAACAGCTTGCTTATGAAGTAGCTCTGTAAAGGTTGCTAAATCATGGCATAGATATCAGCTCATAGAACACACCGAATTAAGGCAAGTCTTCAACTTCAGGAGCATGAACAACTAAGAGAGGACTGATGTCATAAAACCAGCAACTCAAATAGTGATTACAATTTGATTTTGATACATTTAAAACAGCATGAAAATAGAATTCCTGACCATCTGAGTGTGTCCATTCTGAAGCTGTCCCTCCCAACGCGCTCAGACACGGCCTCTTCAAAAGCCTCCTGGGACAGAGAAGAGGACACGCCCATTTGTCTGCACAGGATGTCCTTCTGTAACAGTCCGAGCAAGGTCAGTGTTCACATGGAGATTTTCGGTTTCCTTCATTTTGCTGTGGCAATAATTTTGGTCTTACCCAGGTCACAGCAACTGAGTTCTGCTCCAGGAGAGGGCAGGGCTGGCTGTCGATCAGGCCCAGCTTGACAAAACCACTCATGGCCTTAGAAAAACCCTGAGGAAAAGATAACAGATTCCATTGATTTCTTAACTGCAGTAAACAATTATTCAATAGTTGAATACAGTTTTACAAATAATCCCTTTGAAAGTAACATTTATTGAGATAAATTTCTCTTAAAACGCCTACAATTCCTTTTCAAAACAGATAGGTCTTATCATGTTGGCTACATTCAAGTAAATCAAAAGATTATGATTTAATAGTTTCAACAGACACTCTCAAAGTGTATAATTTGGGATTTTAAAGGTTTACTGTGTAACTTCTATGGCAGAGGTTAGACCACTTGCTTGTCTCCATGGAGATATTAGTGCTTCTGCTTTGTCTGGAATGTTACACAGTATGGCAATGTGTAATGTTTCTTGTGGAGAGTCCAAAAGATGGGTAAGTTTATACAGAGCACCTTGAAAGATTAACCATTATCCTGCTGTATGGCGATTTCATCCAAGTGCTGTGTGTTAAAATAAAATAATGTTCACCTTAAAGCGTAGTGTTCCTCTGAGCAGGGTGTGGGCGCTCTGGATCCCATAAGGCTCTGCGTACTTGGTGCTGTCTCTGTTGGGGTAACCCTCCAAGTTAAACCCAGGGAAGAAGTCCATGTCAGCCGCAGACTCCATCAGAGACCCACCAGCTGGGATAGTCACCACCTACACAGACTTGTACTTTAGTTTTTCTTCTTTGAAAAGGTTTTATTTGTTTGTTTATTTATTTAGAACAGGGATAGTACACTAATGCTGTACACAATTTCTGTAAATAGGCAGTACTATCTAATATAGGGATCTCAGACTCAAATTACTTGGGGGCCACTGGCGGTAGAGCCAGTGCAACATCTGTCCTGGGCAACATCAAGTAGGCTCTTGGACAAAATAGGGTTTCAAGTATTCAAAAAGAAAAAGAAAAAAAACAACAACAATTACTTATCACCCCCAAATGTCCCATACATATGAATGAGGAACCTCCCTTGCACTGTAGGCAAGGCCTGTAAGACCTCTACCGCAGGCCGCACTGACACTAAACTTTGACATCAAGTAGGAAGCCGCAAAATATCATTCCACAGGCCACAGTTAGCCTCCAGGCCACAAGTTTGAGACTCCTCTTCTACACCCAATGAGTTCATTTTAACTACAGTCCATGGGCAAGGTGTGGAAATCTTTGGCCAATTTTACTTTTGGCTATCCAATTAATTAATTAATCATTGCATTTATATAGTGCCTTTCAAGATACCCAAAGTGCTTTAAAGTTTATTGTTCATTCATCCACACTCAGTGATGGTAAGCTACTACTGTAGCCACAGCTGCCCTGGGGCAGACTGACCGAAGCGAGGCTGCCATTCAGCCCCTCCGACCATCACCATCACTCACATACACACCACTTCTATACTAGGCAATGTGGGTGAAGTGTCTTGCCTAAGGACACAACGACCATTTTTGCCACTGGCGACCCACTGTGATGCCTGGAATTCCCAGCAGTCTCCCATCCAAGTACTAACCAGGCCAAGCCCTGTTAAGCTTCTGAGATCTGACGGGATCAGGCTTTAACAAGCCGATATGGCCATACATTTTTTATTATATAGATGACTGTTTCATTACCTCTTTGGCTACTATCCTGTTTGTAGTAAAAGTATATTTAGGCTGTACATTAAAACTCTGAACAGTCTAGTGGCACTCTATCCTCACCTTTCCATCCTTCAGGTAGACGGCTGTGCTGATGGTGTTCATGAGGACTCCATAGGGACTCCAGCTGAACTTGTAGCGCAGAGGGTTATCAGAGCACTCCGGAGAAGGGAGCCCACCGCAGAATGAGATGTACGACTCCACCTAAAAACAGTGTTTTCATTATTTGTTTAAAAAATATATATATTTACTAGTACATACAAGAAGAGCAGGTGTGTGGTGACTCACTGTGCATCCATCAGCTTTGGCCTGGTCAATGCACTCCATGGCCAACATGTGGTCAATGCCCGGGTCCAGTCCCATCTCATTCACTATGGTGATACCAGCCTCCAGAACACTAAGAGAAATTCACCATTGAAGTCTTGTGTATTATACATTTTTGGGCTGTAGATTTGCCAATAGGGTTTGAAGCATTTAACCAATTTAAAGCCAAGTAAATTAAAGATGCACTATCACCTGCTTGTCTCCATGGAGATGTTAAATGCTTGCCTTGAATGTTCAACAGTATTGCATTATCTGTGTTATCACATATCACATATCTGTGTCCATGAAGATAAGCAAGTGATGCCATCAGGGAAAATTACAGGTCAGATCTGCGGAGAGGGAAGCTGGGTCACTAAATGTGTTTTTTGAATGAAATCAATAAAACCAATAGAAAAATGTAATGCTATACTGTGGAACATTCCAGCAGCTTAGACATGGAAGTTTCACTAATTTAGGCAAACAGAACCAGGAATATAGTTTACATAGTGATTTGAACTTATAGTTATAGGATGGAGATACAATTTAAAATGTAGATCACAACATTTTTCCAAGATATTTTATATTTATATATATTTATTCAATATTTTCAATGGCAATGGCATATGGTTCCAAAAACACTTTTATAATACTACTTTTTTGATTAGCTTTGCGTTTTGTTTTCTGCATACATTAGATTGCAAAAATATAGAAAATAATACTACTTTTATTAGCAAAAATCTGATTAGTAATATTGCATTGTACATTGACATGACATAGTCCTCCTGACCTGTTCTCCAGTGCCTTCATGTCAGGGCTCAGGTAACTGGCAGTCACCATGTTCTTCTTCCTTTGGATGCAGTGCTTTGCCACCAGAGGATGGAGTGTGTACGGCAGAAGGCTGTAAAGGAAAACAAAACTATGGGGTTAAACGAGTTCACCACAAAAACTACAAATCACTACTTACACATTTTCTTTTACCTGATGACCAGGTCATGGTCTTTGATGAGCGAGTCCAGATGCCCTTCCTGGCTGCCCACGTCCAGCACCACAGGGATGGTGTTGGGGTATACGGCTGCCAGCTCCTCAGCCTGTCTCAGCATCACAGAAGCTAAAGAGGGAGAAATCAGAACAAAATAATAAATAATACTAAAAATGAAATAAATGAAAATGCTATAAATTCTGTAGTAAAATGCATGTTTTTAATTAATACTTTTACTGAAGTCCTGGGTTAATAATACAGCAAATTCTTACATGCAAAAATTAGGAGAATTTTTAAAGATGCACTATATACATTTTCTGCTGGAGGATCCCCACCTGCCTTCTCTCCCAAAAACTGTTATTACTTTGCCTGGAATGTTCCACAGCCTGAATCAGGCCAGAGTAAAAAGGTGATAAGCTTGAATAATGTGAGCTCTGACTTAGTATTACAGATAATAGCCAGTGCCTGCTCTATATTACACTTACAAATGTAACCAAAACTACATCATATAACGGCACATTTTTCCCATAGAATCTGAGTGAGCGAAAGTATCCCCAGTGCAGGACTCACCCACTGTGACCTGTGTCTTGTCGTCCCGGGTGAGGTACTCCACGACGGGCCCGGACACATACCCTGTCCCCAGCAACAACACACGCTTCATCCCACTCTTCTTCATGATCTGAGCCTTCTCTCTGCACCACAGAAAAACTGTTTAAAATCACACCACAAAATGTCTACAACTGCAAACACAAGCGCACAAGGCTACTTGCAGAAACTTCTAGTTAAATTATAATCATGGACTTTGAGCTCCAGTAAATTTGACTTGCATTATAGTGGAAAGGAGGTCAGCAAGAAAAGAGTCACTTAAAGCGCCACTAGTAACATTTCAACCATGAAAGTACACATTTATGGGTGTTTATATTGCACAAAAACAAACCTTGAAAAACATGCATCTTTTGGAGCTTGCCTCTCCACAGACCTGACTTTTGTGATGGACCTGTTTGTCACCGTGGAGATGTTATTGCTTTGCCAGGAATATTCCACAATGTGACATAAAATGTATCTATGCCCACTGAGAATGTTCCAAATTATGGCTTCAACTTTCTGTCTTTGTGGACTGCAGGTGGCGTGTCAACCACTAGAAATGTTACACAGTGAGGCTTTAAATTAGGATTAAACTAATGTGTTGATTAATTTACATACACATTAGATTGATATAATACAATCATCAAAAAAAATTTAAATGTACTTTTCAAATAACCTTTTTAAAATAGATCATAAATAATTGTATGTAGAAACCAAATGATTATTGGCCTGACCCTTTTCATGTGACCTCTGTGGGTGAAAATCCCAGTGAATCATATTTTAATTAAAACAAGCCCTTCTCTGGACTCGTGGCTTCAGTTAAAAAAGTCTGTGATTTCGCATGCAGGATTATGTTAACACCGTCATAACAATACCGCCTTAATAAAGTCACCCATGGCCTTAAATCCCCCAGGAGTCAGTGGCCTCTAATTGGATGAGACAGGCGCGCGTGTACCATTGACCAGGCAGCGGTCCGAGCTCCTGCATCTTAATTAAAAAACAAAATGGACGTTCCCTTTTTGTTTACGTTTTCTTAAGGAGCCCAACTCAATCACAGGGATTAAAGATTTTGTGGCATGGCTTGTCTGGAAAAATGATACTTAAGATCAATTAGTGAGTGGAGGAGTCTTAGAGATGGCCTAAATATGAAGATATAGAAATCGAAGACGCAAAGAGGGTTTTTTGAGCAAGCTGTTGAGGAAAAGTACAGGCCCAAAGCTGCTGTAGACCTCAATGTTAAGGATAAGTAGAAAGTCTCTATTGTTGTGTCACTAAGAGTGAAGTGAATGCATCTTAACAGAGTCAGTGGGGCTTTATGTAAACAGACAAGCAAATGAATCACTTAAGCTCCTAACCAACTGGTGATTTTTATAATATACAGCTATATTTAATTATTTATTAATTGCGATATGTCAAAATATGACAGCAGCAAGTCATTAAGGTAAAATAGAGTAAACACTTAAAATGACCAAGATTCAGTCTTGGACCTGACACAGAGATCACTGGATTGTGCAACTTTTGACAGTATTAAATAATGAACAATTTACATTTTCAACTAATTTCAGGATTAGCAAAGTTTGTTGAAATCTACATAATGCAAGTTTCACTTTTAAATAAATAATACCAACATATAAAGAAACTTGAGTGTCTGAAAAAGGCTGCTCAATTTTTATTTTTTTTTTATCAATTGTTCGCAATCCAGAGAAACTGATGCCTGATAAACTTGTTGTAGTGGAGATTCAGGGCTGATCTCTCTAATATTTTTAAGATCTATGGAGATTTGTGAAGTCTTGAGCCTGTAAGATCTACTAACATTTTAAGGATAAAAATCTGGATATTTTCATTATTTTCCCCCAAAACTATGTGATATAAAGTACTCAGACTAAATACACTAAATATCGCAACTGTTGATTTGGAGATGGAAAATTCACTATAAAAAATACTACAAGAAAGCCACATAATAAAAATACTGAAAACTTCCAAATAAGCATATAGAAAGTGATATTTCTGAACTCCTGTGTTTAATTTCACTTGACAATTTACGTTTTGTGTAAGACTTCAACTAAGACGTCTATTAATATATTTCTGATAGAGTGATAAAATATTGGTCTGATTGTCGACATCAGGATCATAAAAACTATATATACTACATTTCCCTCAATACAATCTACATTACCAATGTTCTAAAAAGTTTAAATAGTAGTGAATCTAGTGTTTGATGCACAAAAGTGGAAAAACATGCCATCTCATCATTGATAGAATCATTTTTTGTAATTAATGTGCTTCATGCAACATCAACCAGAGGGTATGTTCCAAAACAAAGAGAAAAAGAGTGGGGGAGAGAGCGAAAGCAAGAGCAGAAAAGAGGAGAGAGGGAGCCAGAAGAAGAGACAGGAAGAAAGAGGCGGGGGGGTGATGAAGGGTGGGTAAAAGACAAACATGGTTCTACCAGAAAAACTGAGAATATCCTGCTTCTGAGCCATGAATGCCCCCTAGACAAGCATGAGCCACAACAGCACTGTGCAAGGAAGAAACTGTGTGTTAGTTTTCAAGGCTCTAGCTTCAAGCGCAAAAAGCTGCTAAAATATGAAATATTAGTACAGGCAAACTATAGAATGAGTTATAGCAAAGAGTTAGACAAGTAGCAACAAAGCAAAAATGTGAATATTTTTGCAAAAGTGTCTATTACTACTAAGCCATTTGAACAGATAAACAGATTATTTACATTGCATTTGAAATTTCAATTGTATTATTTTTTTGTAGGTGTAAGATAGACATATTTCATATATATTATCCTCTATTAAAAACATATACTGAAATTAATCAAGCTATAAAAATATACCGTTCTTCCCGGAGCTTGTCTATATACTCAAACTTGGGTGTGAGTTTCCCATTTGAAGTGATGACAGCCTTTGAAAAATCAAAGAAACAACCTGATTAACTTCAGTGTTACAATAATTTTTAATATTATTTAAATGTTACACTCACGTCTCGGACTTGTGGGCTGAATTCTTCTTCTTCCAAAGGTCTTGTGGCGTCTGAGGGCAGCTGAAAAGATCACCACCCTCATTAGGTTCATTCAAATGCATTATGTCATATACCCTATCAACCTATCGCAGCGCTCTCCCAAAAACAAGTTGAACAATAAAAAAAAATAAAATAAAAAATCCACCAATAATTCCACCACCAGAAGCAGCCTAGCTCACCTGACCCAAAGTCTTACCATCTCCCAAATATAGGGGAAAAGGCGGTCTCCAAAGTACTCCGTGGCCTCAATGGGCAGCTGTGCGGGCAGGTTGTCAATGGAGCACATGAGGATCCCATTTCCTTCAACACTGCAGACAAAACAAACAGCATTAGACAACAATACAAACTTCAATAACAAAGAAAAAACTACTATATTATGCAAAACTGACTCCTGTAAACTTTACATCCCTGGAGGTGTGTTTTATTTTCATGTTTGAGTTTGTGTAACACTTTATTGTTAGGCGGTTTACACCTCCAAAGCTCAAAAGGCTCTGTTCCACCTTGTGAAGTCATTCAGTAGTAGTTTTTAAGGTAACAGTTACCTTTTACTATTAGTTCAGTAGAAATGGGCAATTCCAGGGCTAAAACCATCCAAATAATTCCGAATAAAATGGAGCATTTCCTGTACTACCACATGTCATCACAAGGTGGACCAGAGTTTTGATGGGGAAACAGGAAAAAAAAAAGAGTAATATAGAACCTGACCTTGTGCAAGTATCCAATTTTATATTGACTTTTTACAACCCAGTGTTATCCATCAAATTTATGTACATTTACTTAGCATATTTTTCCATATCTTGAGCAGAGGCAGGGCGTGTAAGGGTGCTTGAGTGCTTGTGTACCCGTCATGGTCGATGTGCTGGTCTGGGTCGTACATACAGAAGGGCTTGTCGATGGTGGTGCATACGTTCATGAACTCTATGGAGCCACCCGTGTCGGCGGATATGTCACAGATGGCCAAAAGTCTGCAGACAAGGACAAGAGAGAGAGGGGGGCTGTGTTATCTGCACGACCTTCTCACTGCACGCTCACCCTGTAAACACAACTCAAGGCAAAGAGATATGAACTTTGACCTGTAGAGATATGCGCGGCTACCATTCAGCAGTCAATGCCACTGCCACATAAAAGAGCAGAAATATTAGGATGTGAACAGTCCGCATAAAGAGGTCGATTACAGGTTAAAAAAAAAAAAGAAAAGAAAAAAGAATTCAGTGTTTTATGCACCGAAATAACCATAAAAATCCAAAAGCAAGCAAACATATATATATAAAAAAGGTTAATTAAAATATGTTAACATGAAGGAAAAAAAACAAAACAAAAAAGCAATAAAACATTGTTGATACAGTTTGGGTAAAACAAAAATATACTGATCTGTCTGACTACATTCATGAAGGGTTCTTGAAAATGTGTTAAAAATCCATTTGAATTAACAACATTTAAGTTATCTGCCTGTGTCCAACAAGGAAGTAAAATTAAAACCTTACACTGTAAACATAAAAATGAAAACACTAGAAAATAGCCAAGATTTTTATTAAAGTGAGTAGCACAACTTGTCATATGTTCTTGATAAATTATTACAATCACCACTGTACATACATACATACATGTGTGCGCCTCAGGAAGAATAGTTGTTGCTGCAGTAATAACTAATGGGGATCATAAATAAATACATTTTGGATAATCTATTTGAATCATATTTTGTTAGTTTGTTTGCCTTACTTGTGAGGGAGAGCAGGTGAGCCTTCGTTGTGCCAGGGGGAGTTTTTGGGCGGTCTCATTAACTTCTGGGCATCCAGACGTCTGAGGAGGCGCGGAGTGTGTGGGTCCCAGTAAATACCATTGATCAGACAGGTGGTGTAAGGTGCTACCTATAAGAGAAAAGGAGCAGTTTGTAGTACATATGCTGGGATGTACATTTTGTAATTTCTTGAATTGAATAATGCATTGATTATTGGTTAACATCTGCTAACTACAAGCGTGATGTCACAATGCATAATATTTAGATAAATATGCAGTTTGGTTGTGCGTTTGTGCAAAGGCATTCAGATTCATGTTTTTCAGTAATAACCATGAACCATTCTTAAAGTGCATATGAGTTAAGTGATGAAGAAGTTGAGAAGAAAAGCATGAAAATACAGGAAGTGGTGTTGAACTCTAAAACAGAATCCCTCTACCTGCGTCATCAACATAGAAAATGCAGACAATTTACGCTGAAAGGAACACAATATTTTTTACAGTTTAAACATCAAAAAGGTAAAGTCAAAAATGTTGAATCTGATCATATCAATTACTGACTAGACCCAAGAACTCACTATATTACAACAAAAATCTGCATTTTAACAATATGCATTTCAGCTGCTCCGGTCTGTAAATATTATTGGCCTATATAATCAACTATATAACCAAACAATTGTGCAATGTAGAAGAGCTTTGTCCCTTGTTAATATAAAGATTGCTGGGCAAGAGTGATGTAAAATTAATAATGTAAAAAATAATGTAAAAGTTAAATTAGTAGTCTAATCTATGATATGTACTTTAAGTATGTGATACTGACCAGAAACAACAGGAAATTCATTTATTAATCCTTAATTCAACAGGTTCTCAGATGGCCCTGGGTGTTTTTTCTATACAGCAACACAATAAAATTAAACTACTCACATTACTATTTATTTTTGTGATTAAGGGGGGCTTACACTGGTCCTGAAATGGGACGTGTACAGTTCAGGGTGATTCTCGTACTCCATAGGGTCATACATGCCGTCACTTTTCCTCATGAGGTGGTGGTGTCGACTCAACACAGTGGCATAGACTTTGGTCAGCTCTATAAAGAAAACACAATGTTCAGTAAGTCTATCAAAAAAAACTAAACAAAGTTAAAAGACATACCTCCAGTTTCTGAAACATCTTTTAACTCATGTGGCTCAACATACTCGACAGGAAGCTCATTGATGATGTCCTGGGCTCCCTAAAGGACAAAATTATTAATTTTATATTCAGAGGACTTACTGGTACTAGCTTACTCATAACATTGCATTAAAAATGTTAATACACATAAATATGTATAATGCTTATTATTTAAATTTATTTATTCACTATACATAAGAAATTATCAAAATAATCGTAATAAAGACTTGAGGCAACTCCAAAACCACATCAGAGACAAAATGTCTGGGCATGCCCCTGCTAGACAATGTGAAAAATGTGTAACGCATGGAGATTTCAGCACATAAGGTTTCCCCATCTGCTCTCATAACAATCTTGAATAACATTTCATACTGAGATATCTCTGTTACAGTATCCACAATTTGTTTTTGCCTTTGTTTAACTGGCGGATATTAGCCCATATCCTGTTGCATCCACCCTTAAAGCCACACTGCTTAAATCCCTACCTTTGATACATTTCCTGTTCCTGTGAAGCAGAAAGTTACTGGGCCAATAGACTTCGGCATCAGTCCCATGGAGATTTCATAGCCACAGTCCCGCACCGCCTGGATGGCTTGACTCACATTTCTGTAGTTATGAGCCATACCGATGTGCTGTGGGCAAAACAGAAACATACTGCTGAAGGCACTAAAAAGAAAGGCTATGGATCTGACTGTATCTGTCAGGATTTGCAAAATAATCCCAGCTAGTCCAGAAGCCACTTAATTTACTGTGTTTATTGCTATTTATTCCGAACTCACAACTCACCCATTTTCACATTTATGTGTGATCAAAACATTTCACAGACTAAATGATGCAGGCAAAATCATATGGTTAAGATTTCTGATTTTGAGTGGGTCTGGTTTGCATTACACTTCCTCTTTGAATGTTTTTCCAAAGGAGAGCTCATATGAATATCATAAAATGAACAACAAATCTAAGTTATATGTGCTTCAATAAACATATAAGAGACACAATTTTATATCAAATGCTAATGTTCAACCCAGCAATAATGTAATGTGTGATGCAATAATGTAAAATGCGGTCTATTTTGGGTATGTAAAAAGTACAATGTTATACTATGTTGATGTACTGTTTTGTTGATATACTGTTTCTGTTCAATATTTTAAAAGAAAAAATAAAATCACTTATCATTGGGTAAATATTAAAAGTATTTAAGGCACATAAATATACACAAGAGTAAAGATATTTGCTATGTATTCTTTATTTTTAATCAAATTGATGTATTTTAATACATTTCAACACATTTCCATCAAAATGTTTCTAAAATACATCTGCTGAAATCTTACAAGACACTGACATGATACCAGACAGGACAGCGGCTCTTTCTGCAGGAGACATGTGCAATAGAGGGCGAACTGACATAGTCTGACAATCCCTTTAGATAATGCTGCAATGTCATCTGATCTAGAACTGATTTTCCTACATGTTTAATGGGGCAATTTCCCGAGTACATTAGTGAGAATATGCATATGCAGTACTATGAGATAGGAAAATGTCTGTGTGAACAGAGCAAATCCGTCATTGTTCTGGAAGTGGTGTGTTAATTGCTGAGTGTTCTGGCATTTTGCATTTGTCAGTTTACAGGGAAATATCTGTGAATGGGGCTTTTGGATGACAGAGATAAGTAGATATGGGTTTGATACAGTATGTTTAAATCAATCACGACAATACTTATATTTAGATATATTTTCTTAATTTATTTCTATATAAAATGTTATTTTTACTTGCACATATTCACTTATATAATTATGCCTTATTTGACACCAGTCTCTTGCCATCTTTTCTACTTATTTAGAATGTATTATTACCATTTATATTTTTTATCTTTGTTATTATAATATATTGTGATGTGTGAGCTACTGTGTCCAAATAATTTCCCTTGTGGATCAATAAAGTTTATCTCTGTCCAAAGCTTTGTTTAGACATAGACTTAGACAAAGTTAGATTCCTAAGTATTACAATAATAATAATACAATACCACTTAAAAGTTTACATTCAGTCTCTTACCATAAAAGGAGTATGGTGACCTAAGGCAAGAAACCGCAGTCCCAGTCCGTGCAAACTATTGATCATTCCTATAAACAAGAATGAAACCCATTTTTTAGAAAATGTTCCCTTTTGAATGTGCAGCCATGACAACAAACTTTCATTCACACTGTTTCCAGAGGAGATTGTTTGCGTTGCAGTTAGCTACAGCAACTTCATTGTATTTATGCACAGAACAGTGAATAAATGTAAAAGTATATAAGATTTAACATACCTGCAACTCCAGCCCACTGACCGAAAGCCACAATTCGGTAACCATTAGCATCTACCATCTTCTCATAGTCTATCAGGCGAACGTCCTGAAAATACAAGAACATTGAAAACAAAAACCCTGAAACCCCATTAAACAAGACAGTCTATAACTTCATTTATATGTAGCAAGCAGCGAAAACAATTGCTAGATTATTTTTTTATGCATGCATTACCTGATAACATATTGGCTAAATAATGTGGTACAACTGCCCTTTCTACAAAGAGCCAATTTCTTTATAAAAACACAAAATATTACTACCTGCAACAACTTTTTAAAAGTTATTTGTAGAGGTACTGTAAATCAATTGAGAAAAATTACATAATAAATAATACATTTTAGCTTGTGTTTCCTTGCTTGACACAATTACTTGTGGAATAGTTACTCATACCGTGTGCACTTACTGCTGCTTTGTGTGGCTACTTGTTTAAAATGTATATGATTAGCACAGACTAAATTTAAGATATTTCACAGCATACAATCAAAGTTTAAGGCCAGAAAACAAGTATCTTAAGAGCCCAAATAAAGACTTTTAGGGAGGCAAAAAGACAAAAACTGATGAGATATTGTATGTTTATAAACAGGATTAACTCTGCATATGACATTACAATACCATTTCCTTATGAACAGGAAAGTTTTACCATAATTTTTTTCTGCAAACTTACACTTCATACCTTCTTTAACAGATCCTCCAGGAGTCCCATGTTGGGCTCCTGAGCTTTGATGGTGTGTGAAAAGAAGGCATATGTCTTCTTCGGCATCACCACATCCTCAGGCATCCTCTTTACTCCCACTATGAGAGAGGCTTCGGAAATATCCTCTTGAATAATGCCTCCTGCCTTTGCATAGTACTGAAATAAGAATAAAGCAAAGACAAGATTTTTTAATAATCTGAAGGCTTCTTACAGAATAGAATATTTACACTTTCATGATGATATACTTTAATTTATTTCTTTTCTTCAGTGTGTGCTTACTGCAATGAAAATCTTTCTAGTTTCATGCAGGAAGTTACATACTGTACCTTTAAATTTGATACGGTACTAATGTAGAATGTATTTATAGGTCCAAGAAAGTGGCGACTCATTTTCCAAAATGCCTTGTATGTCTTTGGAGGTGAATGCATGCCCTGTGTAATATTAGCCATTGTCATCATGGCCAAACATGCAGTAGGTGTAGCAGTTAAATATATCAGGAATATTGAGGAGCACTAATCATAAGAGGCCAAGTCTTGAATAATTTCATTTTCAACTACTGTATAAATTAAGTTGTGGAAATGTTATTTGTTTTCAGTCAATTATGCTAGCTCTTCTTTAAAGTTATAGCAATATTTCATTATTTTTATACAGAATTTTTGAACCTTGAAATCCTGTGTACAACCCTGAATGTGAGTTCTGTAGTTTCCATATTCTGCTTAAGAATAATGTAGATTCAACAAGAAGCAACAAGAAGTCAACAGTCTTACTTTCTCGTGTATAGCCCTGCGGTTGGACGGTTGCACCAGGACTTTGACGCCGGCGTGGGTGAGCTCCTTGACGTGACGGGGGGCCAGCGGGGCTCTCCTCTCCCAGGGGTTGATGTCCTCTCGGCGGATGGCTATCACTGCTCTGTGGTGCTGGTAGCGGCACTGCACTGCGAGGCAGCTCCATGTGCTGCGGCCTCGGTGACGCAGTGCTCGCAACATGGCTGCCACCTTTTCCTGCTCAGGACAGAAACGTACAGCCAGGCGCCACTGGAATCAAGCATGGTGACATACATTGTAAATACATAGTAAAACTGTATTCTACATAGTAAAAGGCTGCTGACAAAGTTACATCATGTCAAATATCATGTAAAGAGACAGCATAATAAAGTAATGGTAAAAGATGGAAGCGCAGGTGGAATTATATAAAAAAAAAAGTTTAACAGTAACACACTGTAATGACAAAATACATGTAAGACAACTATTGGGCTATAATTCTTCAACAATAGTAAAAGCATGGGTTACATTTATGGAAGGCCAGAAGTACTAATTCTAGGGCTTGTCAATTATTTTTATTATAGTCTTTTAATGATCATATTTTAATCAAGGTGTCTACAGCCAATCCTCTGTCAATAAAATCATGTGGTTAATTTTTTTTTAGATTTTAGATTTTGTCTTATTTAGACATCTAAGCCTAGTCGTAATTTAGTAGTATTTTCAACAAATTATTTTCTGAAGTGGTACCTCAAAGTTTTGTAAGTATACAAAATATATAAGTTTATAGGTTTTAGAATCACATCATCAAAATTTCCCTCACAATAGACTTGGCTTTGTGAAGTGAGCCAGTTGTGTGAACAATGTGTTCTTTTAACCCGCCAAAAATGACTCAAGAGGTCAAAAGGCAGGTGGAGTTTGCTTTTGGGAGAACACTGCGTGAAAACAGGAGATAAATCAGAAACAAACTCAACTGTGCAAACAGTATGACACACATAGACAAGATACAATCCATAGATTACACCACAGGGCTGTGCACTTCACCGAATTTGAATCAAGTACATTTCTAATCTAATTTAATAGAATCTCATTTCTAATCGTGTATGATATGCTTGGGACATTTAATCAAGAGGTCAACAGCCAATCCCCTGTCAAGAAAAGGCAAGAATTTTGAAACAGATTTCGGACACTGGAGATGCCCAATCCAAATAAAATATAAACACTACATTTGAGACACAGGGATTAATTCATAAACATAAACCCCCAAACTCTACTATAGAGGAAGATGTGTATGTTTTATTTCCAATTATACACCTATATATTACAAGTAACTCATTTGGGTTCTATTCAACACCCATATTAACTGAACAATTACCAGGCACATTAGGCAAAAAGGCTCATGTCAAGAGCATGTTGAAACCCCATGGCCACAACTAGAAACCATCTGTGAGGGCACTGTTTTGTAATGTAACTTAACTTCTTTCCTGCAAATGTTTGACTCTAGGTGTGGGGGAAGGAGGCACGCCATAGGAAGGGATCAGAAGACATTACCATTACAATACCCTCAATGAATAGTTTAACACATCCCAATGTTACACCAAACTTATTTATTCTTACTTTTCTTGAGGTGCCTTAAAAAAACAACCAGAGGAGAAAAAACATTCAAATACATCTTTAAACATTGTGATTCTGTTTTGGACTTTGGTAGTTAATGCAGCTATCAAATGAGAAAGACAGCGAGCTTGCATTTGTTGTTTATGGTCTTCACATCTGAATACCAACAAACGAGAGAGGATGGGGCCATGCATAAGATAAGGACAAGACAAACCTGTTCCCTGTGTTTAAGAATGAATTATGTGGGTTTAAGAATTTAAGAGGCAAACTAGTACTGCAAGTAAACCACATGACGACCATACTGTGTGTCAAGAAGCTACTACATGACATACACACTGGAGTTGCGAAATATGAGCTCATTTACTTACTGAAAAAACTAAAAACACTTACATTGGGTTGATTGGGACTGCAAAATGTGTAGAATCATATACAAAGCCATGAAATGTAATGTCAAAATTGCAGGAGCCAGCTAATGGTCGGTTGAACTTTATAAATTGTTACTGTATGTACCCTCCATTGTCGCACGCACATGGAACAGTTCCGGTGTCTTAAGCCAAACTATTTACAGACGTACGCATTTGGGAGACGTAAACAATACAAAATACGTACGTAGAGACTGGACCCACCTTGTGACCGCTGTGTGTTGACCTCGCTGACCCCCGAGGAGGCAAAAGAGAGCACAGTTCACGGACAACAGCAGAAGAGAATCACTTTGAACCGAGCCTGAGTGAGGCGAGTTGAGGTGTGCAGCCAAGACGCTTAACCGGGACACTTCCGGGATAGCTCTTCAAAATGCAACTAAACTTGCTTATTTTTATTGTTTTCCTTTGGTATTTCAACGACAAACGAATTATAACACGTATTTTACTATCATATTTTATTATTTGCTAGATGGTGATTTACAACATTTTTTAATTTAACAAGCAATTAAACCCGTTGTACGCTTATTTTGAAGACAAGATTTTCTGTATCCGGCCTCGGCTGGAGGAATTTGAGAGGTGAGTTTGGTTTGGTGATCTGCTACGTCTGTCGGGGCGGTTTCAAATGTGATAAAAACTTAAAAGGTCAACAAAACGTAACATTTTTAGTCTAACATGATCAGGCAATAGTGTTTTACCTGATAAAATGCTACTCTCTCCTGGATCAAACCAAGAGCATGCTGCTTGACACGTGTCTTTAACAAGTCTCCTTGATGTTTACATGTAGCGGAGGAAGTTTGGCGCATGCGTAGTGGAAGCATTGCGCGCAAGGATGGACAGAAAGCAGGTAATAGTTCTGTTCTCTACAATTTGGCTAATTTCTTTAAAATGTCGTATATTACGCTCAGTTTACTCTTGTGAGCTTTCATACATATTAGAATGTTATAACCTCGTCAAAAACATACCCAGAATTGTATTTTGTTTCATTCACACATATTTGAGTAACCCTTTATTATTAGTCTGTCTACATCTCCAAAGCTCAGAAATGCTCTGTTACGCCTTGTGATGTCATGTAGTGGTAGTAGACCTATTCAAGTTAACAGCTATCTTTTACCTTTTGTTTAGGAGAGATTATGCAAATTATTCTAGTGAAGATGCATGCAGTAAAGACACAGTGAAGCACTTCCTGAGTGTTTTCCATTTCAGAAAAATGAGAAACATGTTAAACATGTATGAATAAAACAAAACACAACTCCAGGTATATTTTTATGAGGACACAACTTTAGCCCACGAGATCAGAAAATAGTTTAACATGGGCCCTTTAATCATGAGGTAGAGAGATTTCAAATTGTATGAAAATAGTGTGACGTTATGGAGGAACGGACTCAGGAAATTAAGATCATAAATACTAACTGCAATATGATTTTTAGTTTTTATCAATTGGAACATACAAAGGGAGATTGGAATAGCAAGCCCTTGCAAGAAAAAAAGCTCTGATAATGTTTGTATCACTTTTTATAATTATGTAGCATCACTGACAAATTGTGACATTGTCTAAATAAGTGGGATGAGGGGCTGTCGTCGGACAATCATGTAGCCTACTTTGGGACAATGTAGGGGTCAGCTAAAACAATGTGCCTGTCCAGATGATGATACATTCTACCTTCACATTCTTTATTCATAGCCTCTGGATTCTTTGCCCTTTTACCATGAATTAAAAGGCTTAACAATCCCTTTGTAAATAATAATTACACAGAAACTGAATCTAAATTACAGGGCTATAACCAGTGGCATGCAAACTAAATAAGAGCCTACATTATTTTATTAAATTGCTGGTTACAGCAACTTTATAATGGCAATGCATTAATTACCCAAAATAAAGCATGACCAAATATTCATAATGAACAAATAGTTTTTATTAAGAATATTTCAGGCTTATTAACTAGTTAATTCATGGGTTAGCTTTTGGAAAGTTCTACACATATGCAAGTGTAATTGAGAAGATTTTTGGAGTAACAGTTCTTTTTGAATAGATTTTTAAACCTGGATTTGTACTTGTAATTAAATAAAATTATAGCAATGTAATTGTAAGCCTTATTAGTTACACATGAATCTTACAGCACAAGTTTCGATCATCCCAATTCACAGCTGTCTCTCCTCCTTTCTGCACCGGCAAACACATAACAGCACTATCTCCTGCTCTTATCCATCAGAGCTCAGAGAAAATGTGGATTGTGGTTTAAAACAACTGAAATAAACTTGATTTATATAAAATAATAAATGTAAAATGCTGTAACAAGTAGCAGTTTTCATGTGCATATTTTTATTTTTATAGTATTTTTTTTAGCCATCTTACTGTACTTTTACTTGAGTTCAAATTTGCAGTACTCTTTCCACCAAGCTGAAATCATTCTGTGTTCGTTGTGAATTAGGTCTTTGTTCATGCTTTATTAAGGATATTCAAAGTGAAGTTATTTTTTAATAAATTATGTGTATTATTTTTTATGAATACTCTTCATAAAACTATTCATACTGTTTATAAATAAAAATGTCTTAGTGCATATTCAATTTTTCGGGGGTCTTATTGTAGGCCTAAACAAATAATTATAGAACAGAAAAACTTTGACATAAGAGTTAACTCAGCAGCTTGTGTTTAATCTGTTGGCATAAATCACAATAAACTCTGTTCAAACATTAGTCCACATATGTTTCTCTCTTTTTTCAGACCAGTTTCCAGCCTCCATCCCAATACAATCCACTGAAAGCAGACAAAGGTCAAAGTTCAGACCAGTGGACGTCACCGGCTTCTAGGAAAGAGGTAAAAGTTCAAAGGTTGGAGTGCGAAGGGGGCATGGAGAGGTCCAGGAAGTGTCCCGATGGCTTTTTTTTGGGCAAGGTCAAGTTCAAGATGGAGGTCAGGTTTTGGGCCTAAGAGTCGACTGGAGGAGTAAGGGCCATTTTACCCCCAAAAATGGCCTGTCTGGGGGAAGAAAGGGGATTTATACAAAGGGTTGGAATCCATTTAAAATATCTGCCAAACTATTATTTTTGTGTGATAATACAGGAATTTACAGCAAGGGTTGTGAACACTGTCAAGAGATACAAAAAGGATAAACAACATCATTTGACTAAAATACTGATCTCATGAGTCCATTTTTCTTATATTAAATTTCTAATGTTTCAGTCATAAAATTAAACAAATGCAAATGAGCAGCAACAACCCTGCAAGATAAAACTCAGGGAAAAAGACTCCCCATTCCTGACAAACCATTATTTGAATTGTAGACCTGCAGAGAAGTTGGATGTGCAAAATAAATTATGATATTTATATTGAATTATTTAAAAGCAGCCAAATTACAAATACTTATTAACATCGAAGAAAGGTAATTGTTCAATAACTTTTTAAAATAATTTATAGAATTACAGAATAGATTTTTCAACACATTAGACAACAACATTGCCAATGCAGGCTTATTTGCTTCTTCTTTTGGAAATAAATATGAGATTTTAAAATGTCTTTTTATGTCTTAGTTTACACCCAACAACCAAATTACAAATCACCATTATATCTATGACTTGTGTTTTGAAGAAAATGAATTGTTCAGTAGTTTTAAATAATTTATAGAATTGGACGACATTTTTCACACTTCCACTAATGCAGATTTACTTATTGAATTTCCCCATTCTGAAATAAATATAAGGTTTTCAAAACAAACTGTGAATTACTGTCTTCTGTCTATATAAAAAAATGTACACCCAACACTCAACAGCATTCCCCTGCATAACGATGGGGGCGTAGTTCACTTAACATGTGCCGATAATTCCTTTTTTGTTTTTCGAAGTGCGCGGAGTTGAGAGGTCAGTTCGTTCGATGCATGAGGCGCCGACATGAGCGGACAGGTGCTGACAGGTGCTCAGGGCTGCGTCGGGGACTGTGCCCCCGCCGGGTCGTGCAGTTTGCGGACATGTTTCTTGAGGTCAAAGTTCCGGCAGAAGCCCTTACCGCAGGTGGGGCAGGTGAAGGGCTTTTTGTCGTTGTGCGTGTGCATGTGGAAGGTGAGGTTGTAGACTTGGTGGAAGGCTTTGCTGCAGATTGAGCATTTGAACTGCTTCTCCCCGCTGTGCGTTAGCTTGTGGTTCTTGTAGTTGCCTGCGGAGGAGGAGAGGAGGGGAAAAGAAGAAGACGTCAGCGTGTGGAGAGGGGGACAAATGTGCCATATGCTACTCCGAGTTGTACCTAAATTGGACATATGCTCACAGAAGGATGGTGGAGTATTTTCAACACTTGTAATTGATAAATAAAAAAAATGAAAAAAATAAGTAAGAAAAGCAAGTGTTCCTGGCGCAATAAATCGATAAAATAATGCATATCTTAGTAATTTAAGTGCATGAAAATAAGGTGCACAACTGAATATCTGGAGAATTCTACTTTTACACAAAAATGATAGTAAATAATAATAATTAAAGTAATATAGATATATATGAGGTATAAATTATTTTAAGCAATATTTCAATGTGTTAAAAGTTACATTTACTTTTTCCTTTTTTCCTTTTAATTAAAAAAAACAACAACATTTTATTAAACATGAAATCGTTTACAAAATGAAACGAGAAGCTGTTAAACATCTTGGTAGGCCTGCTTGGTTCTCTGTACTCTTTTCTATAAATACACAGAATACCTTATAATATGGTGCATAGACCTATTTTATATATATATATATATATATATATATATATATATATATATTATATATATATATATATATATATATATATATATATATATATATATATATACATACATACACAATTTGAAATTATTATAGGCCTGTTACATGCATTATATTGTCGCGCGTAAAAGTGGTAATTGGTTCACCGCGCGTCATTTTACCCACACACTACGAATATCTAAAAATGTATTTGTCTGTATGGCAGTCGTCATGTGTAATTTACGTATTGTACTATACATATACAAACTGATGGTATTTACCTTTCTGGTGGAAGCCTTTGCCGCAGAACTCGCAGACGAACGGTTTGTAGCCCGCGTGGATCCGCGTGTGCGTGTTGAGCGTCGAGCTGCGGTTGAACGCCTTCCCGCACTGGTTACATTTGTGAGGCTTTTCCTGCAGGACCACACACATTTACATTAGTTTAATGAAGCATAGTCGTGAAGGGCTTGACACCAACACGAAAAGAAAGAGTTCATGTGATTTCAAAAAAGATGAAGAGCGTTAAAAAAAAAAAAAAGTCATAGTTGCCATGGCACAGAGCCCTAACCTCGTTATTTTTAAGTGTATTTATTTCTTTATTTTTTAAATTAAAGCTGAAAATATATGCCTATATATAAAAGGTAGCAAATAAAAATATGACAAATGATAATAGGCAATTAGGCTACTTATATATACTTGTTCGTTGAGCACAGCTTGTATCATGTTTTTTGTTTTTTCCGTTCTTTGTTATTATTCTGGCGTAATTCACGTTGATATAAAAATGTATAATTGTCAAATAAAACACGCTAATGTATTAAATTATAATTTGAAAAGGCATTCAAACTCAGACTTATCATTATTATTTTCTTATTATTATAGTTTAAACAGTGCGCCATCAACACAAATATAGAACAAAACCGTGCACATTTAGAGCCAACAAGAAATATAGAATTACGCACACAAAGCGCGTGCTCCGTCGTACCTGAGTGTGGATGATCTTGTGGCGGCAGAGCGTGCTCGCCTGTCGGAAACCTTTCCCGCACACTTTACACACAAAGGGGCGCGCGCCAGTGTGCACGGGCATGTGGCGAGTCAGGTTATAGTGTGCGTTAAACACCTGCACCAAAAACAAAGCCAACATTATTAAGATTATATTACATGGAGTATCTATGCGCTATAGTCTGTGCTCTGGCATCGGCAGCATTAGCAAGGCCTAATAACCACAGAGAGACAAATAGCAGGCCCACCCTCAGCTAATGCACAGAAAATATGACAATGTGAAGCCCGCTCAGTCCAAATTCCTGGGCCTGTTTACAATCTAATCTTCTCTCTGGAGCAGCCGTAATGAGCTGTAACACTTGCCTCGAAGCACTGGTATTGAATAGAAAATGGACAGCCTAAATGGCGTTTAGTTGGATGCGCGCCTGCGTTTGTCAAGTGCCAAATGAAACCGACACAACAGAAATGTAACGCCAGAAAGTCGCGCTTAACAATAGTTTGTGGTTGAGCGAAACGACAATTTGTCCCTAGATATAAAGATATAGCCTGTAGGTCAGGAGTTCAGTCAGATGTCATTAAGCGTGGTCTGTCAAAATAATTAACCGTTGCCCTCACAAATTCATATATTCATAATCATGTTCATTAATTTTTCATAAACGTATTTTAGGCTAAAAGAAAAAAACAATAACTATTAGTAGTAGTAAGTACATGTTTATGGACTAAATTTAAATAATAGGCTATAAATTAAAAATAAAATAAACATTTTACAATTTTCACATGAAAAGTTGATTCTAGCCATGTATTTCACATTTCATTTTACCTTCAGCCAGTTAAGTAACTTTTAGGAGGCCCATGAAAGATGTGAAACATTCACAAAATAAAACACCACACTGTGTGTCCAGGGCATCTGGTCTTACCTTTCCGCAGACCTCGCACGTGAACACTTTGGGCTTGTTTCCAGCGCACGAGTTGTTGAGTCTGGTGGCCGAGGAGCCTTTGAAGATGCTGTCCGCGAGGATGTGCTCCCGCTCCTTTACGTAGTGCTGCATGTGTCCGTGGGACTGAGCCGCGGAGAAACGCTCCGTGGGCGCTTTGTCCGCGAGCAGAGCCTTGTGGCGCGCGGACAGCAGGTACGAGGCCATGGGCACGTGCAAATTTACAAGTCCGGTGGGTGGTGGGCACGCGCTGCTGTCTCCACAGTTCAGATACACTGTTCCCACGGCCGGGAACGAGCCCTGCGTCACGACACGCGGCCGGAAAAGTTTATAGTGGCCTTGAGCCGGACTTTGGTCCGACTCCGGACTGCGGTAGCCAAGTCCTAGTCCCAGCAGCTCCGGACCCGAGTCCAGTATCAGGCGCTGAGGCTCGTAGCCCAGCGGCAGCAGCGGGACGACCCCGCGGGAGGCTGCAGCCAGCCCGGCAGCGCCAGTGGCCGAGGCTCGGGCCTCGCCATGATCCGCTCGATGCTGAAAGCCAGTGGTTTACTGCCGCTACCGGGACTCAGCGGGGCGGGGGCCACGGGCTGGCTCCCAGGGCCCATGGGGAGCCCCGCGGGGCGGCGAAGAGGTGCGTCCATCAGGTCCGCATCCACTGCTCTCAGACTCTGGCCGTGATTGGCGCTGATGAGGCTCGTGGAGTCGATACACGGCGTGGGGAGCCGAGCGGAGCTGCACGCGGTAATTTGCTCAGCTGTGGTTCGTCGATGGCGTGCTCCGCGGCAGAAGCAGGAGGTGCTCCGAGGCGGGACTTCGCTCAACTAAAGGTGCGCGCCACAAGCCTCTCTCTTGTGGCTACGCGTGACATCATGCTTTTAATGGACACGCGAGACGCGCAGTGGCTGGGGTCACGCGCAGTCAGAGCTGTCACAGCGCACGCTCCGTGCACGCGCGTGATGCTGAGACCCAGCCCTGCGCCCAAACTCGGACGGAAGCTGAGACCATCGATCCAGCCCGATCTTTACGCGGCTCGTCGCGCTCTGCTCTGTGGCTCGTGAGCTTTGGAGAGAGCGGTGCCACACAAAGTGGCGCACAGACACTGCCGAGGACACTGTGGGAGAGGAGGCAGAGCTGCTCTAGGCTCCAGTGAACTCTGAGCACGGGGATCGATGCTCGTTAAAGATGCGCCGTTTCTGCTCCGTTTAATCAACAGCGACTGTTTGACTGCATCAAACTCACTACACAAAACCGAAGACTCAAGTCAATAGCCTGCTCAATACTGAGACACACAAGACTCTCCCCGTTCATGTTTTCTCGTTTTCAACATCCTCTTACTTTCAGACCTTTTATTTTAGATTTACGCACTGCAGCCGCCCCTTGGGCAAAACTACGGGAATCTCTAAAACGGAACGGACAAAATAAAAGGATAAACCTCACGTCCCAGCCCAGAACAGGGCTGTTATGGGATCTGTTATGGGATGACCGCGCAGTGACTAGGTTTGGATCAGCAGCAGCCTATGGTGCCATTCTTCAGGCGAAGACCTGATTACGCGCGTGCCAGGGCCATGTTTAGTTACAGTGTCCTTGATTCATTTTTACTAATGTTGACTAGTTATGTTGGTTGCGCTAATAGCCTTGTTGTTTCATGTTGTCTTTATTTCCGGTCATTGTGGAAAAAATATGAAAGGGCCTTTATTGCACCATAAGTTGTATCATTTGGTAGAACTGTGTAGTCTGGTGTTTTAAGTGGACAGAACAAGAAGGCCAAAGGCCTTTCATTGGATTGTTCTATAGCTGCCTCTAGGCCTATACTTGTGTAAAGCGCGATTTTTGTGTCATTATGAATAGGCCTAGAAAAATGTTGCTTTATTAAGGCAAAATAATTATTTGATTTGAGTTTGTGAAAAATACTGTTACGTAAGCCACACTGTTAAATTACGCTTCAGGCCTATAGGCTGCATCAGGCAATCTCAAAATGAAATCACACAATTAGTAGTCCAGGTGTCTATTGGGCTTAATCTAAAATGTTTTTAAATCTGGGTTTAAATAAATGCGTACAAAACTCAGTGATTTAAAAACACTTTATTTTCGACACTTACAGCCACCTGCCCCGCGCAGGCGCACAAGGAGACAATATAAATATCTTACTTTTGTCCGTTTGGCCTTTGAACTGCACTGACACCACAAGGAGACACTAAACATCAGAAGCGCTACTCGCATGTCCCACAATATCACTCCATGTAACAGTCATTCACATACGGAACGTCAAACAGACCGGTCTCCTGCAGAGCCGAACGTGCAGGCTTTACAAATATAGAGAGGCCTACGGATACATAAAGCTCAAATTCACAACAAAGTAAACCACTTCAGTCAGTCAGTTTTCTACTTCGGACTTTCACTTAAACAGGTAAAGCTACATGTTTAGACGCTGTCAAAGCATCAATACTCAAAACAAAAGCTTTTTGAAGAGGATTTCCATCAATAATGATCGAGGCCTAATAACTAAATGATGGTTAATCAAATGTATGGATTCACTTGATTTTTGCCTATGAAATAACAATCATTTCACAAGACTGAAAAACAATAAGAGCAACTGCAGTTTTGTTTCCTATGTATTTTTATATTTCAGTTATATGGCTATAAAATGTAATGTTAATTACAAGTTAATTGTTTTTCTAGTTATTGCTAAATGAATAAATAATATAAATGAGTATTTCACTATAGCAATATTGAACTTTTTGGAGATGGCACTTCATCTGCATGGTTATACCAAGTTAAAACCATAACATAAAGATTAACACCACCAGAACATTGTTTCCATGGAAAAAGGATCAAAAGAGTCAGGTTTGTGGAGATGTAAGGACATATTTTGATTATATAGATTTTCAGTGCAATTAAAAAAATAAAATAATAAATCCTTTTGTCCAGATCCAATCATTCATCTGTTAATAAAATAACATCAATAGGAGTTAGTGAGAAAACTTAGCATGGAACTTAGAATGAAATTCGATTTTATTTGCTTATAAAACAATAGCTGCATTGTGTCAAACACTGAAGTAAAGATGCTAAGGTGAATAAAGAATCTGATGTAATAGAAAAATAAATATTGAATTTGTTTAGGCCATGTGTGGTGTAGTACCCAGCACTGCCTCTTGGTGAGGGAATCCCACATTGAGAACTTTGAACATCTCCAATGAAACACAATTATTTTCAATGGATAAAACAAGATTAAACTATTATTAACAGACAATGACGTCATTCAAATCCAGTCTGACCAGTCTTTGCTTCTTTGTTTCAGACATGTTGAGGCCACACTGACCAAAACAAGCTACAACTGTACAGTGACATCACTCTGTATGGCTGCGCATGGAGGGGGCGGGGCATCACACCAGGTGTCCAAGCCCCGCCTCCCTCACCTGCTTTAAGTACATTCAGGCAGTATTTGTATTAACACTATGTACAATGCCAGCGTTAATTGTGAGATTAAGATAACCATGAAAAAGTATAATATTCAGTTAACCAGTGCTGTTTCCTGTAAAGAGTCTCTTCTTGAAGGCCTTAATCCCTTGAATTTTTGAACTGAATATCTTAGTAAAAATCTAGTAAGGATCAAGCACAAAACTAGTGATTTTGTATTTAGTTAACAGAATGGACTCACATTGTAGAATTTGTCATAATTTCTATGGGAAATTCACTGTTTTAGAAAGAAATACCTAAATTTATGAGCCACATATGTTGAACCTTATCATTTATTATGGATTGGCTCTACAAACTTGCAATTTCAATATTATGTCTTAAAGTGCAACTGACAATAAACCACGTTAGAATGCTGTTACCTCAACATAAACATGCCCAGAGTTATGTTTTGTTACATTCATGCATGTTATGAGTCTGTCTATGTCCTCAAATATCCTCAAAGCTCTGTTCTACCATGTGATGCCATGAAGAGGTAGTTTTCAAGTTAGCAGCTACCTTTTTTTGTTCTGTAGAGATTGGAAATTCCAGGGCTTAAATTATCCAAATGATTCTAGTGATGGTGTATAGGGTTTAAAAACATAGTGGAGCACTTCCTGTATTACCACATAACATCACAAGGTAGAACCAAGTGTTTTCTGTCTGAGAGAAGAATTCAGCCTAAATGTGTAGAACCTGCCTGTTAAAATGTGTGAATTAAACAAAACACAACGTTTCCCACAAGGAAACAACATTATAACATTGATCAGAAAATAGTGCAGTATGGGCCCTTTAAACAGCCATTTCCACTTTAGAATTCAGTTTTAAGGTATACGGTTACTTGTATGTTGTGATGTCACATGAAAGCAGTTTATTTTACCACAATCTAGGTAACTGTATAAAAGTCAAGAACTTTGAGATTTTAGTTTTCAGATTTTTAACAGCAGTAATCTGTTGATAACAACATTATGAGAAAGTTCTTTGTCTCTCTGACCACATTAACTGTAGCTTTGGCATCTATTTTTTACAGTGAGAAAATCCTTTGAATTTCTTTCTTTTAATATGCACTATAACACTGATGAGCAGTAATATAAAAATACAGATTCAAAATTGTACTTCATTGGGGACCTTTCTTCATTCACACAACCTGTGTTACACCAAAAACGATCATCTATAACCTAGTTCAGGCACATTCTGTTCACTTCATTACATTGTCTCTATGCTGTTCTTTTGATACTTTGCAGCTGTATCTATGTCTATGGCGGAATGTTCCACAGTTACCATGGTAACACAATGCATACATTGACAAACACAGCCTAAACAATTTTAAGACAGACTGAAAATAAAACAAATAAAAACTAAAAGATTTAAACAACACAACACCAAGAGAATGTTGATGACAGCAGCTGCAAAATATCAACAGATTTATTCTATGAATCTATGTCTTCTCTTTCTGGCTCTAAACACCACTCTTTAAAGATGCACTATGGAACTTTTCTGGGGGAGAGTCTACCATCTAATTGTTTCATGATAGTTGCTTTGACTGGAAAGTCCCACAGGCCATTCATTGCCAAAACATATTTGGTTTGGTGCAGTAACTTGCACGTCTTGCACTGTCAATTTGTGGAGTTTTCAGAACTTCCACCTGAAAATGTACAGTGCAGTCTTAACCAATAGGATATGAACATGTATGACTATGTTCATCTGAATTTTTTTTTGTCACTATGACAATGTCATCTTAGTAATAGCAACTGACATCACCAGAGAGATGACTTAAAGGTGCACTGTGTAACTTTTCTGATGGAAGGTCAAACACCTATTTGCCTCCATGGTGATGTTATTGCTTTTCCTTGAATGCCCCACAAGCAGGTGGCACCAGAAGGCCAGATTACAGATCAGATCCTACAGATGCTTACAGTTACAGCACATCAACAAAGTTTAAACAAAACTACTGTGGAACATTCCAACAAAAGCAACAAAATCTCCAGAGTGACATTGACTAACCATCATGATAACACATGGATGTTCACTCAGCTTTGCATGGGCCCTTTTTCCACAAATGTAAGACGCAAACCGCACTACCACATATTCAGACAGTTACCATTGTTGAACTTGGTGTGAAGAGTCTTACCTGCCCCTCTATAATCTTTATTTTACTTTATATCATATATTTGCGACATCCCGGTTGCGCAAATAAAAAATTTGGGGGATTAGATTTCAGGTCGCACATCTTTGAGCAGTGGCATCTTTTGGACATGTCTGTAAATGTTGTCCGATCCTCCAATATCTACAAAACAATGTCTTTAGATCTTGATTGGTTCTTTATTCATCCTCTTCATCACTGTCTCTCATACTGATTCCCTGGAGCCCGTCTCCGGCCTTGACCGCCGCCGTAGCCTCCTCAACAGTCAGGCGGTTATAGATGGTCTCGTAGCTCTTATTGTTGAGTGTCCCGTCCAGTACGCCCTGTAGTCGGAAGTCCCGGTAGCTCTTCTGTAGAAAAAAAATATATAAATAAATAAATATGGAAAAACAAAAAAGAGGTATAAGAGAGAGGGAGGGAGGGAATGTTAGGAATGCTGTGTGGCGTTCACGTTCAGAGGCACAAAAGTGGGAAAATTGAGCTTCAAGGACAGTATTTTCCTTTCACGTGTCAGCCAGGAAGCCTCCGCCAAGTCACTGCCATTATCATTGCTTGTCTTGGCGGTTTCGAGCTAAAATGGCATTAGAAAGCTATTGAGGAAAAAATATGAAAAATTGGGTAGCAGTTTAAAGGGCCTGTACCTGATTTTAAAGGAGCACTATGTAACCTTTCTAGTTTCCATGAAGATGTTATTGCTGTTATTGCTTGTATTGTTCTACAGTATGGCATTAAAGTTATCCATCTTCCATGCAATAGATTTTAGTTTTTATTGCTCAAAATGCCAAAATTAAGGATTATTCTTGTGAGCAAGATTGCCTCTCTACAGATCTGACCTGTAACTTGGGCTATTGGCATCAATTACTTGTCTTCACAGAGATGGATCAGTTAAATTCCACATGGTGAGACATTCCAGAGAAGCATTAATGATTCCATGGAGACTAGATGGTTGCGCTTAAGTTATTTTAGTAAAGTGAAATGCTCTTTACATCTTGCATTATATGGTAAAGGCTTCTTTAAAAAATAAATAAATAAAACCATCTGCCAGACAGTAATCTAGGTATTTGATTCAAGAGTGACAAAAAAAGTGTCTTTTTCCTTCGGTGAGCTTCCTTTACAAAACAAAAATGTCAGAGAGCTAGTTTTAGCGGTCACAAGAGATTTAGTATGTAAAAGAGTCTCAGCAAGTCTTAGATGTGGCAGTTAGATTAGATTACTCGGGACAGTCACAGTTTAGAGCCCTGTGTCCCCTGTCCCAGCAGATTTAACAGTGACAAAACCAGTGATTTGTCCCAGTTTTATACAAGAAATGCCCCAGGTGTCTATTTTTGACCAATATGATCCCTGCTGACAGTAAAGAGAGACATTCATTGTCATTTGTTTTGGTAAAATACAGAAAACCTGCTGAAAAATGACCAAAACGCAAATGTGACTATAGTGACTCATGTTAGTCACGAATGGGCCGAGTGCAAAAAAGTTTTCCTTAATTACACACTCAATTCACAATTTTATTATTACCAGCCACCACAGACCGAGGGTGTCCCAGTTTTTATTTTGAAAATCTGATCACCCCAAGTTAGATGCATATAAAACATAAACCATTATCCATTTAGTAGTGCACAAAGTTGGGCATCAAATGATACATGTGCAAAAGTAAAAGGTATTTAATTAATCAAATTTTCTTATTCAACACAATATATATATATATAATTCAGAAATCTCTTGGCGAGCTACTTGGAGGGGGGTGGAGAGCTACTGGTGGCTCTCGAGCTACAGGTTGGACACTCCTGTATTAGAGACTATCAGGAAACAACAGCATGACACTGTCACAGACAGTTGTTTCCGTGTCATGGTGTGTCATGGAAAGAATTGTCCTTTAGGGCTCGATGCATTTTTTGTGAAATCAAACTGCCCGTGTTCAGCTGACAGGACATCCACAGCTTTCATAAAGTTCATATTTTGTAGGGATTTTTTTTATATTTTCACAGTTTGACCTTTAAATCGTCAAAGTGCCTAAAAGTTAGCTTGTAAGATTCAGACTTGCCCCACTCTGAGCACAGGGTAGCTCTGCTCTAGCAGCTAGTGCTCAGAACTGCACATTTCTGACATCATATGTTTTGCAGAGTAGGGCCAGTATTTGGAAAATAATGGGGAAGTAAAAATCTTTTTTAGCGTGACGCGCCATTGAGCACAGCTCACCTTTTGGGCTCACCTTTCAGATTTTATTATAGTTCTATGTTTGAAATCAGGTACAGGTCTTTTAAGCTGCAATCTGATACAGTTTCAGAATGATTAGTATATCTAACTTATATTTAATAAATTTTGTACTTATAGGTACTGATATCATGTTGTGTCTAGGTGATTGTCAATGTAGTTTAAAATAGACTTTATATTAATAGTCTACTGTATATTTTTGCACTGCCACATTCAATAGTGCATTTCTTACAGTGCAATAACATCAATAAACCAGACAAATAATGGTACATTATGTAACTTTTCTGGTAGGAGGTTCGCTACACACTTGTCTGTGTAGAGATATTATTATTATATTTTTTGATTGCTTTGGCTGTAAAGTTCCACAGTTTGGCATTAAACATATCTCCTGCATTTCTTCAGTTCCAAGTATTCTACATAAAGACCTACAATCCGCCTCTTATCCCTCTCCACAGATCTGACCTGACTTGAGCTAATGACAAAATCCAATATACATGTTATATATATGTATATATGTTTTTATGTTCAGTAGTAGTTGCCTCAAAAGCAGACATGTTGAGATAGAAAAAAGTATAAACAAACAGGAAGCCAAGTTTTCTTCCTTCAAAGTAATTTCTAATCCTTCTCTTGGCATTTTCAAGTGAAATCTCCCATTAGAAAAGTATGAGAAGACAAAAGCTGTGGGCAGCCGTGAGGGAAGCAATGCTCTGAAGGACACTCAACGCTTTTTTAATCCAGTCTTCAATGTCAGCTTTTAACCGCTCAATGTGCCGCAATATCCTTTTTTTTTTATTTTAGCTTTGTCGCTTCTACCAAATAAAAGTAATTCTGTGGAAAATCTGGTAAGATGGTAGTATATTTTTTTATTTCTCCATCTTGATTTTGATGAACAATAGGCAGTACTGTTAAAGGGGTTCTAGAAGTATGTAGAAGTATGTAGAAGTAGTATTATTAGTAGTATAGTACTAGTAGTAGTATAATGAGCACCAGTGGTTCTCAAACCTTTCACACCAAGTACCAACAAAGACAAGATGTGGCTTTCTGAGTACCACCAGATCTGAACCAGGATAATTCGAGGTCTAATCTAGGGCTAAACCAGGTCTTTAAAGTCTGCTATCATTTTCTATAGTTCACCAAGAAATTATCCAAAGGAGGACCAAAAAGTGCATAAAATAATAATAATAATAACTAATAATAACTAAATAACTGTAAATTAGACAATAATACTGTCATGATACTAAAATTTCAATTTGTTGTTTTTGATACCAAGAAATATACTTGAATTTCAATACCGATTCCAATTCCACAATGATAACAATAACACTTTATTTAAACACTCATCCAGGTAGGTTCCATAGTGATCCAGGGGCAAATACTAGTCTACGTGGTCTTATACTCATTCTGATCCAGCTCAAGATCATTTTAAAGCTATTCAGGAAAGGTTCATTTCTGTGAATGTGACTTTTCAATACTTAAATTGAAAGTTTTCATATCAATTTGTATCTGATTTTCGATATTTCTAACAACCACTTCAGCATAGAGCCTTGAGAAGCTTGTGAATGTTGAAATTGTGAAATACAATTTAAGTATCATTATTAATAGAAGTGGAGGCTGTTGAGAAGGGTATGCTTTTGTGTGTTAACATTTTGATTGTTATAGTTAAACAATTTTCATAACACAGTTCTTTACACTTTCTTCACATATGTCATAGTAGCAGGACAGAAGTACTTTTAAGTGTGGTAGAAGCAGTTATAGCTGAACTCTCTCACAAAATCTATTTTAATTACCCACAGTATACAACATCTTGAAACCCCCCCTTCACTCATTTCACAGGAGAACACAAAGACTATTTATAATGGCACGTTACCTTGACGATTTTAATGAGGGTTTTGAGCTGGTACATGTGAAGCTGCAGGTCCAGTCGGTCGGTCAGCCACACACAGATGGACTTCATAGAGGTGGTGTACCATTGCTGTAAAGACAAAAGATTAAAAGATTACTAAAAAGTATATGGACAATGCTTTATGTTTTGATGTCATGTACTTGATATTGTTCAAGGTTCATGGTGCCTCTTGAAAATATATATATTTTTAAATACATATCTAAGATTCTTTTACTTTTACTTAATTTTTTAGCTAACCACATTCTTCGGGTTCACTTCAATCATCAATGCAAAGTCTCAAGTATACTACTCAAGTTCTTTTTGTATGTGGGGTCACTTCTACAGATCTGACCTGTAACTTGGCCTGGAGGTGCCACCTGCTTTCCTCAATAGATAGGTTTAATGCAGCATCGACACGTTCAAGGCAAAGCAAAAACAACTTCATAGAGACAAGGAAGTCGTCAAAAGTTACATAATGCACCTTTAAATGAACTTTATGTAAGATTTCATATTTAAATGTATGAACCTGACCCATTTATCTACACAGAGATGATGTAAACATGTTAAAATTAAATATATTTTTACAGATAACAAGTGTAAAGCTGATTTATTCTAAATTACAAAAACATTGTTTATGTCCTAATTTGGAGTTTCGGTTCTCAATCCAATCAGAAAACTGAATCAGCCTCACATTTGGTTTGCCAGTAATAATGTTGAAATCCAGTTGGTTTAAACCTACTCTAAATGGTCACAACCTAAACCCGAGCACCTGCGGTCATCCTGAGTCAGTGCTAGTGCAGCCTCTGCAGCTCAGAGGTCCTGGAGGTTCTTTCACATGAGGCCTGGCCTGTTCATATACTGAGAATGAGAAAATGTGTCCGTCATCTGGCCACAGGTTAAGGCACAGTACAGATACATACATACACTTCCTTTAAAGGTGAAGCAATAGTATTATTTTCTAATATGTTGCGTTTAAAAAATATATTTTTAAGTGCAAATACTTACCATGGGATAGAATAAGGCATGCAAAGACCATTTAGGATGAGCAACTCAAACAAGAAAAGCTACATGCCTGGAACTAATCCTGCCTGCGTTTAATCTGCGTGAGCATTCCCATTGAAAGCTAAAACGACTTTGAAACACAAAATTGTTCATATTAGTTTGACATGAAAAGATCAAATTGCCGTAGCTTCAGAGCAGAAAAACAAGCTGTTTTTACCAAGCTAAGTGAAGCCTCCACATCGTAAGTGTGGTTCTGAATGTTATTTATTTGTGCAAAGTAGAGTTAGATGGATTTTTAGACCTGACCTGGAGCACCTCTGCAAATTCAGCCTGAAAGCACCAACAAACCAAGAGGGGGAAAACACAACCTCCAATGTGTCATCCCTTAAAAAGCACATAAGCTAGCACTATATTATGCTAATAGTGTCAGTGCTGTTTTATAGACAACCAGAGCTAATACAAACATTTCTTTCACAGAGTTCAAATGAGCACGTCTCGGTAGCTGGCGGACACCGAAAGAAACTGTTCAAAAACATCATAACACGAGGTTAGAGCACACGCGGAAAACTCCAAAAGGGTCAAACGTTTATTTATTCAAAGGGTTTTTCTGAATGTTGCGCGGGCGAAGGATGGCTACGCTAGCTAGCTGCGCGGCTTTGACCCCCGGCGACGTTTCGAAAAGCATCTTTGTGATTCTCATTAAATGCTCTTCCCTTCACACCTTATACTCCACGGGCCAACAGAGACCCGGAAATCAAACGCTCCCTATTCTAACCTGGAGTAGCGTCGCTGGTAATGGTAAAATGCGCACGCTGGGTGGTTTTATTCAGCTAGCAGTCAGACAAGAAAGCTGAAGGTGATCGAGATGACATTGTAATTACCTATAATATTCACATGCGACGCTAACACAAGACTTAATTTCACACGGTTAAGAAACACAATTAGGTTCCAATTCCAACTGAGAAAAAAAACGTGGCAAAGGTGGATTCATGCACTTGACAAAAGCTCCAAAAACACGCTGGCGGTCACGCAGAGGTCACGCACATACCGTATTCCATTTCCCTGACCTGTCTTGAGAACGTCTTTCAGTAATTATATCACAAAACCCTGCACATATTTATCGATGTCCTTCATAAGTTGAGTGTAAGAAATGTGTGCATGTCGAGCTATTCAGTTGTGGCTATACAGACTAATGCTGGAAATGTCTAGCTGCATAAGAAAGAAATGTATTGTGGGTTAAAGCTGCCATACAAAAAAATTTATTTTAAAAGTTGTGGGGCAGATTTTTTTGTTCAGATTTTGCAAAAGGAATCAAGAGTTTTAAATTCTTGTGCTTTTTTTTAAGTTGATAAGACTTGACCCATGTTTTAAAGACTTGACCCATGTCTTGACTAGTGTATCTGGACTGGCGTGCTTTTGAAATACAGCTATTTAAGTTTCAAGGAAAATGTTGAATGTCACCAGTAAGTGCCACAGAAAGTAATTTTGCACTGGTAAAGCATAAATGAGTTCACATTTCGCCCCTTCATCTAAAGTTGAAGAACGGGGTGTAACTTAAATATGGTAAAACATATCAGTGAAAATTTACTATTGTGAGCTTTTAGTAGTCAGGGTTCGTCGCCTATTCTGACATCCTTTCATTCATTTAGACGTGCTGGTTTTTGGACACTTTTTAGTCACCATATCGACACGTGCATATTTAGACTGCTGTCCATGGTGCTGAATGCAGAAGATCGATCAATTGGTAGGCAGATAGATATAGTTCAGCTTTACTGACCAGCTTTACTGATTCCCAAGGGAAAATTCAGTATATAAAAGACATTTAAAAAATTGTAAATGTATCTGAGCCACGGCTTGTGGTTAGTTGCACTCTGCGCCTTGTGGCGAGCTGCTTGTCTGACTGCTCTACATTTCCGAAGTCACGGAACCACCACAACCTTCATTTTTTAGATATGGTAGGCTAAACTATCACATTAGTTCTTTATGTAGACTACAAAGCTCCATATCCCCCGACAATCTCGGAGATGATCACAGCCGGTGAGGTGAAATTGATTGGGAAATACACATTCAGACAGTCTTATGTAGGCTAATGATTTTATTATCATTTTCCAATGAATTATCTTTTTTTTTAAAGTTAAAATTAGGACTAGAAGGCCATTTTGATTTTTTGATTACCCTGAAAAATCACGCAGGAATCAGTCAGTTTTCATTGTTCGTAGGTCTTTATAGGCAAATTAAAGCCACTGCCCCTCAAAGATCTAGGACAATAATAGGTAAAACATAATATAGACCAGGGGTCACTAAAAGGCAGACTGCAGTCCGAGTCCAGACCCAGACAGGGTCAGTCCAATTTTCCCTGTACATCTGTTCCCCAGGGAAACATCAGTATCTCAAATTTTGAAAGATACTGCTGTTCCCCATACCTCGGTTTCCCAGGGGAACAGCGGTACCTCCTTTTGTGAAAGGTACTGATGTTCCCCGTTAACACTGCGAGCTGTCCTCCATCCTCAGAAGCACTGAGTTTGGGTAACGGCAGCAGCCAAGAGCGGTAAAGACACGGGACGGGATTGGGGTTTTGTGCGAGCGTGTTGGTCAGATAGGTCCAGAGGCTCCGTCCTCCATGTGCTGGTTCTAGCAGTGTGCAACTGACTTGGGTCCAAGCTGTTCTGTGCCATCCTCTGTGCACTGCATCTGTGCGGCAAAAGCAAGAATGTGCTGTGAACTATGGGTCTCGCTGGCTGCGAGGTCTTTCAAAGCATCTGGACAGAAGCGTGAATCCAGTTTGGTTCATTACATCTTGTTCTGAGCGCCCCGTCCTCCGCACACGTGGTTCTTCCTGGGGAAAGTGCTTCTCAGGTCGAGGCACCTAACACCACTCTTCGCTTCAGCTCATCTGAGCCCGGCCTGAACCAGAGCTGCTCCTGCTGGTTCAGGACTCTAGTTTGGATCTAGTCCAACTGTAGCATTTCTCACTCTATTTTAAATGCAGTTCATTTTATAAGTTGAATCAATTTAATAGGGCCTATTCAGTTTAAGCCATTTTCCCACTGTCTGATATCCTATGTGGCAGTATTCTCTGATCAAGGTGTATGGAGTTTAAAAACACAGTAGAGCACTGTGGTTTAAACTTCATACACCTTCAGTGGAATTATTTGGATGATTTCAGTCCAGGAATATCCAATTTCTACTGAATAAAAGTAAAGGTATAGCTGTTAACATGAAAACAACTTAATGACATCAAGAGAACAGAGCATTTTGAGCTTTGGTGATGTAGACAAAGATAATAAAGGGTTACTCAAAAATGCGGAAATGAAACAAAACATAACTCTGGTGTGGTCCCAAGCAAATTAAATGTTCTGAAAGTTTTTTGCCCAAACTTTATCTGAAAATAAAAAAATAAAAAATGAAAGTATTGGACATCCGCCATCTGAGTGTGCAATGCATTTTTCCATATTTTAGGTTTTTGAGGCAGTAACAACATTCTAACATGACTTAAAGCTCATGAGTCAATTTTGTGTCCTTTCAATGACACACTTTCACCCTATTAAATAATCATATGTGAATAGAACAGGTTAAGTTAAATTTTGCATTTGAAGGGTTTAGATTTGCCATAGGAGTGGTTTGGTCACGCCCCTCACATTGCAGCACCAGGTTAGACTCATTTTTGATTCTTTGAGGCGATTTGGATTTGTGCCATTCTTCCACCTGCTCTCAGCTAAATGATGATTTAATGATGGCTCTGTGGCTGTTTAAAGATGTGGAAATTGAAAACGTAGAGGCTCCCTAATTGAAATGATTAGCGGAGGAGAGGGGGCATATGTGAGGGAGTATTATCAACATGAGCAAACTGCAGTGGTCACATTTAGGCATTTGTCCTTTATAATTTAGTAAAATATATATTTAAAGGTATGAAGTAAAAAAAAAATCCTACCAATGCTTGTAAATTAACCAAGACAAAAAAAAACCATCATGTCTTGTATTCCAAATAGCACATTACCTAAATTTTACCTCATGTGCCCCAATATCCAATCTTTACATGTATCTAAAGTACACAAACTGATATGATTAAAGATGCTCTATATAACTTT